AACTCTAAGTGGAACATATTAATAGAATTTTTAATAACACCAACAATCAAGCTCATCCCAAAGAATAAACAAAGAAAAGAATGGATGACAGATGAAATTCTCAAGTTCATGAAGAGAAAAAAAGTGCTAAAGTACAACACAGAATATAGGAGTCTGCACAAAGAAATAAGACAAAAATCCAGGCAGGCTAAAGAGGAATGGCTCAGCAGAAAATGTCAGAAATAGAAAGAATGAGTATCAAAGATTAAGTAGATATGCATTAAAAAGAAATAAGACAAGACATGCTCATCAGCAAGAAGCATAATATCCAAAGGCAGAATGCTGTATTAGAGAAAGAAAAAATTCTCTAGAGATGGAATGAATGCATCAGAGAACTCTTCCGTGATGAAAGAGAACAACTGGCAATATCCAGAAATATTGAAGGACCAGAAATATTAAAATCTGAAACAGTGTCAGGGCCAGACAGAATTGTAATAGAGATGCTGGCAGCCTAAGATGATTTCAGCATTGACAAGATTAGATATAAGTGAAATATATGACTGGGATGATATATCTGAAAAATGTTTGTCAGTATTATGGTGGTGAGAAAGTGATTGAAGCTGCCAGGTCAGCCCCTATAACATTGCAGATTCTTTGTATTTTATCAAGAATTTATAAATACACAGCAGAAGCACCAGACCAGGTGTAGAAATTCAAAGCCCACTGCAAAAAAAAAATGTTTCCAATTGGGTCCCACATTTCCTAAGGTCATCCTTGGTCTCAGACCCTCTATTTCTAGATTGTGTTGCAATAAGTAAGTTTTCTTTTCTGTTGAATCTAGAGACAAGAAACAATGGAATAGATTTACAGCAGCATACAGCCAGTCCACTCAGTGCTCCACTCACTAAACTGTCTGACATTATAGTTGGACAGATATACATCTAACAGAATCTGTTAAATAATACTGGAGTTATGGCTGATGACATCTGGCTACTTAAGAGTTAAGATTCCACCAACAGTATATAATAAAACAATATTTTAAACACCAGACCAGAATGATCAGTAACAAGAGTTCCATTTGTCCATCTCTTGTAATTAGTTTCACTTTCAGGTAGCAGTGAAAAACCAACTTCAGATACAAAATTTTATATAATGTTATGAAACCTAAAGTTGCTTGATAAACCTTTCTAACATTTATTCTGTCAATGTTGATCTCTTTCCTAGAAGAGTCTATAGCATATAAATATTTTACATATAACAAATTACAAGATGAATAGCTTTTGGTTCAGATTTCAATATGTAGTTTTTCATTAATTCACTGAAACTACATTATTTTTTTTTTTTTTTTCTAAAACCTTACATTAATTTTTAAGCTATTTTAATGACACTCAAGTTAAAAAAAAAAAAAGAAAAAAAAAAAGGTTTTTCAAGTTAAAAATGTTTTCCTCACAAATTTTAATAACTTGTGAAAAAAACTGGTTTGCAGACTATCGTACCAAGAGGCCTTTTATTTTATTTTTTAGCATCAAGAGTTTTTATACAAAACTAAAATGTGAAAATATTAAAAGCTTGTTTTTCAGTGAAGGAGTAATGCTAGATGAATATAAAATGACCTGAACATTAGGGTAACAAGTTGCAATAAAAATTGTAAAGAAAATAAAGATTAATGAAAGTAAATATTTCATCTTGTACTTATCGACTTTCAATTCAGGCACTTTTTTTTACAATAATTAACAAATACAGGTGAGGTTTTCTCATCCAAATATTAACCAACATATGGTTAATAATATTAATTAAAAACAGCATAAAAATGCAAACAATATTTGTTTGTTTTACTTTAAAGAAAAACACAACTAATACAAAAAATAATTTTATGAATGAATTTGTTTTTTATGGATAAATAACAATATTAAAGAAAAAATATTAAAGTAACTTTGTGAAATAATAATGGTAATTTATTTTTAATAAATTTCAAAATATGAAAACAAGCCTAGAAAAATGTTTGAAAAGACATATGTCTATAAAAAACTAGATACTAACTCTTTATGTAATTTATTAATGTCATTTTTTCTTTAATTTTAATAAGTAAATTATTAAATTTCACTCAATAACAAAAAGAAAATGTTATAAAAAAAATCATACTTTTAATTTTTAGAAACAAATATACAATGTGTTATTTTTTTAACACATTGTATATTTGTTTCTGAAGTGTCACTGTTTGCTTTTTTGTTTATTTTACAGAACATTGAAAACACTTAGAAAATATTGAAGAATAAACTTCAACTTTTAACAGAAAAATGTTGAGTCAGTGACTATGCTAACTTTTTACCATACTTTTTAAAAACTTTAGAAGACCCTGGAAACCAAGCAGCAGGATTAATTTTGTTCACACTCAGCATTTTTACAATATCAAAAATAAATACTGAATTTAATTATACTTGTATATATCATTAAATTTATGTAAAAACATTTTTAAATATTTTTTTGATTCATTTTGTAATACAAAAATATTACATTTGCTTTTTTATTATTTATATTGTTCAGACTGTTGTATGCTCCAGTCTTCTTGAACTAAAATAGTTTAATGTTTAAAATAAAAACAAATTACTTATAAAATAATTAAATTTTATCAATGAATAATTCTTATGAATAACAATATAAAAGAAAATAATTAAAATAACTTGCCAAATAATGGCATTTTATTTTAAGCATATAAAAACAGAAGCATATAAAAAAAGAAAAAAACTTCTTCAGAAAATGTAGATCACATGGAAGATTTTTTTTTTTTTTTTTTTTTTTTTAGAAGAACCTTAGTAAACTTTAAGTGAAAAATGTTAAACAAACTTAAATGGGAAAATATTTAATAAACTTTAATTTAAAAATGTTAAATAAGAAGCTTAAACTAAGATTCCTAAATAACATTTTTGCATAGTGAATTACAGACCCCAAAATTTGTTTTTACAATCTACATAAAAAAATAATATAGCAATTAAAAGTAAATGATATTCCAACTGTAAGGAAAAATTTCTTTGAATTTCTTAAGCCAACAACACTGGTGGATTGCTAGCTCAAATTGAAACTAAAATGCCCTGCTGCTCTCACTGGATCAAGGAACATTTAAAACCTGCCTCCAGTTCTGTCCCTTCTCTACATTATGACTTGGCCGTCTAATATAGAACACCATCCTTTAAACACCCATTGGGAGCAATTGGTCTAGTTAGCTTCAAGCTAATCTTGGTTATAACCAACTTTACTATGGAGATAAAAATGAATTTTAAAAAAGTTATCCTAAAGCAATTAATCTTATATGACCAAACTGATGTATAACTAATTGATACAGATGGTTAAATAAGACTCCATGGTTAAGAAATATGAAAGTTAGCCTTCATAGGAATGAAGTATTCTATGCCAGCCTGCCTGCCTTTACTTTAGATATCTTGATTTAAAATATTAAAATGTACAGAAATGTTTTATTTGTATCTCCCAGATGCCTGTCGTCTTTTTTTTTTTTTTTAACAACATAACCAACATAACATCCGCGTTTAATATATGTGTGGATTCAGTTGGAGGCACCTGTTTCTTCATCTGATCTTGTCTATAATATAGCTTGAATTTGAAAACATTTGTTTCTCCTTAAAACAGTCATAAATAGTATGTCGTATAAAAGCAAAGCTGACTTACTGAGGTTTTATTTTTTCTCTCTCTTCCTTTGGTAAACCACATGATGTAAAATAAGTGAGTCAAGTTTAATGCTTTTAAAATTATTTTCAAAATTACATAGTTTATTTTACATGACTTCAAAATACCAACAGGCAAGCAACCAAAAACAACACAAATTCTTTTCTGACTTAAATGAAAGAGAATCTACTTAAAGCAAAGAAGAAATAAAAAGATGTATCAGAAAATATTTATTATTTTATATCAATTTCTAAATTTTACACTTTTCTTTTTCTAGGATAAGGACTTAGAAAATTAGGTTTGGCTAAGGAATCTATCATTTTCAAGATGCAATAAATCTGTTACTGGGTTGAACTAGATAAATACCTGAACCAGATAGTAATGCCATCTGATTGACAACCTAACCATTTTCATTCCTGCTCTTTACTAGATTGTGTAAACATGTTTCTAGAATGGGAACCAGTTTGTAAGGTAATCCAAAGGAAAGGTACAATTTTCATTTTCTGATCACTCACTCTTAAGAAATTGGAGGAGGGGAAATGGAAATAATAAGACTTGTAGAGACATGAGTTTATTTCTCAACATTTGAGTAGAAAGGTTGTAATTGCTTGTTGGGGGTCCCATCTTGTTTCTCTCAAGTTAGGATAATGTTAGATAATTTATTCCTTTTTATGAAAATCAGTTTTTATCTCAAGTTTAATACTTATTAACAATAAATTTCTTTGAAATCATTTTGTCTCCTCATCATAATTTGTACATGTCTAATCAATAGTTTTTCCTTTTTGCTTCCAGATGCTAGTAAATTTTCTACGTACATCAGACAAAAATGATGTAATATCACAAATCAAAATATTGATTATTCCGAATGATATCAAATCTTTGTTAAATCTCCACTTATTTTTTGTCTGTTAGTTTCTGATTAGAATGAGATAACTAAAATGTTTCTTGGAAGTGATTAAGAAAAGTTACAGATAGTTTTGTTTATTAAACAATTTATTCTACTTTCACTTGTCTAACAAATTCAAGCTCCTCTTAGGTGACTTGTTTGTTTTTCTCTCTTTCTATCAAACACATCAAGGAGTGAAAGAAATTCAAAATTTAAATCTATGGTGGGGGAAGGAATATTATACCTTCAATTTTGGTGCTATAAAGTTTTTCAAAAAAGAGGTTCAAAGTCATACTCTACACTTTTTTTTTGTCTGGTAAGTGGAACATTTTCCAGGTGCAGCAGTTACAATTTTAAGTGCAATCAGCAGGAAAAATGTTACAGTAAACAGTTATTAAAGTAATAAAAAAACAAAATTGCCATTTAAGAATAATGGAATCTGTATTGATTGTTTCAGAATAAACAGCAGTGTGACTCTGAGAATGCTTTGCACTTGGATCAAACAAATACCAAAACCTCTCATGTTGTCTCTGGGAACAGCAACAGTTCCTCTTCTGCCATGGTTGTTACAGGCGCTACTGCCACTCCTCAGCTAACCTCTTCAATGACGCAGACATCCTTAGTCCTTGCTCCAGGACCTGCCTCACCGTCACAGACAGTGTGTCACAATTCGTCTTTGACCAACTTTTTCTATAGTCCACGTCTGAGTGATGAAGACCTTTCTGGACGCATGTCCCCATTCACTGTTGAAAGGTGAGTTTCAATTCTTTGATATGTTCACTTTCTTTTCCTTATTGATTATTCTACAAAATAGGTGTTTTGTTTTGTTTTTTTAAATATTTACAGAAGGAAAAAACAACCATCTTGCTTTTCTACAGGAAAAAAAAATTGATAAGGAAAGTGAAAAAATCATGAGAAACTCTTGTTTTAGAAAAAAAGAAAAAATAAAGTTACCAAATTGTATTTTTGAAGTATTCTTGAAATTAAAGAAGCCTTTAATAATGGAACAATTCCATTGAGCAAGATTTTCAAACTCCCCAAAGAATTAAATCTTAATTAAACAGATTTTCTGTTTGAAAAAAAATAAAAAATAAAAAAAATCATCACTTTATCTGATCCAGTAGATTTGATGATGAAATATTTTTTTTTCTATTCTGGAAATTCATTTTTTAGGCAATGAGTTTGTGAGCCTTGATACCATGTTTTTAAAAGATTTTTGCTAAGAAAATCTTACCAACTTTTACTCACTCTATGCTGCTGAAGGTTTCTCATTTATTCTGGTGCTTTTCTAGTAGAATGGGCTTCTGTTATATTTTTGTTTCTCTTCAACCATATTTACCATTGAATAATTGTCATATTTTTTTTCAATTTCTGTTTTATTATGCTTTAAATTTCTTGGCCTGATATTCTTCAGTCACTGACTGCAAAATGGTTTTGGATCTTGTCTTCTTTTAAGAAAAGTATTTTATAAATTTCTTCAACATTAAATGGTTTTAAAATCTATAAATTATGTGTTGTATTGTGTCTTGTAAAGTCAATGATAGCAATATAGTTTATCTATCAAAGCTATGAGTGATACATCAAGTGAGGACTGAACTCTCTATAACCTCCCCTCCCACCAAGACTATAATGCATTGGTTGGTTAAAATAACAGATGGGTACTGGAATGACCTCTCCAAGACTCAAGCTTAGGTGAAATTGTTTGGAGTTCTTGTGTTGTTCAAACAGAAGAGATCCAAGTGAATACAGGACCTTGTTTGGGTCTGCCTTGACTGCAGGAGTTGCTGGAAAGCGGTCAGTATTAACAGCCAACCATCTTAGGGACTTTACTCTAGATTTTCTCCGATAACCTTTTTTGCGTTTCTAAATCTGCCATGCTAATAAACCCATAACCAATGAGAAATAGGTTCATGCTTTTTTACAAGGGCATTTGGATCGAGTGAATGAAACAGATTTGGTTACAATATGAACTTAGCTTGCCAATCCCATTTTTCTGTGCTGATAATTATTACACTACTCTACATCCATATAAAAACAAATAACAGAAAAAAAAATACACTAGAAAAATTATTTTACTAATTATTACTTTGTGATAGGCACTTTCACATAGGAGTTGTTGTTGTTGTTATTATTAATGTCTGTGTGTCAAGAGTGTCTGTTTTTGGACACTAACAGTTTTTATAACTAGGAAATAAATATGAGAATAATTGAAATTAATTGCAAAATCCAGCAAAAATCCTCCATGAAATAAAAATAATTGTTTGTATGGAAAGTAAGGACCTATGTAGATTAAATTGTCTTTAAATTAAGTGGCAACAGAAGAATTATCATTGAACTTTTAAAAGGTAAGCTTAAATATTAATGCCGTACTAAAATGCAACGATCAATTTTGAGTTCTCCTGTAGTTTATTGTTGCCTATCACATACGGCAGCAGTATGCCTCACAAAAAGAAATCTCAACCCACAGAGGACTAGATTGCAATCAAGAGCCAAAGCTGCAGCAAGGAAAAGAAAGTCCCATGCAAATGAAGACCCAGATCAAATGGCAGCCAAGAGAGTTTCCAATGCTGAGAATATGCAAAGATGATATTCAGTCACCCCCCCCCACACACACACACACTGAGGCAGCATGTGGCACAAGGCCGGTTATTTAATGAGGGAGATCCGAGCCCATGGGCTCGGCCCAAAAATATGCCCATTAAACCCGTATAAACAGGTCCAGGGTTGGTTTACCTCCCCGAAAGAGACTCCGCCCTTCGGCATAGCCTCGTTCGGGTTTCTCCCCGCCCGAAGGCAGAGAGTTCAACTGAACAGCCGGTTGAGAAAGCGAATGAAGAGAATATGCAAAGACTTAGGGACTCTAAAACTCCCGAGACAGCTGAAGGCCCATTCAAGAAAAAAAAACCAAGGTTGACAACTCCAACATGTGTAGCCACTATAATATATATATATTAGATTAAGCTTTGAATTGTTTTATCTTAGAAATGATTAAAGATATCTTACTGGAATTCTCCAAGGTTTTTAATAACACTATTGGACTCTACTTTGTGTAATAAGAATTGTATAAAATTACTCTCCAAGTTTAACAGAAGAATCATGATGAAATCAATCATAAATGAAAATGACATTAATTAATCATAGCTCAGGACCAGAAGCTCATGAAGGATTAAAATATAGTTTGCATGTGCGCACAAACACACACACATTATTCCAGGATCATTTTCCAACTTATTCAAGATGATCTTCACCCTATCTAACCTAATTTTTTGCCCTGGAGTAACAAAGTGTTTCACACGTTTCATGTATTATTTCATTTTCAAGTCTTTTTTCCCTGCTCTTTGGACTATCATAGATGAAACTCCTCTCTCTCGTGCCAAACATCTTATGGATTGAGTTGGATCTTTTTTAATTGATCTCTTTAGCTCTGAGTTGAAATGCTGTTGTGACCTTCTGATCCAGTTTTCCTTGCTACTGTTACCTCTTTTTTAAAATTATTCACCATTCTCTTGATGGTTGTTGAATGGATGTTTTGAAAATGGAAGCTAGTGTATGAATGTTGCTACCATTACTGAAGGCTTGAATGATCTTTTTCCTCTCACAATTGCTCAGTTGAAAAGACAGTAGGGCTGACACAATAATTTTAACCTGTTCTCTTTCTACCTGAATAACTCAAAGGGTTTTTTAGTGATTCTTACAACAAATGGTATCAAGATGGATATATGTCTTATCTGAAAACCTGGAGAAAAAAAAAGACTCAATTAGTTTAGTGTTTTTTTGTTTGTGTTTTTTTTTCTTTCTAATATCAAACATTTTGTAGGGTGGAAAATTATGCTGTTATACGATTTGGACAATTTTGTTCCACCCTCTGTCTGTCTGTCTGTATATATATATATAATTTTTTAAAGTTTATATGCAAACTATTGTTCAGAACAGATTTCTATTTGGTGTATGAAATAATGAGTGTTAATCTATACTTTGGTTGGGAACTTTGAACATGCCTTTCTTAAACCAAAATATAATAATATTCATGTTAGTTGATGGAAGTGATGATTGTTTTGTTTATTGCATTGACACTTTAAGCAAATGAGTGGATACATGAGTGACATTTTTGTTGTCGACCTGGTAAACAAAACATCATAATCAGCAGCAACAACAACAAACTAATTGACTTTGCTACAGTTGCTTACCTTTTGTTTTTACAACTGCTCATCTCCTTGCTGGACATTGTTATGACTAAAGCTTTGATTACATTGCATTCCCTGTTCCCAAACAACACATAGCTGAAGCTATTATGATGTGAGAAGTAGAAAGGGGGGCATGTTTTTGTTTTAGTTTAACATGTATTTTGGGAGTGGGTAATTTGTTTACATTTTTTCATTTAATTCCCCCATCTGTACTGTAAGAAATGCCATTTCTTTCTTGGATGCTTAAAGAGAGTGGAGTTAATTGTTTGTTGCAAGTTAAACTACAAAGTCTTTTAGAAAATAGAAGTTGGTAATGCCTTCTGTTAATTATATTTTTTGTTTTATATTTAGCTGAAATTAGAATTACTTTTTTGAATTGTATAGTGGAATTATGAGTATACCTTTCAATCCATGAATAAAATTGTTATTGTCAGAATGATTTAGTGGCAGTCAAAATATCTAAATTCATTTTGACACATGCTTTTGTTTTAAGATTTACAACTCAATATACAGTACAACTTGTCTAAACCAAGATGTTCAGTATAGAGGGTACTGTTTGAATTCAAGGAAGGAAAAGACTACTGTGGCAAGCTTAAAATTTGTATTAAGTTTTAGAGTTTAGCATACAAAAGGTAGTTTGTAATGTTGATTCGTTTTTATTTAAAGTGTACAGTGAATATATAAATGTACAAAAAATAGTTGACAACCAATAATAATGGAAAAATTTGTGCTAAACAAATATTGTAATTTGTGAAAAACTAAAACACTTTATAAAATGTTTAAAACTTTATGAAGTATCTTATTCAAAAACAATTACAATCTGTAAAGGAAGTCAAAAATAAGGATATACAGTATGAATCCTCTAAACCAAATATCCAAGTTGTTTGGTATTGAGAGTACTGTTCTGATTCGAGGAAGAAAAGGCTTCATATTTATATCAATACAAAAGTTTGGATTTGAAGAGGAGTCCAAATTCGGGGAAGTCTAGATATGCCATGTTCAGATTTGGAGAGTTCTACTGTATTTAACATTAACTTTTTAATTGATTCCTTCTTATAAATGGTAGGGGAAACTATAACGAGTTGGTAATTTTAGTGGAGTATATCTACAAATCTGCAGTAAACATGAAGTACTCTAAATTATCTAGTTATAAGATTAACCTTTGTAAGTTCCCTTTACACAAACACTATGATTTAACAATTGTTTCTAAATGACAGTCTAGATAATCTTTCTCATTCTTCATCAGTCTTAGTCTTAATGCAGTAATAGTTTCTTACAAGTTATACTCGTTTTTGAGTTGGATCTCAATCCTTGGTGGGGGGAGTTAATGTGTGTGATTGAATTATTAAAATTTAAAAAAAAAAATTATTTTTTTTGCACTATTACTTACCAGTAATAATTGCTTGGGATTGGGGTGGGGGACAGAGGATTGGCAAAGTATGTGTGTGTTTCTACTGTTCACAATAAGAATAGGAAATAATCAGAGTTGAAGAAATTTTGTTGATCTATTACTTCTGTTAACAAACCATTAGGCTATTTGGAATGTTTATCAATCATATTAGTTATGATAGGAAGAAGTAATGCCTTTACTTGAAACTTCTATGTCTAGCTTCATTGGTGGCTTTCCAATATCATCTGCTGATTCTGACTTGCAATGTTTTTTTGAATGACATTTTTCATCTTATGAATTTCTAATTGCTTTCATTTCAAATAGTTTGTTAATCATATTCTGCTGCATGATATCAAATTCATTTAGCTTTTCAAAAGTTTTTTTCTTCATTTCTTAATGTTATTTTGCATTTGGTATTTTTACAAAAATATTATTTAACATGATATTCTTCTCACAATATAATATTTAAAATGTTGACTTTGCAATAGTTTAACAATTTAGTATTTTTTTTCTTTCCAGTGATAGTGGACATAGCCTAATAGAATCACCTGTTGTGTCAGCAGTTGCATCGAGGTAAGTTTACTCAATTGGTTTGTTAGTTCATATTTAATGTTATTGTTTTTTTTTTGTTTTTTTTTTTAACACCATATTCCTTCAGGATGTAGGTAGTTATGATTCTCTGCAGTTTACTTCTGTTTAATACATGTAAATTGCCATAACTTCTTGACTGGTTTCTCATTGCCTTCTCCAGTTTTGAATTTGGAATTGTTCTTTTCCTAGACTGGCTACCACTCACTTCTAGTTTATCCTACTATTTAACCCATAGAGAGCAAAGTGAACATAGACTCAGTCAGAATTTGTACTTTGCTTGCTAATTCCACATTCTGTGTTAACCTAATGTTAAATAAAACTCAGTAAATTATTAACTTTTATTCACTAAGGCTCTGTTGTGTGTGGTGTCAATTATTTATTCATGAAAATCAGGAAGTCATTATGTCTTAGAACAACACTTGTCTTATTTAACTTGCAAAGCTATACCTTGATTTTTATTTTTTTAACTAAAGATGGTGGCTGCCAATGAAAGCAAAGGCACTGGTGTTAGATTTTTATCTGCCTTTTGTTGTTCATTTACTCTTTGAGATTTGCAAGATTTATGAAAGTTTGTTTCTTATCTATCTTCATCTCAGTTTATCTTTAATGTCCTGCACTTTGCTTTGCCTGGAAATTTGTCCTTTCAAGAGCATAAAAACCTTTCAATGCCCTTGTTCTTTGTTGCTATTTTAGAAAAAGAAAACAAAAAAGTTATAAATATTTCCACTTTTGAGAAAATTTTGCTTAACCAATCTGAAAATTATAAATGTAGAAATAAGTAGTTTGAATGACAGCATTTGAAACTTATCATTTGCCAGCATGTGTGTTTTAATCATTTTATATTTCATAGCTGTGTATGTGATCTGACCATCTTGAAAGTAAATATATATATATATATATATATATATATATATATATATAATATACTGCATGCTAATAGCAAGAATTCTGATCATTTCTTTAAAGAGTTTTGGTCACTAGAAGCAAAAAAAACAAAAAGGAAAAAATTGAAAACTGTTGTAATTCTGAAGTAAATTTTGTGGTAATATTTTTGTATTACTGTTGTAGTGATTAATATTCCTTTTTTTACTAAAGAAAAAAAGGAATATAAAGGATAACTATATTTGTCAAAAACAATTTAAATTTATTTAAAACTGATATCCTGCAAGAAAAAAAATTGCTTCCAGGCCTTAAATCATCAGATAGAACTGTAACAAATACTCTTGAGATAAGAAAAGTTGTAAATAGGATTTAGATATAAAGCATTTTTAAATAATCCCTTTTAGAGTTTTGTTCATAGTTTTACAATGAGTCATTAATACTGGATATTTGCTTGCATTTCTGGCTTCATGACACATTGATTCATGTATCAAACAGGTTATAAAAAAATTTTAGGCAATTTCAATATTGCAATAAAATGAAAGTTTATTTTAAGATAAATATTTAAATCTATTTGCATTTTATGTAATTCAACAAAAGATATTTGAATATTGATTAAAAGAGAGAATAGATGAATTTAAGAATTAACAACTTTTGATTACAGTATATATAAATATAAATCATAGTGACATTGACAAAAATACTTTGATAAAAATGAAGTCACAACAGCAGTATGCTTTTTCTTTGATCTCTCTCTCTCTCTCTCTCTATATATATATATATATATATATATACACACACACACACACACACACACATATATATATATCTCAGTATGAGAAAATTAAATGGATGGTATTTACAGCAATGTCATAAAATTTTGTGTGACTTAATTTTTTTATAGAAACCAGAGAAGTTCTTGTGACATTGGTTTGTAAACCTTTTCCTAAAAGGAACCTCATCATAAATGCATAACATGGGGATCAGGCTTGAAATTTTCTGTAATGGAAAATGACATAAATGCAGGCAAACAACTTTAACTTTGTAATCTGTTGCCTGGTTTTAATGAAACTTGTTTTCTTTCTGTTCCCATTTCAGGCACTGGATTCTTACAGATATGGTGTTGTGTGCCATTTTAGTTGTGTATAAATAGACATCTTTTGTATCTTTTACATGCTAATCTGAATGAATAAAAAAACAACATAAGTACTGGATCTTTTTTTTTTTTTTTTTTTTTTAAGAGAAAGACTTTTTTCATATATATAGTCTGGTGTAATTTCAATGAGAATTCAGTTGCCATTTGGTGTATATTAGCAGCTGTAAATAATTTGTTTTCTTTTTGTTTAAATTCCTTATTTATTTAATATAAGAAAATCTGTTTGAAAATAAATAAAACCGTGAAAAAGTAAATTTAAAAATAAACCTAGTTTAATTATAAATATTCATTAAGATAAAATATTTCTTAGACATCTCATTGTAAACAAATGGGAGATTATGCACGTGGCTTCATATTTATTTTTATAAGATGCCTTATTAAATGTTAGTAGATAGAATTTGCAGGATGATTAGATTTCACTTCCTTTTGCAGTATGTTAATATTAAAGTCAAAACCACAATTTATCACAGATTATGGAATCAATGTAATATTCAACTGGTTTAGTATAAAAAACCTTCAAAATAATAAAAAAAAATCAACTTTCAACATTAAAACACTTAAGGTGTTTGTTTTTTTTTAATAATTGAGCAATAAAAGAAAAAGTATATTTTTATGATTTTCACATGAAATTTTGTAGAATCACTGAACAATTTCTATTTGTAGTTGTTGCATGTGGCTGACGAAAGTCAAATAATTTTTCTTTTTGTTGAACATTGGTGTGTAATAATAATAAGGTTTCAATGAATGACATTAATGCATTCTAGTGAAAAAAAAAAGTTGTCATTTTGGACACATCAGCTGCTCACGTGTAAGACAATATCAAAATATCTGTTTCAACATCTATTACAAATGAAATCTGGACCAAAAACTGTTAATTTGAATGTTAACACTGTATTTACTTTTGAGAGTTATTGTTTAGTTTCCTTTTATTTTAAATGTTTCATTATCCTCCCATTTTTAGCATTGTTGAGAAGACCATCAAAGAAGCCATTATTGAACATGTCTTTGGAGGCTACCAATCAGGAGGAAGCTCTGCTGATGCAAGACAGGAAAAAGGTAACAAATAACTTCTGCAAGCACCTTAAGAATACATTAACAACAAAATTACAAGTTCCAAATCAGTAGTCAAGAATTGAGTGTACTCTGTTGAAATAAGAAACCACAATTTTTAAATAGCAGCAAAAGTTCACTTTATATCAGTAATTGGTTTCGTATTTGTGATTTGTGGAGTATAAAATGTCTACAAGTAAAGGTTATTCATCATGGTCGAGAAAGAATGCTTTCAGTCATTTTGGGTAATTGTTTGATAACTGTAAAGAAAGCAACAAGAGAATGAAATAGGCCAGTGTATTAGGTCAATGAAAAGGTTTGTTCTGTGTTTGTTAGTAAATGGCATTAGGAGAGTTTAGTTTAACTAAGTTTTTCTTTAAGAGGGTCTTTTATTAAAACTGTCACATCAGCATGTAAAATTTGGCGTAGTTTTATTTATTGAAGCTGGAAGAAAATATTTTTAGCATATTCTTTTTTGCATTAATAGTAAAAATAATTGTTACAGAACAAGCTAGTATCACCCCTGTTATGAAATGAACTCTTCTTTTGTGTTTTGTATGTAAATTTATTGTATGCAAATGAACATACATTTTCTTACATAAATTCTGCTGTATTTTGGGGAGTGGGATTATGTGGAGAGACACTGATATTGTTGCTTTGCTTATTTCTTTTGTTGAATAAAGCCTTTCTTAAGATTATTGTTGTCATGTTTTCCTGCTGCTTTGAATTGTTTTAAATTCATAACAAACCCTCACATACCCAGTCGGCTGCAAAGGGGAAAAATCCACCCCTCTCCAATGAAGCATTCTGGGTATGACGATAAACTATATCTAGCAGCAAGGCCTCTGATCAGGAGGTTTTAAGGAGTGTGGAACCACCTCTTAATTTTTGGTGTTCCCAGGTTCACCCTGACCTAGAGTGGTAGCACATGTTAGGGTCCCAGCAATGGGCAAATAGTTAACCTCCAAACTGAGGTCAAAACACTATGAAAGTGTAAAAAATAGGTTTTAATATCAGCAATACATTTTTGAAGAAAAAAATATCAGTAATACATTATTACCAGCAATACATTTTTGAAACAAAAAAAAAAAATACCAGCAATAAAAAATCTTGTCAGCATTGAGTTTGATATGCCATAAAACAAACCAAACACCTCACTTCTTTCATTACCAATAGGATAAGATTGTACTTACAACTATTTATCCATGAAAAACACTTTGAAAATTTAAGATGTTAAGATATAATTTGATATTTTGGTCTAAGTATTCTCTCTAGTATAACTGAAAGGTCTATTTTCTAACTACATATAAGGGAAGTTTTGATGAAAAACACTTGTTAGCTGTGTCTGTCTGTAAACAAGGTAATAGGATATTCCACATTGTTTAGGGCAACAGAAAAAATAAGGCACACAGTGGAATTTTAAAAAAAGAACAATAAAAAAAAAAAAAGTGGGAGAACTCTGCCAAACTGGATTGCCCAAAAGGAATTGCTTTAATTTCAATTTTCAATAGAAGAGAGACAATAAAGCACCCAACATTCAGAAGCAGAGTATTAAAAATTATTTGCACAACTTTGGTTAGATTAGTTGCTTTGATGTGTGGCTTCCATGTGAGTTATGTAAACAAAATAAAAAACTGTTGGACTCTATTTTTATGAGCAATTTGCTACTATTTCCATTTTTGAAACACATTGTGACAGATAATGAAAAGTGGGTACTTTACAACATGGATTGACAAGGATTGTTTGTCAGACAAAATGAATCGCAATTAACAATGCCAAAGGCTGGTCTGCATTCAAACATTATGATACAGTGTAGAATATATAGTGGAATTAGAAGCGAGTCCTAATATGAACTCCTTTCAGAGAAGCAAATTGATTGATTTGAACAAGTACTGCTCGCAATTAAGTGAATTGAAAACAGTATTTGATGAAAAGTACACAGACTTAGCCAAGAATTTGTAATATTCAGTCAGGATAACAGTAATCCACATTTTTGTTTGGTGACAAAAAAAAAAAAATAGAATTTTTACAATTTCATTCATTTTCCATATTCCCAAAATATTGCACCTTTCAATTTCTATTTATTCTAGACTTAACAAAACTCTTACTTAAAAAAAAGAAACCAGGAAATTTCTGGAAGACTGCAAAATGCATTTAATGCAGTACTTTGCAGAAAATGATGAAATATATTGTAGGTGAATGGAATTATGAAATTAACTGAAAAATGGCAGCGGATAATAGCATAACATTATAAATGATAAGAATGGGTTCAAAGAAAGATGATTTAATGCTTTAGTCACCCATATCATTTTATCCTCAATACAAAAAAAAATGAAAAAAAATGAACTTACAAAATCCACAAAGACAAAAAAAAGATACCACCAACAACATTTCTAACAAAAATTACAGGCTAACTGCACAAAGGTAAAAATAAAACCCCAACTAGACAGACAGCTATTAGTTTAAAAAATATCTAGGTTTTAACTATCTATTGTAAATATGTTAAAACATTTGTGCAGTATTCATAATTAATTTTATTACGTTTTGGTTTCAATTTTTAATATGGATAGCTTTGAGAATTTTTAGTTTATATTTATTATTTTCATGAAAAAGTATAGATGTATTTTCAACAAGAATTTTCCTAAATTATGAATGCTGTTGTAAATGTTGAGAGATGTGTGTGTATATATATATATATATATATATATATATATATATATATATATATATATATATATACACAAAAATCAATGTGGTTTCCACAGCCAAATTGGTAAAGACACAATTTGGATATAGAAATAGTTTCCCTGTTGGAAATACAATCTTTCTTTTGTAGGACTTCTCCATCTAGGCTGGTTGTTATTAATTTCACTGTTTAAGAAAAAAAATACAAGGATAGCAACTGAAATAAGTGTATCCACTAAAAATAACTTTTATAATAGTAAAGAAATAATGTTGGATAAAAAAAAAAAAAATCCATAAAAAAAAAAAAATTACATACATACAGATATATATATATATATATATGTAAAATGACAATCTTTACATATGCATTCCAGTTTATCCAGCTACTGATATAGCCCGCATCCTACTCCCTCTTCTCTCCAGTCTGTCTCTTCTTCCTCTCTTTTTCCTTAGTTACTAGCTCCGCTAACTTTGTTGAGTAATACTGACCTTATGGGTCATCTAGCTTTTTTTTCCCTATTTGCTTGGGACTGGTGTGACATCTTGAGAAAGCTGATTTGTGTACCATAAACAAGATTGTGTAATTCCTGTCTTTGGCTGTGGTAACTTTTGTCTTTTTGCATCCAAGGACAACTTGGTAATCTGAGCTGGAATAAGAACTCTTTCAATAAAATGCACCATACTGTTGACAAATCTAACAACAGGTTTATTGAATATAAAGAAAAAAAAATAAACTGGAGAATAAACTTTCTCTATTATTTTGTGCAAAACCAAGTTCTCCACATTTGCCCGATAGTGATTTGAGAATCTAGCAGTAATTGTCATGAAATAGTAGAAAGAAGTGTCTGTCATGTGTGTGTCTGTGTGTTCTTTCCAGCCACCAAAAATGCAGGTGTGTTTCTTGGGTGGCTACAGCTTTCTGATGACTCCTTGTCAAGCTCAATTCTCTGTATGTGTGTCCGGTCTGGTGGACTTTTGTTTATGTAAACTATTCCCTGCTAAAATTCGACATTAATATATCTAATTTTTCCATCTCAACTGTCTTAATATTTGGAGATTTTGTTAATAACTACATGGCATTCTCATTGTACAGAATCTTCTTTCTTTCTGTAATGATGGTGTTTTGGGGCAGACTACATCAATATAAACAAACCCCAAACTTGGGAATTAGGCAAAATTCAGATGCCTTCTTTGTTTAAAAGGGTGATTCTTTTCTGTAGGGATATAGATGTCTTGGATGGATAGTATAATGTAAATAAAATCCCAAGCTTGGGACTTCAGGTATGAAACATGCCTTTCTTTTTCTAGAAGAATTTGGGTTAATCTTTTTTGTAAGCATATACACATTTTGGATAGATAGTATGAATGTAAGCAAACCCCTGAATTTAATTTCTGATGACCAGAAATTTCAGACAACACATTAATCATATCTTCTCATCAGCGGGAAGTGGATAGGGTGGAGAACCCTGGTTTTGTTCAATTTTACTGAAACTTGGTTAGTTAATTCTGGGTTTCATCCTCCTCGGAACCGTTCTTAAATTCATTTTATTGTTTAAAACATAATTCTTAACCAGTTTCTTTTTCCATTTTTTTCTCAACTTATCAAACTACCCCCTGAAAATTATTATCTAATTAGTAGTTCTTCCAAATCGCCATCCTACATCTTTATGCAATTAAACATTTGAACAATCAGTGCCCTGCTACATTGACAGTTTCATGTGTAGAATGTAATCTTCAGGCAGTAATGAGGGACAGAATACAAGCCAACAAATTGGGAGGAATAAATAAGAGGAATGTAAATGAGGGTGAGGTAGTTTCTACTTATATATATTTGTATAGTGGGTGGGGGAACAAATATTTGTACACATATTTTAATTGTATTTCCATAATAACTAAATATGCATAGAAAACAGAAAAAATTTTGATTTAAAAAAAAAAAAAATCCCATTTATCCATTTTAATGGGTGAAAAAGCATTTTTACAATACAAAAAAGAATACATAATCTTCATTTAATACTTTGTAGAATAGCCATTATTCACTTCTACAGCAGCCAACCTCTTGTAGTTCTCAAGTAATGATTTGCAAATTTTAGTTGGTATTTTATTCCATTCTTCTTCGCATATAATCTTCTGATCCTGGATGTTTGTTATAGCTCTCAATTGGATTTGAATTTTCAAATAATGCCACAAATTCTTGATTGGGTTTAAATCTGGGAACAGATTTGGCCATTTCAGGATATTTACATTATTTTTCAGCAAGCCATTTCTTTGTAGATTTTGCACTGTGTTTAGGATCATTATCTTGTTGGAAGATCCAATCAGGAGGAAGTTCAAGATTTTCAACCAAAATCACTGAATTTGCTTCTAAAATATTTTGATGTGGCATTCCTTTTACCATCTATTAATGATATGTTGCCAGTACCTTTTGTAGAAAAACATCCCCAAATCATGATGCTGCCACCACCAAATTTAACTGTTGGAACTGTTTTCTTTTGTTTAAAGACATTGCTATCTTTCCTTCATACATGATTTCTAGAATTACGTCCAAATAACTCAATTTTGGTTTCTGTCTGTCCATAATACTCTTTCCCAATAATATTTTTCCTTATCGTTATATTCATGTAATGAATTTCAACTTGGCATCTCTGTATCTTTTCAATAGCAGTGGAGTTTTCTGAAGGGAGCATGAATTTAGATTGCTCTTATGAGTTTCATTGCTTATTGTCCATTTAGTGACACAGATTCCTGATGAAAGCAAATCATTTTGCTTTTAACATTTTTAAAAAATTGTATGTGTACAAATATGTTTTCCCTCTGCCACTGTATATAATGCTAGATGGCAACCATATTTTGCAGTTGAAATGTTCACAATTCAACTTTTATAAATATCAAAAATGTTTGTTTCTAAGTGAAAGTGATAAAGAAAAAAAATTCTTTACAACATTCATGAGGTGTTATTTTTTTTAAATCTCTCTGGTGCCTATATTTTTGATTTTTAGAACTCGTAAAAATGATTTAATATCAATTAAGGGTGAGACGGTCAAGAGATTAAGCAATGTCAAACTTCAACATATGAGAATAAAGTAATTAAAATTGAAGAATGTCAAAATAACTTCAAAGCTTTTATTTGGTATATAGATATATAATTCACCCACCTAAAGGATTGGGTATATTTATATTATGTACACATAAATGTAACATACAAAACTGTGGTTGAAATGTTATATGAATTTTTTTTCTCAAAATATTGACAAATTCCAGTTTATATTTATCTTTTATCTTTGTTTAAATAAGAAATTTATGGTCTGATTGTAATCTGCTGATTTCATTCATGGGCAAAGAATACTCTTTAAATTTTACACAATCACCAATTTGTGTTTCTCTTGATTTACATACAGTTTGAGAATTTGTTACAAATTGCTTGACAAGTAAAAGCTGAAGGTTTAGAGCAGGTTAGAGGCTCTTATGTCTGATTAGATTGTTGACAAACATCTGTTTGATATCAACAATCTTTCATTTAGAAGAAAATGAAGTCATTGATTCTGAAACTAGGTTAAATCATTGCTATATGACAAAGGAAAATAATTATCAGCATTTATTATTTTTATAGTGACTTAATCAGGTCCCACTTGGAAGCTTGTCTTCTTTTTGGGCACACTTGTGCTTGCTTTGGTATAAACCTACAACCATTTCTTTAAATGGTATTTTAATGAAAAAATAAGATAAAATTAGCTAGAACTAGCTCTATGCATTTTTTTATTTATACTTTTTAAAAATCTTTTCCTGGACTATTTTGTGACTGCTCACATTATATCAGTCTTAAAGTAAACATTAGAGAAACATGTTTGAATTTTGGGTTTTATGTTTCACTGCTGAACATAATTTCTAAACTTTAAAAATGTGTAAAATATATAATAAAAAGAACAAACTCAAATAGTTAAATTTATTTTGTGTTTATTTTTTTTTAATTGTTCACTCATGTACATGAATGAATATTTCATTTTAAGTAATAAAATTGACACTATATATGGAACACAAGCTTTTTACTCTTATCAATTGCTCATACTGTATATAAAATTCAAATTTGGATATCTATGTATGCTGAGAGAAAGGTAACAAAATGAAATTCGTACTTTTTAAAACTTTTCTGTAGTAAACCTTTAGAAAATTTCAGAAATTAATGAATTATATATTAATGCTTGCTATTTACACTTTCAAAAATCATGTGTAAGTTTACTTATTTATACAGAAATTGTTTCTGTTAATATATCAAACTTCAAGACCATTTGTATGTGCATGTATTTGTGAAATAAACATGGAAACAGTGTGGAAGTTAACAAGGTTTGTAGGTTTTGTGTATTTTAGATGAAGGTTTTAAAATTCTACATTTATCAGTAGCTTAGTGAATTTGGTCACATAGTACTTGTGAGTTTCATGACTGGGCCAGGTAGTGTAGATTTAGATTCAGTAGTAATAGGCTAACCAGTAACTGATCATTACTTAATAAAGAAAAAGACGAGACATCTCTAGAACATGGACAGTGTGGAATGATGACATTCTACTCCTATAGATTAAATAATAGGTTGAATTTCAAAATTCTCTGGGTTCTTGGATCTTCAAGCACTTGATGAAGGCCTGAAAGCACAACGGCTGAAGCATTGCAATAATAACAAAGATGAAGACAATAGTCCAAGTGTAAATAATTATTTTATAGCATTGAAGAATTTTTTTACATTGCACTAGTAGCTCTTCTTGTCAGGCTATTTTACGCCTGCCTGTAATTTTACATAGCAAAAAATATTTCTTGTATTCTTAATAGTATCTAATTTCCTCTTTAGTCAGATTTTATTAAATTTAGTGGTGTGTAAAAGAATTTTCCAAAGTTAGTATTGAATTTTTTGTTAGCAAGAGTATATGATACAAATTGACCTTGAATCTAGTAATTCCCAATATATTGTTATCTAATACTTTTTCTGATGAAAAATATCAGCTGTGGTATCTGCATGTCCCTCCACAACAAATAAAATTCTTCTCTCTTTGCTCTTGTCCATCTTATCTTTTGTGGTACCCTCTGATAATGATTTAATTTCTTGTTAAAAATTGACTTTTGATTCACTACACATCAGGAATCTTAAGTGTCTGCATAAGCAGTGAGTATAATAATTCAATCATTTCTAAAACAAGACAGAATTATGAATTTACTGTTTTTCTCTAAATAATAATTAAATCATTTTGAATTTAGGATACAAAATATTAAATTTAAATTTGCAAATCTACTATGATGCTATCTTAATTTTTAGAACACTTTATGAGAATTAAAATTGAACTGCAAAGCATATAAATAAGTTTTCTTTTTTCGTTGTTGTTGCAAGATTTTAGCCTGCTTTGTACCAAATTATGGGGTGGAACTATTTCATTTTAGAAAAAAAATTATTAACTTACGCTGAGACTCCTGTTCTTCAAATGGAAGTCATTACTGTTGAAGTTGACATTAAAATGTATTACTATTTATATCCCCAGAGGAAAGGAAAATAATTGGAAAGAATTTGGAGGAGATTTCATAAAGAAACTGGCTTTATATTTTGTTAGAAATAATCACATTGTTTTTTTTTTTTTTTTTTAGTCATTACTTTCAAAAGATTTCTATTAGTGTGCATACTGTACTGTTATCATCTGATCTATCTAGTATGTGATAATTTCTTTTTTTTTTTTGTAAATGTGATTGTAAATATTTATGGCTTTGTTGATGTTTTCAAAAAGGTTTTAGATTTTCAGGAAGTTTGCTAAAGTATATATTAAAAAAAATGTCTACTATAATTTCTTATTTGATATATTGAGAAAAATATTGTTGATTTTTTTTTTTCTTTGGTTAATTCTTGTTGCACTTCATAAAAAGAAGCTATTGACCTATAAACAGCAACCGCATAAAATTTTCTCTACATCTCTGTATTTTACAGAAACTGATGTATATAATTGCCAATTAATTCCAAAGATATAGACTTTATGGCTATTAGGGTTTCTGTGGGTGTTGACTTTATTAGAGTAGTCATCAATGCAGTCATTTAAAATCATTTCCAAGCCTCAATGTTACATCATAGTTTTTTGCTGAAGGAAATGCAACAGAAGGTAAAATTTATAAGATTCAGAGATGTGATTTTTTTTTTAATGTAATTTTGGTTTGTTCCATTCAGTTTGTCTTTTATTTGTCAATAATTTCAAACAGAGGACATTAATAAATAAATGTGTGTGTGTGTGGGCCTAAAGAATTCCTACACCCTGAATGAAGAATAAACTTCCAGTTTTGAGAACTGTATATTCACAAGATTTACAATGATCACTAAATTTTCTAGAATCAAAATCTCTAACTTTAAAATCAAAACTTTTTGAATAATGAATTGTCTTTTGGAAATTCAGAAACTTTTTTGTTGATAATTCTAAATGATAAAGTGTGATTTTTGCCTGCTTCTAAAATTCCCCATTTTATTTGTGTGCACACACACACACACACACACATTATCTTTTAAAAGACCAGAATGAATAAAAAAAATTCCAAATATATTAAACAACAATAGTTATGATGTATTTGAAAATGATGCTGAAATGAAGAAACTATTACCATATGTTTAGAATTTTATATATATATATATATCTTGATTTTATTTTTTATTCATTTTTTTCAACAGGCTTGATGTGTTTGGCGGGTAGCAGCAAAACTCAAGATACCAAAAAGTCTGAGAGGAAGTAAGAACTTTTTCTTGAACTTCATTTTTTTTTTTTTTTTTTTTTAAATAGATGTACTGAGTTCCTTTCTTCTATAAGAAATAAAAAAAAAATTTTTTAATAAACCTTAGCATTTTTATGTCTTCAATTATTTTTCTTCCTGAATTTAGATTCCATTTGTTCAAAATGTTTTTATATTTTACATATCTTTTTTTTCTTAAAATGTTTAGCTGAACATATTTGCAGTTTTTGTTGTTTTTTAACTTCTCTAAATATTTCCATTTGATGCAGCCCAAAAGAATTTCATATTATATCTTTCTTCCTCTTTCTATTTTTTTTTTGTTGTAGAAGCCCTGAACATTCATCGGAGTTTGGAAAATCTGTGATTGATAACAAGAGACAAAAAACAAAAGCTATTCGAACATCAAGTGAAATGAGTGGATCAAGCATTCAGGTTAGACCCCCCATTTTTTCTTTTCTCTCTACAGCCATTAATAAACAGTGCAAGTGAAAAATCAAGAATATCTCTCAATTGAGACTCGAACTCTCATCCTCACTTTTACCTTGGGAAATTTGTTTTTCTCATACAGCTGTTCTTATTGATTGAATTACAAGAGATTTTTGCAAGAGATAAAATCTAGGCCAGGAACTTAATCTTTTTTTTTTTTGTAGTTACTCTGCATTATATTTTATTTATTATTTATTTTTATTCATACATAGTACTAGGATTGGTAATGGTAATAATGTTTTAATGTTTTATTAGATGAAGCACAGAAGCAGCTATTATGAATAAAGAGGCTTTCTGAGGAGGAAGAAAGGGATGTGAGATTGTCTTGTTGACAATATTCTTGATTTCTGATCTGTAGAAAGATGGTTTGAGCAGTTGCAATGAAAAGCAACTGAAATTAAGATGAAATAGTTGTCTAAAATTAATGGTTTAACAATTCTTCATAAAATAAGTCCAAGAAGGCATGATTTTGAAGTTTCAATCAAGTCAGGGAGAAAATAACTTTAAATAGTTGCCATAGTTATGTTTCTATTTGTTATTGTTGCACTTGTTAATGGCAAATATAAAAGGATTTTTTTTATATATATTCTTGATTCTTAAATTTTAAAAATTCTACCTAAGAAATGGCTGTACAGTATTTGCTAAAATACCTTTTGGTTAGAAGACAAAATTGAAATTTGATCTTAAATTTTAATGAAAAAGTAATTTTTCTAATAAACTGAATAAATTTTAACCTGAAAATTAATTTAATTTAGTTACCTCCACGAGATTGTTAAAAAAAATCATAGCATGATGAAAAAGATGCCAAACTTGACGAAAACAAAATTTTATTGTTTAAATGTTTGTTATTATTAAGAGAAAAGATCAAAGTATTTTGGGAGTATTTTTTTACATTTTCTAATCATTCCTAGCACGTCTGAAATTTTCGTTAAAAATCTTGTTTTTTTTTTTTTTTTGAGTCAGCAAAATTGACCATTTTTTTCCATTTTTATAAAAAAACTGGAAATCTCACTTTGAAATTCTTTTAAATATCAATTATCATTTTTTCAAAACTTATTTTAAGAAAATCAGAAATTATAATGTTTATTTAAAATATTTTGGCCGAAAAGATATAATTTGAAAATAAACTTTCGTGTCACTTGATAGGTGATGAATGACATATTGACAGATTCCATGAGGCTAATTTGTTCTACAGAAGGAAAAAAGTGAAATAATTTACATTTAAGTGAACAAATTATTTACCTTGTTATTTTTAAGGAAAACTTTTAGCGCTCTAATTTTTTTTTTTTTTTTTTTTTTTTTTTTTTTAGCTTTCACCTTTTTTTTTACGATGCTTTTATGGGAAATATATTATAAAGAAATTAAAATAAGACTGTTAAGAGTGAGATTAAATTTCATATTTCATAAGAAAGGACTCTAATTTATAGGCACCTTTCTTATGAAATTTTATCAGAAGTGTACATAAAATACTATAATTTTATGTACATTTATTACATTTTACTGTGTTATTTGTATTTCCATTCATTTTATTATTAATTTTGATATTTCATTTATGGAAAATGTCATAACTGAGATTAATATAAAAATAAGATCATATAAATTTCATGAGATAATACTGATACTTGTAGGTTTTTTCTCAGTTGAAATTGAAAAAATCAAATTAATATCTCTACACGTGTTTCACAAAAATAAAAATTTAATGGCGGAGAACAATGCTTAACTCAAATAACTAACTTAATTGTATTCTGGTTAGTCTTCCGACGTTATAATTACAGCTGGATTATAAAACAAAAATTACATTTCTTGATTGCTGCGGATCTTCTGATTAGTCAAAATGATACAATTTACAACGCACTAAAAAAAAAAAGATCTATCTCATAAGGAGACTTAGGAAACTTGATGCGGCTTTTAACTAATTTTATAATATTTTAAAAAATTAAATATAAAAATCTATTATAATCAAGAAATAACAAATCATTGTATTAAAAATTCATTTTTCATCGAAAAAAATTTTTTGCCTTCAGAAAATATTGTCCATATTCATAAAAACAACTAAAAGCAAATAAAAGCATTTGAAATTAAATAATATCTTTGTTTTATTGAGTTTTGTATGTTACAATTCAGAGCTGATTTTCAGGTGGTTGTCCAATTAAAAACAAAAAAAACATGATTTGCATTCCTCAAAGTCTTGTGCTTTTAACTATTGTAATCATTAAGCTAGACTTGATTGAATTTCTAGCGTTTTCATAAAATTAGTTATGGGGGAGTAATAAATATAAAAAAAAATATTTCTGCCATGACTTTAATAAAAAAACAAAACATATTTATAATAATTTTGATCATCTGTGAATAGTTCCTGAAAGTTTCATTAACATCCAACAATTATTTATATTTTTGCAAGATTTTCCAAATTAATATGTCATACCAAAAAAATGTGCTAAAAATTGTCTGTTATTTACTATTTCCGCTGATACAAAGAGAAACAAGGTTTTTTTAATCAAAATTTAGGATGTTCTAAAAAGAAGGAAAATTTTTTAAAAATAATTAAAAAAAACTTTGGTCGTTCCTCTTAATAATAACATAAGCATTTAGATGATAAAATTTTGTTTTCGGCAAGGTTGGCGTCTTTTGCATTAAGCTATGTTCTTTAGCGATTTCATGGAGGTACCTATTTTAAATCAATAATATTTGGTCAAAAATAAGTTACTTAAGATTGCCCCCCAGCCCCCCAAAAAGAGCCTCTAAAATGAAAATACTAGTATTAACTTGTAAGAACATCCAACTGTTTTTGCCTTTCTGCTCAAACATATTTAGTTTCTTAGCATATTGCTGAGGTTAAAATCTGTTCTTTCTTATTTTATAGATGAATGATCCTTATCAAATAGCACCATATAATTCTTGCATCAGAAATTTCTCCTTTTTTAAGTGGATTCCTAGCAAAATTTAAAAATTTTTTAACTTAAACATTTGAATATTTTTCCCAACAGGGTGAAGAAATTGCAAGTCCTAAAAGCAGGCGGCCATTGCAACATTCAAGTGTGGTAAATCAAATGAAGAATATAGACACTCATCATGGATTACGACATGGAACAATTGAGTGGTAAGTATTTTTCTTTTTGATTGCACCATTTGCCAGTCTTCTTATATTAATTCCATACCAGTTTTTGTTTGCATTCACTAAGAGTTGTTTTTCTGTCTCAAGACAGAACAGTAAGAATATTTTCTGAAACAGTTTAATTGTACCAAAATACACTTCTCTTGGCAAGGAGAGAGAAAAAAATATTCTTGAATATGGGTTTTCTTAATTTATGTCAGTTTTGAGATAAAGAATTTTTTCCTACTCTGACCATCATGCTTATCTTGATTGTTGTACTTACCATGTTTTGATTGTCATACCTCTTCAGGCTCTGTTATACAATAAGTAACCTTCTCGGAACTTTGAACTGAACCCTTTATTCAATCTTATTTCACTTTACATCTCTTGTCTATTTGCTTTTGTATGGTCAAATCATGCTTGGTTACCAAAGTTAAACACTAAGGTACTAGCTGGTCTTGAGACTGCTTAACATAGATGAAGAACTGCTTGTGGACACCAGGTACTATGAGCAACTTCCTACAATCCAAAATATGTTTCAGCTTTAAATAATAACCCACAAAGGGTTGATAAACTATAAAAAAAAATCTGTCAATTAGTCCATCTCTTCTACTGAACTAGAAAATAGTACTTTTTAGTACTACTCAAGCCAGGAATTGAACTCACAACTGCCAGGGAACCAGTTAAGGGTAGAGGAACAGTGAAATGTTGTAGTCCCAGGAGAGACATTGAAATGAAGTGTGTTGGATCACATCTTGAGGGAAAAGAATGATCATCAATTTCTGTGGAATAAAATCAAAATAGAGTAGGATAAGACTACTGAAAAAAATCAGTGAATGTATTTGTTGTGTCGTGTATCCTGCTAAGTAAGCATTCTACCTCTGTTCTAGTTGGTGTCGATTTATCAAATGAGCTACCTGCTCATATGCAAATTATACTAATTTGCATCTCACTACATCTCCCTATAACGGAGGGGCCTTATGCCACGAGTACTTCTTGTACTTCTTCTTGTGCCGTCCTGAACATCTTCCTTTATCTCTCTCCTTTCCCTTGGAGATCTAGATCTATCACGTCTTTCTCTATAATCGAATTGTTCCTCTTGCATACTCTGGTCTTTCTCTTCTAACTTGTCCCATTCTACTTCCTCTTCTAACTCATCCCTCTCTACTTCTTCCTCCGCAGTTTCATTCTGCATTAACTCTTCTGTTACATCAATAATTGGCATCTCTGAAGGCATTTCCTCATCTGATTCTTCTCCTTGGGATCTTATTTGGTCAGCATGAGCTAGAACACTGTTCCCATTTTCTTTATTTAATATTGCAGTATTATGTCCTTTCTGCATAATAAATTCGGCTGACTCGGGTTGCATATTCCTATTTCTTTTGTACCACATCTTTTGATTTGTGGCATATGACATAGTCAAAGGGGACCTTAATTATCTGCCCATTAAGGCAGATGGACTTTCTGGCCTGCCTGCATGTGGAATTGTTCTGTAACTTAATAGTAGTCTTGGTAGAAAAGCGTCGATTTCCTCCTTCTGTTGCAAGCATGCTTTTATGCCCTTCTTTACTGTCTGGACCATCCTTTCTGCTGCCCCATTACTTTGAGGGTGGTAGGGAGGGGTCTTGTAAGGTCTGCATCCTATTTTTCTTAGCCATTCATGCAAATCAGCATCCACAAATTCTGGTGCGTTATCAGTCACCAATGTTCTCGGTGTTCCATTCCTTGAAAATATTACTCTTAATATTTGTTTTACGGTGGTACTTTTTTTATCAGGTACTCTCACCACTTCAGGCCAACCTGAATATGCGTCTACTAATATTAATAATAGTCCTATCCCATTGACATAGGCATGGTCCATGTGTACTCTGCTCCATGATTCTACTTCTCGGGGCCATACATGTATTTTCTTTTGCTTAAAATTCCTGAGTTCTGTGCATTTTTTGCATCTTTTTACGTAGTCTTCTACGTCTCTTGAGTACCCCGCCACCACGCTTCCAATTTTAATTCTTTGCGTAGCTGCCACTCCACAATGTACATCATCGTGTACACTTTTTATAACCTGTCTCCTCTGTGTTTCTGGGGGAACTACCAAGTCTCCATTACATATTATCCCGTTTTCTATAGTCATTCTTTCAGCCATTGACCAATTTCCCCAGCGATTCTGTTTTATCCTTGACATTATTCTATTTAACACTGGGTCATTTGTAGTTTCAGTAGCCATTTTATCTACAGATATTACATCGGTTTCTACAAGGTGCAAGAATGTGTCTTCAAATTCCTCGTCGTTTTTGTCCTTCTCCTCTCTATAAAACCTCAATCTAGATAAGGCATCAACGTGCAGTATCGTATTCCCTTTAACATATTCAATGTCAAAGTCGAACGCCATCAGTCTAATCGCCCAACGTAATATTCTGGACGTTGTAACTTTCGGTAACTCTTTTCTTGGGTTGAAAATAAATTCCAGTGGTCTGTGATCACTTTTCAACAAGAATTTTTTTCCCATCAAAAACTGTCTTGCTCTATCCGTTGTCCACACTATGGCTAGTGCCTCCCTTTCTATATTCGAATAATTGTGTTCAGTTGTTGTTAATCTCCTCGATAAGTACATTATGGGATGCCCATCTTGTGACAAAATACCAGATATGGACTGCTCACTAGCGTCAGTAGTTAGTTATGTCCTTCTTAGGGTAAAAAATTTGTACTATTGGCTTTTTTGCCAGAATCTGTTTTAAGTTTTCAAAGGCTTTCTGTTGGTGTTCTAACCAAATGAATTCCACTTTTTTTTTTTCTTAACTTAGCAAATGGTTCTGTCAACTCATTATATTTTGGTACATATTTTTCTATAAAATTTACCAAACCTAAGAAGGACTCCAACTCTTTTTTTTTTTTTCAGTGTAGCAACTTTTAGAATTTTCTCTATTAGTACTTTTATCTGGAGAGATCCCTTCCTTTGATATTGAGTAACCCAAAATGATATTTCATTACTGTTGGTTACACACTTTTTTGTATTTATTGTCATACCAGCGTCTCTCAGCGGTTCAGTATATTTTCAGTTTTTTTCTTTAAATCATCTTCATTTAAATCTCCAACACATATATTGTCTTGATAACAGATGGTATTTTCAACATTTCCTATTACTTTTTCAATAGCTTTTTGAAAAATTGCACTTGCTGGTTTTATGCTATACGGCATTCTTTTCCACCTTAACAGGCCTATAGGTGTGTTTATGGTCGTCACTTCTTTAAAATTTTCATTTATCGGTATTTGGTGGTAGGCTGATTTTAGGTCTATCTTCGAAAATACTTTCATCCCAGCAAGTTTATGTAAAGCTACTTCCACATTCGGAATAGGGTATGAGTCAGCACAAACTTTATGGTTCACTCCTATTTTATAATCTCCACAAATTCTCAGGTCACCATCTTTTTTTTTCAATACCACAATGGGTGATGCCCATTTACTTCCTCCTGGAGGGCAGGTTCTAATAAGTCTTCCTTTATTAGCTTTCAAATTTAGCTATTACCAACGGTAATAAATGCACTAGTATTTTTCTCGCTTCGTAGTAGGAGGGGAAACATCTTCTTTTAATTTCAGGCTAGCTTCATAATTTTTTAATTTTCCTGTTTTTTCTATTTCTATCTCATTAATCAACTTTGTTGAATTTATTTTTAACACGTCATTCCCCAGCAGTCCATGCGTTTTTCGGCAATTTGTAACTATAATGGGTACTATTTCATATTTTTCTTTTAATTTTATTGAACCTTCAAAGTAACCCATAATTGCTATAATCGAACCATCAAACTGACGTAATTGTATGTTGGTTTTTTTTAAAAACGGTTTTTCCAAATATTTTACTATCGGTTCATCCACTTCCTGCTTCATTGCCATAAATTTGACTCCTTTCTGCAATCACCAGTCTTTTCTTTGGCCTCATGTTTCCCTTAATAACCTGACTTATTTCTTCGAAAGTCATTTCTTCTAGTTCTCGAGGGTAAACCATTGTAGCAACCTTCATAATCGCTTCACAACCAGCGGTAGCCATGAACAAGTCGGTGATTTCATTTTCACCGCCTCTGTTTTTGTTGTCTTTCAACTTTTTACATCTTGCATTAGCAGCAAAGCAACGAATCCACGTGTCTACGTACTCTGGGTCTTCAAGGACCAAAGAGTATCCCATCGGTGACGCCATTGTTGTGTCGTGTATCCTGCTAAGTAAGCATTCTACCTCTGTTCTAGTTGGTGTCCATTTATCATATGAGCTACCTGCTCATATGCAAATTATACTAATTTGCATCTCACTACAGTATTCAACTCTGAAAATCTCCTCAGTAGATCTAGCATAGAGACAAACCTCTGATGTTCAGCACTTGAGTACAGACATTAGGTTAAAGTCCCTAAAATTACACCACTGGATTACACACATAGCGCTGTGAATTAAAACATATCCAATTCCTTGATAATTGTGATTTCAATCACCGAGCCAGGTATCATGAAAAAGTTATATGCTCTTGTTCAATGGAAGAGACAGACAAGTGAAATGAAGGCAAATAAACTAGAGAATATTTTACCAAGTACAATAGACATCTGAAGAAAGCTGGAGAGAACAGCAGCTAAAATGTTATGATTATATCAATCAACATGAGCTTGCTGGTCCAAATAGCAATGGTTTATAATGATAGGTGTTCTTAATTTGTTGATTTTGAAAATGAAAAAACTATGCTGATTAGAAACCAATTTTAATGTCGTAGAATTCTCTTGATTGCCATATTCTGTTATTTTTATGTTGCAAATTTAAGATTCAAATTTTGATTTATATATTTGTTTTCGTTCTTCCTCTATTTCTTGACCTTTTCTTCTTTCCCCAAATCTTCTGACCGGTTATGCCCATTAAAACCTGAGCATAAATATTTCTCCTTTGCTTGTTTTTATTTTTACGGGAATTTGCAAATATTAAGTACTGAATTTATGTAATTTTCTTTTTTCTAGTTGGGCTGATACTGATTCTGATGGAATTTGCCACAAGCTTGACTCTAGTGTGTTGGATAATAACTCATTACAATTAACTGGCAGCAACAAACACCCACCATCCAGTGACCATCATGTATGTTGAGTGCAAGTTCTTTAGTATCTCTAGTCTCTATATCTTTATGCTTGTGAAATTTTTGTCTTTTAAAATGATCTTAGTTAATTAGATTCATTTAATCTTTATCCAGTGAGCACATTTTCAACCAATTGAATAAAAGTATGTAATCAGTGTTTGATTAACAAGCTAGAAGTTTCAATGTTTATTAACAATTTCCCTTTTCATCCATTAACCCAGATATCATAAATCCCCTTTTTTTCATGAGCAACCTCACAAATTTGATCTTTAACATCCAGTTGCCTTTGTAGATTTTAATTCTAACTTAATAAATACCAATAGTTCTCAGAAAGGTATTTGTAATTATCTGTTATCATTCATAATCATTATGTCATTGCAATGGCAATTTTAGCTTCAATTTATACCCTGAATTGAATCAAATGACTTTGTGAAGTCTATTTGGCCGAGAATGTAGTGGAATAATTAATTCTCTGATTATTCCATTTGTTCAAGCAACAAAGAGAAAAATGCTTTCAGAAAAGAACATGATGTAATAGATACGGAAACAAATTTTATATCAATTTTTTATAACAGGTACAGTTTCAGTAATGTCTTTGTGGTGAAAGAGAATACTCATTAAATGAGTGTTCTGTGAGGTTTATGTTCCATTCAAATAATTCCTTTTTATAACTCTAGCCTTTGTTGAACAAATTGATGTGTGTGTGTGTGAAAGTTTTTATAGAGGAAAGGAGTGTAAAGGAAGTCCAACAACCTGCTGATTGATAATGAGAAGTTTACTACTTCAGTCAAAAGGAATGTGTTGGCTGAACAGGAGGAGTCAGGGAGTGGTAACTTGATCTCAGTTTTACTTAGTTACTTTATTAGATAGTATTCTTTTTTTTTTTTGTTTTCTTTTTAAAATGATTTCATCTAGGCTCTTAAAAGTGAAGTTGGGTGCTTTCTGATTGATTAAAAAACTGTTTTTGTCATATAGTAAAATTATATCTGTCTGTACAACTTGGTCATTTAAGTGTGTAACTTAGTGGAGATTCAAAAATACTGTGAATATAATGGTTGGATATGTTAAGTAAGTGATTGGGTGATAAATATGAATGTTTATATACTTTGTGTGTGTCTGTGTTTTATGACTATTTTTAGAAGTGATAAAATTGAAGGTATGATGCATAAGTTCAAGAGGAATTTCAAATCTTTTACTGTGTCAACTGCACTAATCAATAAGCAGTTACCCCGTTAAACTTAAATCTGGCAACAAGGGTAATGTATTTTTCTTGGATTTATTTAGGTACTGGCATGAGATTGCTGGAAAATGGGCATAGCAGGATAATAACAGCCTTAAACTTGATTATCATCTAAATGTTTGTTATTACCAAGAGGAAAGATCGAAGTATTTTTTGATTATTTTTTTTACATTTTTTAATAATTTCTAACACGTCCAAAATTTTCGTTAAAAATCTTGTACTTTTTTGATCAGCAAAATTGACAGAAAATCGATCATCAGCCATTTTTTTTAACTTTTGTTTACAAAAGTGAAAGTCTCCGTTTAAAAATCAATTATGATTTTTTAAAAAATTAATTTAAGAAAATTAGAAATTATAAAGTTTATTTAATATATTTTGAAACAAACATTACTTACTTTCTGCACTGAAAAAATGTACTTTAAAATGAGAGAAAGCCGGTCTTAACAGCAGTGTTGATTGACAAGTGACATGTGTGTGATTTCATCATGCACTGACATCTTACAGGAGGAAAAGTTATAGTACAGAAGGTCACAAGTGACAGTTTAGCTTTACATGAACAACTTATTTACCTCATTATTTTTAAGTATGCATAGCATGATAAAAACGGCTTTAATCTTGATGAAAGCAGAATTTTATCATCAAAATATTTATTACCAACACAAACCATGTGATGGACTATTGTTTGCATGATGCATCTGGTTTTCCATATATTTGAATTAAGTTATTTTTGGACACAAAAAAACCATGTTATATTAGATTATTATTTATTTGCAGATTGCTGATTGTAACCAGCTTTATTTTATAATCTGTAATAATATTTATCTACTTAATAACACCATTGACTAAACTGTACAACATTTTATTAATTTTAGAATATTTAACAACTTTAATGTAAAAAAAAATAAAATAATTTAAGAAATAACAAATAATTGTTGTAAAAGTTTATTTTTCATCAAAAACATTTTTTGCTTTCAGACAATATTATCCGTATTCATAAAAACAAGTAAAAGCAACTAAAAGCTTTTGAAATTAAATAATATCTTTGTTTTATTGAGTTTTGTATGTTACAATTCAGAGCTGATTTTAAGGTAGAAGGGTGTCAACTAAAAAAAAAAATGATTTGCTTTCTTCAAAGCCTTGTGCTTTTAATCACTAAAAATGTACACATTTGAATTTCAAGAGTTTTCATAAAATTATTTATGTGGGGTGGTAATATAAAAAAATTTTTTTACCATGATTTAAAAAAAAAAATAAACATATTTATAATAATTTTCATCATTTATGAATAGTTTCTGAAAGTTTCATTAAAATCCGACAATTTTATTTTTGCAAAATTTTCAAAATTAATGACTGCCATTAAAAAAAAAAAAATGCACAAAAAATCCGCCATGTTATTTAGTAGGACTTTTGTTGATGAAGAGAAACAAGGTTTTTCAATCAAAAGTTAGAATGCTCTAATAAAGACAGAAAAATTTTGAAAAATAATTAAAAATTACTTTGTTCTTTCCTCTTAATAAAAACATAAACATTTTGATGGTAAAATTTTGTTTTCATCAAGTTTAAGGCCGATATTATCCTGCTATGCTCATTTTCCAGCAATCTCATGTTGGTACCTAGATTTATTTAGTGTAAAATCCTAAGTATATTTAATTCTCAAAGTCATTTTCTCAAAATGATTTCCTTTTCCATTCTATTTATTTTTAATGTTTTGTATTCAAGTGTCAGCTAATTTAAAAAAGGATCAATTTTTTGTTTTACTAGTTTCAATTAATTTTACATTCATTATGGTGCCTAAAAGTTAAGAAAAAAAAATGATAAACTTTAAAAAAATACTTTCTTTAAAAAGAAAATTACAGAATTGTGAATGAGATGTACAACTCTTTACTGTAAAATAACTGACTTCTGAACTTTTTGGAAGACCTCCTTACAAGGTGTAATTACTAAATAATGAGACTAATGCTGTTATTTTAATGAAGAAAACTTACATTTCAATTGCTTTTCTCCTTCAATATATTCTCCTTTTGCATCAACATCTTGCTGTATTCTGTATTTTCTCTGATCAAAGCAAATGTAATCAGTCTTGTTCTGTTAATTGTTATAAACACTTTATTTCTTCACTTTTGGAACAGATTCAAAATGGATTCCTATGTTTATACACTTGAGTTAAGGAAAAATAAATAGTTACATTATGGTAGATCAAGTGAACAGCTAGGGTAGTCAATATTGCAATAATAATATCTGTTCAGATTGAGGTGTTATTTGATTATTTCTTTTTTGCACTGACCATTTTTATGAGACATTGGAAAAGCATCTACTTGGAGTGCTGCATAGCTGCAAACTGAAGGAATAATAATTTCAAACCTTGTTTATGCTTGCCCTTTGATCAGTGTACATGTGTTTTCACTTAAATAAACAGTCTCTCACTATTTAAAAGCCACACCCTATTGTCATTGTTCTTCTATATTATTGAAAAGCACAAATATTATTTGATATTTTTATGTTTGAAATTCTAAAAGATGTGATAACTATAATATTCATCTATTTTTTCTACATGTCTCATCATGATTCTTAAGTTAAAAATGAAATAATGTGACTTAGAAATGGCTGTACATTAGTTGTTTAATTGTTCAGTATAATACCAAGTTATCTTGCTAGTTAAATATTCTCTTGTAATCTAAGAAGTTTATTTCCAGATTCACAAGTCTCCAACATCTGGTGGCTCCTACAACATCCGGTCTCAAAACCAAAACAAGCCACATCTGAAACTTGACTGCAGTAAATCCCTGACATCTGCCCCTGACACCCGTGGTAGCATCCGTGGCCACTCCTCTGGTCCAGACAACAATAGCAGTTCCTCCCAATTCAAACATCCACACATTGTGGAGATGGTGTCAGCTAACTCTGCCGAGATTTCTAGCACTTCATCTTCATCCTGTGATGAAGATGAAAATTCTGAAAGTCTACCAAAACACACCAAGTCTCGCATTAGCTTCCTTGATATGCACCCTGTTGGTAGCCATGGCAGAGATGATGAGAATAGTGAACGGTATGATAGAGATGACAAACATTCACCCAGTTACTCACCCAATAACAACAGAAAACCCATGGTGCCACCATTGGATTTGTCTATTTTACATGAACACATGGACAGTGCTGGTAAGAGTGTAATATTTAATTACGTCACTTACATTTCATTTTTAATGAACTGTGTGTTTTTTCTTTTGTTTTGTTTAAAGAAAAGTTTAAGTAAACCAAATAAATTTATTTCCATTGGCTGTGTTAATCTTCACAACTTACCTTTAGGATTTTATAATTTAAATTCATTCATTTATGAAAATGGGTTTGATTACTTAAATTAGCGTTTTCATCATTTATTATAAACATTAGATGAATTGGTTTCTATTAAGAACTTGGATTCTTAAATAGTATGTTTTTTGTTTTTTTTTGTTAATAGAATTTTTTAATTGTTGATAACATGAATTGGGTGATTAACTGGTTTTCTTAAAATAGAATCAGTCATAATTTATATGAGACTATCAATTGATCAAATTTTGTTCTGTCAACTCAAAAACATATTTTGTACCATTTAATATTTTTTTCTATCTTATATTTATTTTACCTATGCATGTCATCTAGATAAGAAATCTAGATAATAACAGTAGTAGTAGTAATAATAATAATATCAGTAGTAGTAGTAATAATAATAATAATATCAGTAGTAGTAGTAATAATAATAATAATATCAATAGTAGTAGTAATAATAATAATAGTAGTAGTAATAATAATAATAATAGTAGTAGTAATAATAATAATAGTAGTAGTAATAATAATAATATCAGTAGTAATAATAATAATAGTAGTAGTAGTAATAATAATAATAGTAGCAAGTAATAATAATAATAGTAGCAGTAGTAATAATAATAATAGTAGTAGTAGTAATAATAATAATAGTAGTATCAGTAATAATAATAATAGTAGTATCAGTAGTAATAATAATAATAGTAGTATCAGTAGTAATAATAATAGTAGTAGCAGTAGTAATAATAATAATAGTAGTAGCAATAATAATAATAATAGCAGTAGTAATAATAATAATAGCAGTAGTAGTAATAATAATAGTAATAATATGTTCAGCTGCACTTTTCTGGAAGTCTAAATTTATTGAGAGCTACAAGGAATAGGGGGAAGTGGAGAGCCATGATTGCCTATGTCCTGAAAGTTATACATGAGTTATATTTTCACTAACTAAATTACTAACTAGTTAATGAAAATCAACCTCAAAATAATTATTTTTATTGCTTGCAATCACTTAATATAAAAGGTCAAGTGGTTTTAACAGTCTTTATTATTGATTTGTATGTAAACCATTTCTGTAGTCATTATTTTTCTTATTTAACAGGTTCTTTTTTTTATTCAGACATAAAAGCTGAATACTATTTTCTTTTCTCCATTTTTATTCTAACTACATAGAATGAACACTGGAACTTTCTATTTCAAGATGTGTTATTTACATGTTGGAATTTCTGTGTATTGTCATCATTATTACCAAAGACTTACATTATCTATAAGTTGTGGAGAGCCATGAATGCCCATATTCTGTAAGGGCATGATATATAAAAGAGATTTGATAACATTCAGTAGAAGTTCTAAGAAAAAATTGAATGTTTATATTTGAATTTTAATCCTGTTTTTGTCAAATGTATGTTTTGCTACAGTTTGAAGTTTTATTTTTCACCAAAAAAAGAGTAGTCAAAACTGACCTAGCTTGTATAAAACTATAATTCTTTGGAAAATAATTGCTTAGACTTTAACACCCAATCTAAATTAAAACTTTTTGGGATGAAGAGTTATCATTATTTACAATTGGATTAATTTCCTTATTTTTGTTGTTATTAGCAATCTATTGATTTGTTGGCACAATGTCCCAATATTAAGCAACAGTGTTGAAAACAATTGTAAGTAAATCTGTTTGTTGTTTATTTCAGATCCTATACCTTCTAAAAAGGTACAGACTGTCTCTTATCAGCGTGCTAAGAAACACTTGAGTAGTGATGAGGACGACGAGGAAGATGATGATGACGACGACGATGACGACCCTGTTGTTGTTGTTCTCTCTCCAAGGGCCAACAAATTTAAGAAAAAGCCAATGTAAGCATTTTGTTCATAACATTTGCATGAAGATTTTAGTCACAAGAAAATGCCTTTAGTTTATTAGTATTAAACATTTAGTGCACTTGTAATGACCAAAGTAACTATCAAATTTTTACATTCAAGAAAAATGTTTTCATACTAATCAACTGGTTGTGCTTTTCTTTATTTTTTAATTCCCTCTTCAATGACCTTTTGTAGGTTACTTCTAATGTTCTGATACTCTTTCTAAAAAAAAAAAAAACTTAAGTCATTATACCAAAGATGGTGGGAGAAAAGAGTTGAATACTCCTAGATGACATTGTTTCTAAATATGATTTTTCTTTTCAATGAAGTTGGGCATTTTCATGATTTGCCTATCGTATATTACGAGTTAACAGATGTTTTATCAGCTATTTTTAAAATAAATATTTTCTTTTTCAAACTAAATCTTGAATTAATGTACTTAATCAATTTAGTTGTATTTAGAATTTAAGCATGAGTGTGTGTGTCATTTTTTTCTTTTTTTTTTTTTTTAAAGACAACTGAAGATGTTGAATTTCCAGAATTGTTTGACTTACAAAAGATCCTATAGATGGGTGCAGTTTTCAAGATCATCTGTAAAGTCATTCAATCACTCAATGGCTAACTGCTATTATCTGTTTTAATTTGGTTCATTTTCGTATTGTTTTTACATCTGTAAATTGTGATTTGAATATTAATAGGCTTCTGTATATCTGTTTTTTTTAAAAAAATATTTAAGACTGAATTGGTGGCAAAAAGTAAATGATATTTATTATTATCTAAATAGATTTTGTATTTAAAAAAAGTACTGTACTTCATGCAGCTTTTTTTGAATTTGATTATGAATTTGTTCAAATGTTAGCAAGTTTAATAAATAGTGTTTTAAAATTTCTAATATAGTAAATATGCATTAAAACAATGGCTAGCAGGAATAATTGTTAGCAAAGTGTGAATTCACTAAGATAGTTGCATATATTTTTTTTAACCATTATCAATGACTGCTGTTATAAACCAGGTGAAAGCCAGGATTTTAGGACATTGATTTTTAAAGTTGGCCAGGCCCTTGTAGCAACATTTACTATCTGCTATTTCTGTTTGACCTTGTGCCAGACTAAGCTGCTACACCTCCCACCCACAAACACACACACAGCACTCTTTTGGCTTATGCCCACTATTGATTTTCATATTATTTTATCACATTTCAACAGTTTATCTTGATTTATTTTATATTGCACTTAGAGTAGCTTTTTACTTCACTACTTTGTTCATCTTTTACACAATCAGCTTTTTGCAATATTCTTCATTTTTTCTTTTTTCCCTTTATTTTGTAAAGGCCTGTGCAAGTTCAACAGAGAGAATGCTTGATCTGTTAATTCTTTATCAATTCTGGATGCAATGCAATTGTGTATAGTCGCATTATGTAAAATCAAAAGTCCTGTAGCTTCCGAAAAATAAATGTTTATGTACTGGTTGCAGCAAACTTATTAAGCCATCATTGTGAAAAAGTACAAAATTTTTGGTCAATACTTGATGGGAATATGATAGGAATATTATATCTGCCAAAAGAGACTGGGGACCAATTTGTTCATGTAAATTTCTTTGAAAGTGGTTGTTATCAAATAAGTTTTAATTTAATGAATGAAAACAAATTCCTATTTAAGATTTGATAATGGATATAATTAATTTAAACATCATAAGTCAAGATAGGTTTTAACATTTAATTTGATAAATAAGTTAAGATTGTCAGTAAAAATATTTCTCTACAATTCTTTCTTTATAGAAAACATTGATTTCATTTCTCAAAATCACTACATCTCTAACTGACTTAATCAAAAAAATGAGTTGTAATTTTTAAAAATTGTAAGTGATATTACATCTAAACTTTAGTTTTAATGTCTTTCAGGCATGCTTGTATTTTATTGTTGACTGTTACTATGATGTAACAATATATAATTTTATATATCAATAAACAGTATTTAGAAAAATAGTATGACAAATTAGAAAAAAATTTTTGTGCTGCATTTCATCCAATGAAATCCTAAGAGATGAAACGCATCACAAAAACTTTTTTTCCAATTTGTCATACTATTTTTCTAAATGGCTGTTACTATATAAACATATTTTGTTGAGAAAATGATTTTGTCAAATGGTGGGTGGACAATCTCCTTAGAAGTAGGTATCTCTAAAGAAATGTGATAACTAAGATTTAAAATTAATTTTTAAAAATGAAAAATCTTTCTTGAAGGTTTTATTTTAGTTTTAATTTCAAGCAAAGAGAATATTGTATTTCCAATAAGTAAAATACTTTGCTGCATTTCAAAACTAATTTAAATTGGCTCGAAGGAGTTGTGTGTGTGTATGTATATATATATATATATATATATATATATATATATATATAATTATTTTATAAATCAATTTTTTAAAAAAATTGCTGATTTTAGCCATCTGTCAGCACAATGTCATTCTCTTTTTTAAAATATCTTTCAAAAATAAAATTCTTTTCTGAAACTTTATTTGAGAAATATTAGCTGACTTAAAGTTTAATTAATCTGATTTGAAACAAATATTACTTTTAGTTTAAAATATCACAAAAATGCATTTTTTAACACAGAGATAGGTGTTTTGATTAGGTGTTGATAACTTGATTGATAATGGGAAGTTTATCAATTTTTTTTTTCTAAAGGGGACATCAGTAAACATTACTTGAGCAATATAACATGAGTGCCTTTTTCATACAAGTTTTAACTATTCAGTAATCTTTAAAATTAAGGAAAATATTCTCTGTAATCTAATGCTTTTTTGAATTTTAGCTACTTTGGCTTTAAGTTTACTATAGTTATCACTCTTAGTTTCTGATAATGTGTATGGATGTCTATATTTTCAAAATTTGGCATGTTTATACACACATGCAAAAAAAATTCAAAATTCTTTTTAAATTGTTGGATGGTTACTGAATTGTAGTAATGTTTTCCATTTATGATTAGTAAATATAACTTTTACTTAATAACAATATCACCTAACCAGTACAAATTAATGCAGAATTTTAAAAGATTTAAAACTTTATAAATTATTCTAATTAAAATTTTTAAAAAATGAAGACAGTTCTTGTAAAAATTCCTTATTCATCGATAAAGCTTTTTCTTAAGACAATAGTGTTCATAATATATCTTATACATAAAAGCAATTAAAAGCTTTTCTAATTAATGTTTTAATTTTTTTGCATTTTTTTATTTTATGATACAGAGCAGATTTTTGGTAACTGTTGGTCCTGTTTTACAAAAAAAGAATTGATCCTTTAAATTCTCCAAGGAAATCTGTGTATAACTAATATAAACATTAAGTGTCTGAAAAATTAATTTCTTGAAATTTCCAAAATTAAATAAGTACTGGGTAACAGATGTAAAAAAAAAAAAAATTTTTTTTCATGATTTTCTTTAAAAAAAAAAAAAAAACTCCTAAAAAACACATTTCTATAAAATAATTTCATTCATTTGTGAATAAGTCCTGAATGTTTCATTAAAATCTGACAATTATTTGATTTTTACAAGAATTTCCAAATCAAAGTTTGTTTTTTTTTTTTTATTTCACTGCAAAAAAGACACTAAAATTACCTATACTAAATTTTGGTTCCACTCTGATACAAGAAAAACAAAATTTTTAACGTTCAACAATGGATCAGAAAATATAATTTAATAATGAAAAAATCCTTTGGTCTTTCCTAATAACAAAGATTCTGACACTAAAACTTTGTTTTTTTTATTAATTTTGGGTTATTTTTTCATATGTATGCTCATTCTTTAGTGAATTTTTGGAGGTACCTAATTAGAAGGCAACAGGGAGTTAATCATTATAGATTAAAATAACTTGTTGGAATATTCTGCAACAAATACAGCTAAAAAAAATGAACTGAAAAATTCATTAATTTTACCAAAAAATGGTGGCCCTTTCTGAAAAATTTATATTAGATATTCTTCACTTGTGCAACCACTTCCACCCGCTCCCATCTTGTTATAGATGATGTTATTTGATGTTGTTAATGTTGATATTTTTGTTGTTGTCCCTATAAGCATGAGTTCATCTCGACTGATAAGTAATCCTTAGTTTGCAAATTGTCTATTAGGTGTGCCTTATTTCTTTAGTAATAAACATTCACTCTTCCTTATTTGCTTTCTTCTTTTCAAAGTATCTTCTTCAGTTAACTTCTACCTGTTTTTAAATTGAAATTAAACATTAAAATCCAAATTGTTCTGTTAACTTCAATTATCAATTGATTTATTGATTTAATTTTTATTTTTCAAACTAAAGTGAATCATTTAACTTTTTTTGTTAATGAAATCTTAATTGAAATTCTGTGCCTAGTTGTAAACTGTTTTGATGTACATTTTTAACATTGTACAAGGAGTAAATCTATAGTAAAAGTAATCAGTTCACAGAGACATGACAAAAGTAAATATTCATCTAACATTTCAGACACTAACATTTCACTGATATAAATGAAGAATATTTTGTCCTACAAATTAAAATTGGATGGCCTCACTATTAGTGGATTGTAAAGATTTTACTCTTTCAAGCACCAAATTTATTAGACTAGCTACTTTTATTTGGTAGGCGTGGAGTGGGGTATATCTAATTAGGCTGTTTTCAAAATCCAAAGAAAACCATATTTTTTTAGAATATTTTCTATATATGTTCAATAAGATTCATTTGAAGAGATTGACTTGTCCATATGGATTTCTTGATAACCATTTTTTGGATTTTCTTCAGTCATTTTTGCCACACTGACATGCAAATACACTTGGCAAAAGTGCAAATTCATCTTCTTTCTCCATTTATGGGTTAAATAGTATGGCCTGTATCCAGAAAACAGTCATTGTTCTGAAAAAATAGTTAATGCAATATTCACTTGCAAAAAAAAAAAAGAATTATTCTTACAATCCACATTGTTTTGTCTTTAAATAACCTACAAAGGGTTGGTAAGCCATAAAAAAAAACAAATCAATCATTTTTGCCATATGCTATGCTATTTTTGTCGAAGAACTATTAGAAAATATTAAAACTTCTTAGTGGAGACTGCATATTTATTTCTACAGTGATATTCCTGATGCAGTTTTGAATGATCACTGGTTTAAATAGACTTCTGCCCGCTTAAACCATAAATACAAAATCCCACAGGGTTGATAGATAAGTTTCAAATCAGTCTTGGCAATTTCTTGGATAGCATGTATTTGTTTTAAAAAAAAAAAAAAAAAAAAATTTAATTTGAGCATCTATCAAGATGAGTATGTCAAAAACTCTTGAATCTGTCCATTTCAATTGCTTTCTCTGCTGAATATAGACTAATTAAAGAAGTTGTTTTTATTTTTGGTTGCTCTGCCATAGTAAATCATGCAATGAAAATACGCTACTGCTGTTTGGAGTTAATTTTGATGCTCTCCTCTACAATATCAGTCACCTTATGTGGAAAGTTTTTAATATTGTTTCATCATAAAAACAACTTTGTCTGCTAGCCTTAGTCAACCTAAGATACAGTAATTCCTTTTCTTCAATTGGTGAATTGTATGGATTGTAAAGATAAAAGTGAAATTCCCTGTTTTAATACTGCTTTATGCTGATGTATTCCACCTTCAAATTGTCCAACAGCATTGGCCCATTTTCAAATCTGATACTTCCCTTGCCCCTAGAGTACAAGGTAATCTGAGGAGGTGATTGGCCAATTATTTCTCTTAGGTTTTGAGCAAATGTCAAATCAGTGCAAAATAATGTGTCTATTTACTTATGCCATTTCTCTGTATGGATTTCTTAAGTTCATACTAAAATTTAAAAATGTTGCATCTCCATGAGAAAAATTTCATGTTTGATACCAAGAAAATGATTGAAAATTTATGAATGTCTTAAAAAAAAAAAAAAAAAAAAGGGTATTTCTGAATATTGGCTTAAAAATAATTTCAGAAGTGTGCAGATTTGAATTTATTTGTTGTTAGTTTGAAATTTTTAGATTTTAACACTCCTTTAAAATTAGTCTAGTTTATTAGTTATACTTAGCTTGAAAGAGCTGGAAAAGAAATAAAAATTTTTGGATATAAACATTATGGATTTGTGGATGTTGAAATAGTCTGAAAATCCACTGTCACTAGCTTGCTTAAACTTTAAACTTATTTCTTCTTTTTTTATAAAGAGATGTAGAGGACCAACTTAAAAAGTAATAAGTTAATTATACTAAGATTTATAAAACTTTAAAGTTGTTTACAATTTGATTTCTAAAATATGATTTTTGAACTTTAATTTTCAAGAATTGAAGAAAGGGATATTTTAAGAAAAATTATTTTTCATATGAAACCTGAAAATGTTTTTATGTAACCTAATAACAAATTAAGGGATTGAATAAGAGGAGAAAGAAATATTTTTATTGACAGTTGCAACTTTCCTAATCCAGACACTTAAAAACAATCAGGATTTTAAGAAAATTTCTCAGAGCTGTTAGCAGTTTAATATTGGCAAACAGGTTTTGAAAAATACTAAAGCAGTTAATTACTAATTCTTAAGCAGTAAGATTTGTTTAAAAAAAATAAATTAGCCATTTTAAATTTTAATTTATTTTATTTTTATTTTAAAACAATGTATATATAAAAATATCATAACCAGTTCAAATTGTCAGTAACTTTTTTCCTTTGCCAGATTGTGTGTACGTGTCTTGACAACTTTTCTCAAAACAATAATTTTTGAAAAATTGCTTCTCTGAATTGTTGATTTGAAATCATTTTTAAAGATTTTCAAATGAAAATATAAAAAATATTTTCTTTTAGAAAGTATTTATGATTTGGACAAAATTGTTTCTTTCCAAAATCCTTGAAAGTATGAAGTCTTTATGACTGATAAAAATCTGCATTTTGGCTGGAAATGTTTTGAGATAATTTGCTCTCTTTTCACTTTTAAAATGAATTTTTTTTAAATGTTTTTGCAAAAATTCTCTACAGATTTTTATGGAACATCAATTTAGATTTTTATAAAAATTGTTTGCATGTGAATATGAAAGGAATTGTAGATGCTGAAAATCATTTTAATGTTTCCTATTATGCAGCTTATCATTTCATCTTAATGCATTTATTACTGCAGTAACTAGCAGAATCAGTTATATTATTGCAGATAATGCATTTCTCATTAAATCTTTAATAGAGCCTCACAATATTAAGTAACTATTGTTCTTAGTCTTATAGCTACTAGGCTAAATGCAATTTCCATTGCAAATACTGATTTTGATTGTATGATCATCACTAAGAGTAACATGACAAATTTTCCAAAGTTATGTCTTGATTAAAAATTAACTATTTTTAATATATGTGCAAGGTGGGAGAAAACCATAATTGATTCTATATCAAAATAAGACAAAGCAAAAATACACGAATCCTATCCAAAGTGTAGTGTAACATTTTATTTTGTTCAAACTATTTTTTTCTTCTCAATCTTTAATAAATATATTGTTAATTATGTGAACATGATTATTTTACTGAGAGGTTGATATTCTAACAGAGTAATATTACCAATCTGAACATTACTGAAGCAAGGGTTCATGTGTGCAAACAAGTTTTTATCTTTTTTTTCAAATTTGTTATATTTTTTTTCACAAAATGAATTTGATATGGTTCTGGTCATCTTCATCTTGAGAACTGTGCCAGACGTCCAGATACATTACCAGGAAATATCCTCCCTCCCAATATAAATGCCTTCAATAGCTTCTGTAAGAGTCCAAGTTGAACATATATATATATCAATGATTTCTTTTTGACAAGAAAAACTGTAGGATGCATTTGAAAATATCTTTCAGTCCAATCTGTCATTTTTGTGCAATAAAATTTATCTAGTGAAAATGACTAGAACCATCTTCATAATGTGAAAAAATATAACAGATTTGAAAAAAAGATATAAACATGTCTGTGCACATAAGCCCCTGCTTCATGGATGATCATATGGGTGATGTTGTTACCATGGGAGAATGCAGACCTCAACATAATATCCTCAAGGCCAACAAGGGATCATCTGAAAATAAAATAAATCTTTCTCAAAACATGATTATATAGTAATCAGAAGATCTGTTTCTGATTTTAGTAATGAAGTAGTGACTATTTCAAAAGAAACTTGTTCTTTTTATTTTTCTTGTCTTCAATAGTAAGAGACTGCATCTCAGATTAAGCTTGTTCTTCCTCCAAGCATCAAACATCTTTTCTATCTTAATTTGAATTTCCCAACCCTTTCCCCCAAATTACATCCATTATGTAGCCAAATATCTTAATAGATAGGTCTGTGCTTCACTTAGCTGAAAAGAGAATTGCTGAAGATGTTCCACTGTGGGTAGATTTGGCATCTCCAACTTTTAGGTTAAATATGTTGAAACTAATAAATAACAGTTAAAAACTATTAGATAGAATTCTTTTTATTACTATTGATTTTTTATAACAAAATTGTTTCAGTTCTTGTCATGATAATCCTGATTTTGAGTGTTTCTATTGTTAATATTCCATTTGTGTGCTAATAATCTTAACTATGAATCCTCTCATTTGTGACTGTGATATATTCTTGATGTCTTTTTTTTTTTTTTTGTGTGTTCTTATGCTCTCTTTTGGTGTGCAGCTGGACTACTGCTTACGACGAGGCTCCACTATCACCAAGTGCTCTGCGACCAGGCTTCTGGCGAAGGTGATTCTCTCTACTCATGCCTCTTACCAAAAGTTCTACCTCATTGCATACCAACACCAAATATAGTGCGCTCAATTTTTCCATCTTTTTTTCTTTTTAAACTTCTCTCTCTCTCCTGCCAGACTGCTAATCTATCTACTTCCCTGTCTGCAAAAAATAAATAACAAGTCTTTTCCATCCTCCTGTTTAATATATTATCTTTGTTTGTCTTTGCAAAGAGGAATAAAGCAAAAGAAATTTACTGAACATAACAATTTTCTTTCTATTACTGAAAATTGACAGATTAATTTTTGATATCATTAAAATGGTTTAAATGGGATAAAGTCAAATGGAGTATTTTTGAGTTTTACTTTATCACTTTTGATATTTGCAATTAAAACTTGATTTTATTTTAAACTTTTTTATTTATATATTAAGTGAGCATTGAATTTAAAACTAAATTGTTTACCCTGTATTTTAATTAGTTTAAATACTTTAATATTGATCTCTTTGAAATTTGAATTTTCCTCTCCTGCCTCTTTGCACACTTATCTTTTGTTTGATATTGGTTCAGCTATGAAAACAAAATCTCTATTTAAACTGATATTGATTCCAATAAATATATAAAGATTTTGAGCTTAGAGATTAAAAAAATAGCCACTGGTTAAGAAAAATATTTGATAAAAAGAAATGCTGTTTTCTGATTAATTGTAATTTAAATGATTTTATTAATTTTGTTCTTTTAAAAATTAGTTTTGAAATTTATGTATAGATGAAGTGTTAAATTTGTTTATGGAATTTTTTTTTATCAAAATATTCTAAACAAATAGTGTGTATAACATGCAAGGTACAATTTTTTTTCTGAATATTTAAAAAAATCATGCAAATAATTAACCTATAATCTAGTATAATGTTAATAGTCACAAGTTGGAAATTTCTTGTGGGTTGATGTGACTTGATAAATCTCTCTTGGGTCAAAATATGAAAACAAAATTTACCAGCAAATTGTGATGTGGCTTTCAATTTTTTCCATAAATGATTGTAAACTTGAATATTTGGATTTAAATTAATTTTTTTCTTTCATTAATAATTATGACTTTTTTTGTAAAAAAAGAAAAAAAGTCTCATTATAATAATTGTATTTGTAAAATACAAAGTAATGCTGACCAAATTTGTCACCACAAATAATTACAAAATAACTTGCAGAATCACTGGTAAAAATCAATGGCTATTGTAAAGAGAAAAAAATCGGAGACTTGTTACAAATCAGTTACATTTTTCAATCAATTAAAAGAACGATGCTGAACTTGGCTATTGTGGTTTCAAATCATACTAATAAAGTTATCTGGTATTTGCTCATACACTTAAATTATGTAAATTACCTGTTTTATTGTCAGAAGAGATAAAGTAGTGTGTGTGTGTGTGTGTGTGTGTGTGTGTGTGTGTGTGTGTAGGGAGTATAAGTTTTGTTTTATTTTCAAAATGTTTGAAATTTGGTATAAGTGAAATTCTTCAAAGTTTGTTTCTAGCCAAAAGGTTTGAATTTCTCTTATTGAAAATAGTGAGGAAGATTAGACAAAATTCCAAATCTTTACATATATTAGATGTGTTGAAAAGTTCTCAGCCTGACCAACTTGTCAAAATCAGTATTTCAATGAATATAGTGGATCAGATCAAGAACTTTAGCACCTCCAATACGTTTTAAATATCTGTTTGAAGCCTTTATATCTGACTGCTGTTTTAATTTGTGGATACATATGCTATTCTGTATAATTTCTTCTATTTGCATTTAATAAAATTTTAGAATTTTTACTTTTTATCTTAGAAAATATAAAATAAATTTAGAAAAGCTGTTTTTTATGCACTTTTGATCTTAATTAGATCTAATATATAAAATGATGAAGTTAACTGAAAGGTATATGTTTAAGTAAACAATATTTGTTTTTGTTGAGAATGATTTAAATAAAATCAACCATGCTTGCCAATTTATTAAATATTATCTAAAAGTGTTTTGACTTTATTTTTTTTTTTGATATGAACATTTTTATAAATTGCTGTTAGCATTTGAAATTAAACTTTAAAAAGGTATAATTAAGATCCTTTGAATAGCCAAGTTCAGTGTTCATGTTTGTAAAAACAAACAAAAAAACAAAACAAATGAGCATAAATTAAAATGACTATTTTTTTTACATATGGTTATTAAAAAATTAAAACTTTAAGGTTTCCATTTTTGTTTTATTGTTTTCCTATTTCTCTTTCTTTCTTGAAGACTTTTGCATTGTCTATTGGTTATCATCCTTTATAATCTTCTTGGGAATTGTGATTACTTGTGCTACAAGCCAATGCTATCTTTTCTCCTTAGCTAAAAGCCTTGTTTTGTTTCCCTTTATTAGCCAAAGCTTATTCTCTAATTGAAAAAAAAATTCCTTTAACCATTATCAAAGCTCTAACTTCCTTTATGCTTGCATTTTCAATTCTCTTTTGCTTCGTTCTCTTTCATAACGAAGATGATCTTTATGTTCAGTCATTATGTGCAACTTTGTAATATATGGGTTGATATTAAAAAGCAGCTGGTAAGTTATTTACTAGATGATATTTAAATATTATCAGTAATTCAGTGTTGGAAAAATTTATGAAAAACGAAACTGACAAAACTATAAGGTTAAATACTATTTATAGCCCAAGCTAGTGTCTGAGAGGGGAGTTAACTTTTACTTCTCATTTGAATTAATTTACAATACTGATCAAGAAATGAATCTCCATTCACACATAGTATCACAAATGTTCACTTTTTCTTTATATTTTTAAATTTCCACTACCTCTTTAGTATTCATTTTTATTAAAATAAAATATGTAATGTTTAATTTATGTGTGTAGATATCTGTTTAAAAGCATCTATTAATCAGGAGCTATGGGATGAAGAAAAATCCTGCTCTTGTAAAATTATTGTCCAAAGCAGAAAAGTATGTATTTTAAAGTAATAGAAAATAAACAAAACTTTATTTATTGAATTTAATAGTTTGATAGGATATTCTTAATGTTTTCCTCTTGTCATTTAAAATAAAGATAGAAAGAGCAAATCTTTCAAGAATAAAACAGAAGTGTTAACTAAAACCATTATTGTGTGGATTTTGATTGTACATCATTAGATGATTGGATTATTAATCAATATTTAATACTTGAAACTTCAAAATAAGATAAAACTAAATCTTTATTTTTTTCTAGTTTTTTTTTTATTATAAAATGTTTTTAATATTGTATCTTTGATGATTCATTTAATCAAGTATTTAAAGATTGCAAAAAAATGCAAGTTCACAATTTGAGACTAATTAATAAAAATTGCTCTGTACATTTATAACACCAATAAAATATAACCATATAAATCATCCAATTGTGAAAAATTTTAGATAAATATCATAAAACAGGAAATTGTCATGTATGATAATTGTTAATTCAGATCTTTGATTAACAGTTTGGCAGTCATTAAAAAAAAAAGTTTTTGTGATTATTCTTTTCAATATTTTTTTTTCCTATTTTGTTTATTAGGATCATTATTGAGTCACATTAGCCATTTTCTTTTTTCTCTCTCTTTCATTGCAATTATTTTCTATCCAAATTTAGTATAAATTTGGAAAATGATCTGAAAGCATCTTGTAAAACAGGCAATTATTCAATGTGTCATCTCTAAAATGGTCGATCTGTATGTAATTGAATAATGTTCTTTTGAATGGGTATGTATGTGTGTCCACTAACACAAATATATATATATATATATATATATATATATATATTTTTGCGAGATTTTTTCAAGCATTGCATATGCATGTATAAACTAATTTTCTATTTGTATGTGTGGATTTTTAACCTTTACCTTGAGCACTTTAATAATGGATTTAAATTCTAAATTATTAGCCAATATAAATTTATAAAATAAAAAAAAAAGTGAATAAAATATGTACTTGTAATTATACAATTACTGAATTACTCAATCCACTATGAATGTCTATCAACATTAACTTGTTTGTTCATGAGTATTTTGTGACAATTGTGTATTTTGTATATGCTACTATAGAAAAATTAATGAAATCATTTTGATTCCCACTTTAAAGATATTTTTAAAAAAATTTTTTAACCTGGAATTGATATTTAATTATTTTGACTATCCTTTTAATTTTTTTATGAAATAACTATGCTTTTCCAAAATTGTTATTTTAAAGCATATATTTTTATCTGAATATATTTATCTGCAAATTAATTATCTAGTTTTTGTGGGTCAGTTTACTTTAATATTTGATATACTTTTTCCTGTTCATTAAATCATTTTAAAAGTGTCACTTTTTTATTTTACATTTTCTGTATTTATAGCTTTCTATTTGATAGAGTATAAGATTTAATCAAAGCAAAAAGATACATTTGACTCTTAATAATTAAGAACTGGCTGTAGCTTAAGGAATGTCGGGTATTGCTATAAAAATACGACCTGAAAGCTTTTTGATCTCTTTTTCTATGACAGAATTCTCCTCCTCCACATATGGAGGATTCTGAAGAGATCTCTTCTAGCAGGTGATGAAGATCTGCACTTATAGCAGCCGATTTTTTAATTGCTTTAGCAGAATTAATCTTTAAGAAAGATGACTTTTTATTTTCTTTGAATACCTTTGATTGCCACTGGTTGGTTACATTTTCATACAAATCTTATAGGATTGTTGGCTGAGAAGTTAGCCATTTTTATACATTAATGCATTCACTCGAGAAAAAAAAAAATCCTCTGTGCATTTATCAGTTGAGTGCTTCTAAAATCCACAACACTAATACCAACCAATTTATCAAAAACTGAAACACCCAAAAATAAAAGATTTTTGAATGTAATGAGTTCTCCAAATTCGAATGAACTGCTTTACAGCCTGACACTGATCATCTTTTTGGCCTGGTAAAATATCTACACTCTAATATCTGTTTTAACATGTGAAATAGTCTATTATGAATTACATAACAAATATGAATATTTTCTAAGCAAAATTTTATACACACACACATTAATGTTTGAATAAGATTTAATGAAAAATATCTATTGGGAAAAGAATATAATAATCCTAAGTAGAAAATTTCTTGCACACAAATCTAACATGATTATTTAAAAGTCTTTTATTTTTTTTATATATATATATATATATATATATATATATATATATATATATACTTTTCACTGTTTTAAATAATATAATTACCTTAGTCCTGTTTATATGATTAGGTGTTGAAAAGTTCTCAGCCCAACTCACTTCCCAAAACCTGACCAAATAACCAGATATCAATTTCATTGATTTTATTTATTGCTTCCTTCTTGGTTAGGTCAAGACATTCTCATCACTCTTCATAAATATATAACAAAAACTGTTTTATCAGCAAAATTTAAATATGAAAATTCTAATTTTCAATATTGCAATAATTTCATTAGGTATTTCTTCCTTTAGCATTTTGAAGGTGTTTTTTAACATTTTACTGGACATTTTTCCCATACTAACTGTATCATTATTTTTTTCCTCATCTGATGAATTTCACATTGTAGACAAAGAGGCTCTTGACATTTTGACATAAATGATGTAATGAGTTATAATCATTTAAAAGTCACATTTTTAGAATGGAAATTAAATTTGCAACTAACATGCAAAAAAACTTGGATGTTCCATTCAATCCATTTCTTTGTGTGCTCGTCTCTGCCTTGTGACCTCTGCAGTCATAACACTAAAACAGAGTTGATTACTTCATTTGGTTTCTTTTAAATTATATTTTTTTTTTCTAAATTTCAGGATTAATATACATAATAATGTAGATAGGTTTTGCATAGGGTTGGTGACATCATTTAGTTAATACACTCATCACCAGGGGTCTGTACATTGCATGTTATTATTTTCTTACACAAAGCAGTTTTTTTCTTTTGCAGACCAGAGACAACACTCCCTACTCTTTGCTATTACTTCCTATAATAGAATTTTTATTTATTTTTTATTTTAACAAATTTCTAAAAAAAAAAAAAATTTCAGTTTGATTACTTGTACTTTGTTAGAATTTTAAGTTATAAGGTGTCATTTTCAGTATATCTTTCTTTTTATTTTTCCTTTTTTCTTTTTTTCCTTTTCCCTTTGTTTTTTTCTCCTTTTTTCCCTTTCTTTTTTTTTCTCCTTTTTTCCCTTTGTTTTTTTTTTTCTCCTTTTTTCCCTTTGTTTTTTTTTTCTCCTTTTTTCCCTTTGTTTTTTTTTTTCTCCTTTTTTCCCTTTGTTTTTTTTTTTTTCCTTTTTTCCCTTTGTTTTTTTTTTTTCTCCTTTTTTCCCTTTGTTTTTTTTTTTTTTTTTTTTTCCCTTTGTTTTTTTTTTCTCCTTTTTTTTTTTTGTTTTTTTTTTTCCTTTTTTCCCTTTTTTTTTTTTTTCTCCTTTTTCCCTTTGTTTTTTTTTTCCTTTTTCCCTTTGTTTTTTTTTTTCTCCTTTTTTCCCTTTGTTTTTTTTTTTCTCCTTTTTTCCTTTTTTTTTTTTTTCCTTTTTTTTTCCCTTTTTTTTTTTTTCTCCTTTTTTCCCTTTGCTTTTTTTTTTCCTCCTTTTTTCCCTTTGCTTTTTTTTTTTCCTCCTTTTTTCCCTTTGCTTTTTTTTTTTTTTTTAAGAAAAGTTTCCCCTTTGCTTTTTTTTTTCCTCCTTTTTTCCTTTTTTTTTTTTTCCTTTTTTCCCTTTGTTTTTTTTTTTTTTTTTTCCCTTTGTTTTTTTTTTTTTTTTTTTCCCTTTGTTTTTTTTTTTCCTTTTTTTCTTTGTTTTTTTTTTTTTCTCCTTTTTTCCCTTTTTTTTTTTTTTTTTTCTCCTTTTTTTCCTTTGTTTTTTTTTTTCTCCTTTTTTTTTTTTTTTTTTTGTTTTTTTTTTTTTTTTTTTTTTTTTCCTTTTTTTTTTTCTCCTTTTTTTTCCTTTGTTTTTTTTTTCTCCTTTTTTCCCTTTTGTTTTTTTTTTTTTTCCTTTTTTCCTTTGTTTTTTTTTTTTTTTTCCTTTTTCCCTTTGTTTTTTTTTTTTTTTTTTCCTTTGTTTTTTTTTTTCCTTTTTCCCTTTGTTTTTTTTTTTTTCCTTTTTTTTTTTTTTTTTTTTTCTCCTCTTGTTTTTCCCTTGATTCCTTTTGGGTTTTTTTTCCATTTGGTTTTTTTCCTCTTGGTTTTTTCCTTTTGGTTTTTTCCATTTGTTTTTTTTTTTTTTTTTGGTTTTTTTTTTTTTTTTTTTTTTTTTTTTTTTTTTTTTTTTTTTTTTCTTTTTTTTTTTTTTCTTTCCTTTTTTCTCTTAATATTTTAAAATTACTTGATTAGCAAGACTATTCATTTATTTGTTATTCATTCTGAATATTTCAACAGACATGCACTCCATATGCATAATTTTGAAGATTTTGTAAGCTTTCAGTTGTTGAACAATATTCTAAAATGAATTTTATAAATTTGATTCATGTATATTTTTAAAATTTCTGAATCATGTTACTTTTCTTTTCCAGAAAACAAAATGCTGATCTTTAAAAAAAAAATATTGAATTTTCATTTGAACTTTTAGTCCCCATATTGTCATTAAAACATTTTGAAACTATTTAGACATTGTTTGTGACAAACACACAAAGTAGGAATCCTTGTACCAATTTATATAAATTAAGCCTCAAAATGTTGACCTTTTTTAAAATGTTTTCCACATTTGAATATAAGAAAGAAAAGCAAAATAACATTGATTCAAGATATTAGTATCCTCCTCACTTCAACTTTTGCTCCTTCCATTATTGTAGAAATAATTTTATTTTAATCATGTTTAAAATGACAATTTAGGCTAAGAATTTTGCTTGAATATACAAGTTTGGGATACATCCTAAAACTGCCATTCAAATTCCTTCTCATACAAATGGATTTGGTCACTCTGACATTTTCACAAACAGCAAATTATTTAAATTTATTTGATTTAATGATTATTAAATGGAATATTTGCATACATTACAACCAAAATGTCCAATCTCATCCCTTCACAAAGAAAAACAATAGTTTGTATATACTTTTATAAAAATATTATTATCAAATTTGATATAAACAAAAATGTAATTTTATATAAAGCTCATAAGTAAAATATTTGTATGCTGTATTTTTGAAATTCAGTAATACTAACTTAATTACAGATGGTCTGTTAAGGGTAAATGGATCATATTTTTTGATAAAACCTCAAAACTGTAAATCCAGTTCTCTTTAATGTAAGCTAACTCTATACCTATTTATATAGGTATAAATTTATATTACTTTTCTATTTATGCTATGCAAACAATTTCCTTCTACTGTAGATGCTGAAAACTCAGAAATTATTGATTTTTGATTTATTCAAATAAAATCTCTGAAACTTATGAATCATAATTATTTTTTGTCTGATTTAATGTTTTTAACAAATGCATTCCTTTGCTTTTAGTGTTTCTTCCAACACTGATATTCCACCATCACCTCCAGTCGAACAGGAACAATACCAGAAATACAGGTAATATATAAATATATAGCACATTGGTTTTAAGGTTTTTTTGTTTGGTTTTTAAAATTGCTTGACCAGATGATTTTCATCTGAACATTTAAAGGTCAAACTAAGTTATGTATCACATGCTGCACTTGTGCTATTTTCTCATACATTTTATTATCTAACTTTTAGACAAACAGCCTAAATGGATGTTAAAAAAAAAATCTATTTTTATTTATTTTACAACTCTAAAATCGACAATAGTTGAAAAATATCTATCTTCTACCTTTGTGTTTGAAGATGATATAAATTGATGGTAATTAAACACTTTGTGTACATTGATGTGAAATGTGTATAACCTCTTAGGGAGATTAGATACATTTTATGGTATTTTTTTTTTGTATTTCAGAACCTTTGCACACCCCTCCACCTTTTTAGTGTTAGTCATAAACTTGTAAAATAGATTATGCATTGTAGTTGGAAATTTTTCATAAAGAAAAGTCTTTTTCAGAAAAGAAATTGACTGCCTTTTTCTTTTCTTTTTTTTTTTTCCCTTAATTTAGCAAATCCTGAATTTGTAAAGAAATGTCCTGGTACAAAAGCACCTTTTCTTCTTTCTTATTTCCACTTTCTCTTTACTTGATTAAAAAAAAAACTATCAACTACTTTTCCTCTTGGAATCTTTTGTTCACATTTTTTTCAAGTTGTGTTCAGTTTGGATTTTCTTTTTTCACCTGCCATTTTTGCCTAAAAGAAAATTTTAATAATATACACCTGATCCTTGTTGAACTATTGTTTTTTTTTTTTTATGGTGCAAGAAAAATAGATTATCCATTGTCATCCAAAAAAAAAAAAAAACATCTGAAAGTATACAACCATCTGCTTTAAAAATGGTGTTATTTTTAGCTCTATATTTTCTTTTTGAAAAATGACATTATGATTTTAAATTCATATCACTCGATTATGATTTTAAAAATGTTTTTGTTGAAAACAAGAACTCTCACAAGATTCTCTACTTATAAATAAAATTTTCAGTCACTTTTACATTTTTCTTTTAAATAATATTTTCATAATTAAAAAAAAATTCTGATTTCAGTACAGATTTTATATATTTTCCCCACTATTTATTCCAATATCTCCATATCTGCTATATCCACCATTGTGTGTATAACTCACTCACATCTTACCATATTTGAAACCTTTCTCTCAATCCATGATAAATCCTTAACTCCTATAATAGTAATATTTAATTCTTTTTTTTTTCTTTGTTCCTGTTTGTGACTTATTTATTGTTTAACTCTCTTAGAAATCTTTTATGCCAATCCAGCAAGTAGTTAAAAAAGACATTAATGGGGAGATGGATTTGGCATTACCGCACTTGGTTAATAATAGCTTGTTGATAATTGTTTCTTCTTCACCTATTCTTTTTAGCTTTGTTTTTTGTTTCTTTTTTTTTCAAAAACCTAGGACTCGTATTAGAGATAACAATTAATTTATTCATAACCTGCAGATAACCTTGATCTTTTCTCTTTTTAAATATCAAATCTCAATAGAGAAAAAAAAAAATCCAGCGGTTACCAGAATAGACCAGATATTGCAAAAACATTTCCCAACAGGAATTGTCACACGACTTGACCAGTGCATCATTTCTGAGAAAAAAAAGTAATTTTTTTTTCTTTAGTGAACGTAATACCTTAAATACTAATGAAGTGCTTAAACACTAATGATCTTGCCATCAATTACTCTTATACTTTCTTGTTAATTTCTTTGTAATTAAATCCTTAATGATTCAACTTTTAATTAGCTCACATTTGTGTGACCAGTTGTTCTAATTGAACTATACTATTTGATTGTTTTTCTTTTTCTTAATATTGTTTCCTTAATGTGTGATGCACAATTATTGCAGTTTTCAGAAGAATGTGCTCATTAATTTTCTTTTTTTTTTTTCTTTTTTTTTTGTTTATAGTTTACGTATTTCTGATTCTAGCAGTCATTTTTTGATTATGATGGGTTCTGAATTAAATTTACTTGTTCTCTGATAATATGAAGCATTATAATGTAACGGTTTTATCCAAATTTGATGCTGGGGGAAGTGGTAGAAAATAATTATTACACATTTAACAAATGTTTGATTGAAGAATGCTTCATATATATATATATATATATATATATATATATATAAAACCCTTGATTATTTAACTGCATTTAATTTGAATATTCTGCTTTTCATTGTTAATAAATTGCTGGACAATACATATTACTGATGAGAAAAGAAAATGTAGCTCTTAGGTAAAATTTAATACTACAAGGAAACCCTTTGGATCAAGCTTTTGTTATTTTTTCTTTTAAATTGTTATTTTGTACTATTTTAAATATTACATAAATGTTGGGAGGTGGGGGGAATAATAAATCCAGCAACCTGGAGTATGTATGGGTTAGGATGAATTTTAGATTAGTTGAGATTTTCATTTGGCATTTGATAATGTTTGTACTAGATTGTCATCTAAATTGCTCAAATATTTCCATTTAAAGATTGCGTTAATTAATCCTCTCCCGCAAGATAAATAAAAGTTAACCCGTTCTTTTGAAGCTTGTATTTTTTTTTTTCTCTTCTGAAAGACTTTTCTAGATTCTTCTTCTGATCGGGCTGTTCCCACTGATTTCTGACAATTTGATAGCATTCTGTTTTTTTTTTTTCTCTCCTCCCTCTCTATCCAAATTCTCTGATGTTATTTTCTTCATTTTATAGGCACTCGAGACCTCGAGATGCCAATTCCTACCATCCAAAGTTCATGTTAGTATTTTTCTCTCTACTTTGTCTCTATTGAACCCAGCACCCCAGGTAAATTGAGCATGAGTTTTGTTTTATTTTTTTTTATTTTGCTGAATCTAGCGTTACCTATGTTCTGTTTAATTTTATTTTGTACAATTCTTTTTTTCATTTTTATTAAAAACACATCTTATTTTCAAACATTTTTTAAGACTCAATCAACATTAATCTTTTTGTTGTCATAGAAAAAAAAATCTTGACAAATATTAATAAGAGCAGAAAACAAACCTGAAAGAAAAGTAATATATAGAAGACCAAAAACATTGTGATAAAATGCATTTCTGATTTTCTATCTTCAAACATGAGATGTGTTGACAAATGGTTTAGCAAAATCAAGGGGGAAGAATTTTTTAACAAGCAGTTTGCTTGTCTTGTTAAAATTATAATTTCTCCTACCTTCAAATGATTGTAAAGATATATTTTTTATTGCTTACCTTGGTTGGTAGATGGTGACTTAGAAAGCAATAAAATATGATAGATTTTACAGAAATGTCTTTTTCATATTATTCTATTTATCTCAATTCTTTTTATTATCTTTTTTTTTATCCGAGTTTCAGGTGAGGCATATATAGATGGAGAAGAATACAATGTGTGGTTTTAACATATACTTTATTCTAGAAATCATAATGGTGTATATCTCCTTTTCTGCAAATTCTGTATTGAATTAGTGTAGAATTTTTAACTCAATTTCATAATCTTTCTTTTTTATATTTAATAAATTATAAGGACACTTTTCTCTTTTTTTTTTTTTTGACCCACTTGCTTAAACATCTGTGCTATGGAAAGAGAAGAGTAAGTTGTAATAAAAGATCTCTTAATGTTTTTATCAACAAGAATTCAATCACAGATTATAATTATGTATTTAAATAATTTTGTAATAATACAAATTAATTCAATATTAGTTTCACTCATTTTGTAATGTTTGTATTAGTTATAATACAAGTGAATTCAACAACATATTAGTTTTAGTTTTTGAAATAATTCTGTAATGTTTTTATTAATAAAAATTCAAAATGTTTGTATTAATAATAATAATTATTAATTCATCAAATTTACTATTTTTCATTTAAGTAATTCAGTAGTTTTAAGAAAATCTAATTATTTTTACTTATTTAAATGATGCTGTAAAGTTTTTTTTCGGTTTCACTCACTTTCTAGTTATGTGAAATGTCAGATGACCATGGTTACTATGAATGTTGCAGGAAATAAGATCATAACTAATGTTACAGGACCTAAAATTTAGAATTTTATAGAAATATTGTTAGAAAATTATTTATGTAAACTTCTACAAAAAAAATATTTTTTTAGAAGTTAAGGTTGCATTTATTTCATATTTCCTTTAAATGTAAACATACTGATATTTTTTTCTGTTAATTTATGACAGATAGAAATTAGTAAAATAAAGGCTGATAGTAAATTCACTATGTAATGATACTGGCTGTTGTATCAATGTAAGATGATGACAGACAAAATTTAGTCTTAGGTGAATTTATGAAAAATGATCACAAACCATCACCAACATCACAGCCAGGTTTAGTTTATCTTGTAAAGACTTATAAACTAGTATTGACTATAGTTGGCAAATTTGATCTGTTTACTTGGTTGTTGGTCAAGTGTAGTATTTTTCCAAACCATATAAAAATTGTGAAAACTGAATTATAGCTATAAAATATGCTTACCAATGGTGTTTTGGTGGAATGCAAAATAGAGAATGACAAAAATGATGATGGCTAAAAAGGACAAATGTGAAATCAAGTTGGAAAGAGAAAGACTTGATGTACCAAGTGAATCAAATATCTGAGACATATCTTCATACAACACCTCGATCATGTTCTGGATCTGTAGTTTTATCGTTCTCTGCCTGTTTTAAAATTTTAACTATTTTCAGGCAAAAGAATTGTTATTGATACCACCAGGTTTTCTGCTCATAACCAGTAGCTTTAAACTACAAACAACATGCATGGAGAAGTTTTTAAATGTGAATTTATTGTAATGTTTTGATCTTCAGAGAAGTGTTGGGTTAGGTCTATTGACAAGGAAGGAAACAATATTAAAAGATAAATATTTGTGGCAAATAAATACCATTTTATTTTTTTCATCATTAAGCTTATAAAACTTGTCAACTTAGCTATTTCATTTGATACAAATGAATCTTTAAAATTTGAAGTAGTTCATTGATGAGACTGATGTAAAAAATTTGAATATTTTAGGAGTGCTTTTAATGGAATTTACAAGTGAAATTAAATCTTTTAAATATACCTTAAATTTATTTGATTATATCTTATAGGTGATGTTAGTCACATTTATTTATTAACCTTTTCTTTCCAAGATTGCAAGCAGAAAGTCAAATTAAGTTTACAAGCATTGAAAAAATATCTCTTGGATTTTAATGATAGCAATTATGATAAGGCACTCTTTGGTAAACTAGCCTCAGACAATACTAAAGCATTCAGTCTTCATTCAGGGATCAGATATTGCATTTTTATAACAGATTAAACTTAATAAATATCATCTTAGAAAACATTAATTTGGTACATTTGAAAGTAATTGAATTTTTTTTTTTTTTGTTTTCTTGCTCTTATTTAATTCTTGCTCCTTTTTAACTATGACTTGAAAGAATATTAATGTTATTTATTTCAACAATGAGACATTCACCTTTTTGGGCTCCTTAATTGATTCAGTTCAATGTTTCTTTTATTTTCTTTTATGTTCTCTTATTGGTCACTTCTTATCACATTAGATCCCAACAAATTATTTTTTCTGCTAAGCATGTTTTTACTTCCCAGCAGTTGTTTTGTACACTTTTCATTAAGTCATTTAAAAAAAAAAAAAATAAAAAAGTGATGGCTTCTTAAAGGCCTCTCCCCATTGTTCCTTTTAGTGTTATTCCTGTCCCAATATTAGAGAAAATCTGTCCTCACACTATGAGAAAGTGCTGTAAAGTTCTGGGCTTGACCCACTTCCCAAAATCTGAACAAACATCAAATTTTTTCTTTGTTTTATTTTTCTAAAATTTTTCAGCACCCTCTTGCAGTTTCCCTTTTCAGAGTGAATTTCTTATTTATTTTTGTCATGTATAAATGGTGATTTTTATTTCTGAAAACACCTACAGTTCCTGTTGTAAATTTCATGATGCCTTTCTTATGAATAAGATCAAATTTATATTGCAACTATATATCTGCAGAAATGGGATTCAGCAAATTACTAATAATTTTTACTGCCTTTTCTTTTTTTTCTTTTCTTTTTAAATAAATCAATTATGACTGCCAGATTTTTAAATGCTAATCCAAATTCACTATTGTTGAATGAATAATGTTTCCAAATTTAAAGAAGTTTAGAATTTTCAATTTGAAAGAGCAACCTGTATCATAAAATATATATTGGGTATGTTCTTGATGAAAAATTGGAAAGCTGGCATTGCTATTTCTCAAATGTTGACCCCTGACGTTTTTTTTTCCTTTTATTTCCTTATTTAGGCTGTTATGCTTATCTCTTTCTGTTTAACTTAATTAGTATTATTCACCTTCAAGTGACATGGTATCATGAGGACTTCAATGAAATGTAATACCTAACTTACATAAATTGTGGATGATTCTACTAATAGGAAGATTTGTTGTGGAAACAGGATCAATAAATTCATTATTATAAAGTTTACATAATTGGGATACTAAGATCATTTACAAAATGATCCTATTTAGCTGACATGGTATCATGAGGACTTCAATGAAATGTAATACCTAACTTACATAAATTGTGGATGATTCTACTAATAGGAAGATTTGTTGTGAAACAGGATCAATAAATTCATTATTATAAAGTTTACATAATTGGGATACTAAGATCATTTACAAAATGATCCTATTTAGCTGACATGGTATCATGAGGACTTCAATGAAATGTAATACCTAACTTACATAAATTGTGGATGATTCTACTAATAGGAAGATTTGTTGTGGAAACAGGATCAATAAATTCATTATTATAAAGTTTACATAATTTGGATACTAAGATCATTTACAAAATGATCCTATTTAGCTTTTAAATAACTTCAACGAGTAAGTCAATGTATACAGCTGAAGTTTTTCATGCCTAATTATCTTAAAATGATTATATTTGCTATTTAATGTTCTCATTGTAAAGATGAATAAGAATACTAGACCAAATCTACTACATAAACGTATTGTTTATTTATCTCTGGACTTTGACAATTAATATTGGCCTCAAGGTGTCTCTGGCTTTTGGAAAGATTCCTTCAAATATGGATCTTCTTCTCATAAGAATGTGAGAATCTTTATCCCCCCACTCTTGTGTGGGGTTGCTTATATATCTTCCTGTCCTCTGGTTGTCATACATGTGCAGATTCTAAGCACAGCTAGGATGGACACCAGTTTTGATCTCAGAAGCAGCCACTAGCATACTGTGAAGTACCATGTTCCTGGTGGCTAAGAAGTTACCTTCTAGGTCAGCCCTTTGATGGCACCTGGCTCTTCTGGTGCAACACCAAATGCAAAATCTTTTTTGATATTTCTTCAGGTGAGCCTAGTATATATTAGGCTCACTACAGATCAACTCTTAGAAAAAGGTTTCTTATTGACATTCATTTTATTTTAGACCATCTGGTATTTCCTGGTGTGGATCACATACTGTAGTCATAGTGAATTAAAAATGAAACCAAGTAATGTCATTTTAAGCTTATTATGCATGAAAAATGCTGAATTTAATTTTTATAGTTTTGATACTGTATTGTATTGGCACATGTTATTGAACACTCTGCAACCATTATTTAATATTATAAATACTTGGAGCTAAACCTGATAACTAAACCACAAGTATTGCATACTTATATATGTCAGATATAATAAAGACATCAATACATAATGTTTTAAAAAAGTCATTAAAATATAAATTTTCTTTAACAATGGCTTACAAAAACTGAAAGGACTTAGAAATTGGATAATTTATATACAGCCTCAAAAGAGAAAATCAAAAAGTATCTTTCAAAGAATTTTTAATCAAGCTAAATCTTAAAGAATTTCAATCAAATTTATATTACTGAAAAAAAAATGTTGCTCAAGCAACACTTAACATAAATTTGGAACATTTGAACAATTTTCCTGAATTTGTGCAGTGACTCTATGAAGATTGTAAGAGATTCCATCTTTCTGACTTTGTGTCATTCAAAGATGCCAGTTGGTTTTTATTATACATCACTAAAAATAGTTTAGAAAAAAAATTACCACTTAAGATTCAAGTTATTAATAGAGACTTCAAATAATGATTTCAAAATTTATTTTCTATTTTTTTTGCATAGTTTTCATTTTTGTTAAAATATCTTTACAGGAACTTGCTTCTTATTGTCACATTTGTTTGATTTTGAATTTAAAATTTTTTTAGATTTGCTTATCTTGAGGGTTGTTGGATTTTAAAAAAATCTGAAATCTTGTAAACTTAACACAAAATGACCTGAGTAAAACATGTTTGATAATAGATTTAAACTCTTTTAAAGTATATGAGAAGTATAAAAATATAATATATTTTCAATTATTTCTAAATTTTTAAGAGCATTAGCTTGAAAATATTAGTTTTAACTTTGATGTCAATTCATTCACTCTTTGTTTTATCTGTTATCTTTGTGATCATTACATTAGCCTTGATTAGCCATCATAAAAAAAATTTCTTATATTGTTAAGCACTATTTTTTTGTCCTTGTTACAATGGACTAAGATTCTTAGTTAAACAGATTGTGTACAAGATGCCTCCCCATCAATGTTTTGCTTTATGGTTGCACAATTACATTGTTAGATTAACGAGCATTAAACTCAATGATCTTTGTTTCTTACTGGATTCCAATTTAGATTTTAAATTGTGATGTTGACAGTTCATTATAATTTTTTAATATCTGAAGATTATTATTGAAATTGCTTCTACCTGCCGTTTGCTGCTTCTAGCAATAAAGTATTCAATAAGTGTTTACTTAAATTACTAATAATATCTGTTACTTTTTTTAAAAATAGATCTTAAAAAGCTGAAGTCAGTTTTATTCATTAAACATTTTTCCACTACTAAGATAACCTCCTTTTACCCTTTATTTGTAACAACCCACTTTTTCTTAATTTTTTCTTCTCTCTCCCTCCATGTCTTGATATTTTTCAAAGCTTTTCAAAATTTTATACTTGCTTTGATATTTTGTCAATTTTTTTCTTATCTTTTCATGCAATACCAAAAACATAACAAAATGGAAAAATCTATATAATGCCTTTTGTCCTCTAAAAGGACTTCATCAGATTAAAGTAATGTTCTTATTGATGGAATTATATATGTGTAGGGAGAATGTGAGACATAAATGTAAATGTTAATTATAATTATGCACCAAGGAGAAATGCTGAAGATGTCAGTCATTCAGTTATGTGCCATGCGTGATACATGCTTAGGCGATCATGTATCTTTCAATACATGACTAACAAGGCAGATTTTTTTTCCCTGCAGTAGGTTGCCATTTCTTTCTGTGGTAGACCAGTTGCCATCCAAGGCTATAGAACCCGGTCTGTCCTGCTATTTACCCATTGTTGGGAAGAGAAGAGGAGGATTCATATCTTTCCCAAGGGTATTAGCACTTAAGTGAATGTAATGGATTCAATCGGCTCTCCAATTCCTCAATCCGAACAGCTATCCATTACTCCACCGTGCCTCTTGAAGATGTAGGGATGCTAAATTTAAAATTTTTAGCATCTGATAAACACACAGGTCAACCAATCTCATTCAATTTCTCAACACTTTTGGTTTTGTTTTTATCCTTGTTTTTAAACAAAAACAGAAGGCATTTGGAAACCAAATGAAATTTACTGAGCTGTGTGTCTAGATACGTTGTTTGCTAGAAATTTCTATTTAGTGACCCTTCTTCTTCTGTGCTTCCTCTCAGTGCATAAGTATAACCAACATTTGTTTATATCACCCCCTCTCCACACGCATATATTTCTATCAATAAGAACATTACTTTAATCAAATGAAGAAGTTTTTTTTTTTCATATTGTCATTCAGTTTCTGAACATTGTTCTGACATAGAAATTAATATCATTCTCTCAAATATTATCAAAAACAGGTTTTAACTGAAAATTCTTTTATTGAAATCAACAATTTTTTTTTTAATTATTTCATTTGAAGAAAGATTTCCAAAATGATAGAACAATTCAATTTTAGTGTACCTATTAGTTTACCTTTAGCTAACAATTCTCATGATTTGTTGTGTAAAGAACATTATGGATCCTCTGAGTAAAATGTATTTCTAAAATAGCTGGAAAAATATTTTAGGCCAATTTTCTCAAAAATTTAATCTTGAAAATGAAAACTCAAAAATAAATAATTTTAATGTTTCATGAAAAGAAAATGCATATGAAAATATACACTTTTAATACTTTATAAATTTAAACTTGATTAACCCTTCGGTACTGAACATAATTTGAATATATATTCTCAGATTTTAGAATGTGCTTTTATTTTTGATATTTACTCAAGTTCTGGAATTTGTGGTTTATATTCTAGACTGGTTTCAAAAGAAACTGATAAAAGCAAAAATTGAAGTTAGCATTTCATTTAAATATAAGATAGCTCTAAAGAACAAAAAAAAAAAACTGATTTTAGCAAAAGACAAATTCTAAACTATTCAACTTGTGAGTTTTGACACAAAAAATTTGAATATTTTGTAATTGTATTTGAACATGACTGCACTTTCTGCTAAATGATAGCAACACTATCTTCATTCTCTCTTAGATTTAAGTTCTACTTTTTAAAAAAAATTAATCCTGTAAAAGTGCATCACTGAAATAGAATTTAAATATGACTTGTCACACCATATGATTTTTTTTTTTTTAGTCAGAAATGAAATACCTGTAAATATTCTAATGTATTGAGTGTATGTTTTATTTTATTTTATTTTTATTTTTTTTTTAGCAACGTTCCTGTGGAAGATGAATATACGGCCAGATTGAAACAACTTACAAAAAAAATTCAGTGTAAGTAGCTTTGATTATGCTAATTAAGTAAGATAGTTGCTAACAGGCAGTTCTCTTAGGCTCAAGCAATCAACACAGAACTTCTCTCAAGGCTCACTTCTCTGTCCAACTTTCTTTCTACTTTACATAAATGATCTGCCTCAAGAGTATACTTGATCATTTGTGAAATATCTATGCTGATGAGATAGTTTATGAGTGCACCTCCAAAACTCTAGATAACCAGAGCCTGGCAACTGATCTCTCCTCTGACTTAGCTTTAACAGCTCTGGTGGGGGGGATTGGGGGTGTGGATGGCTTGCAGTTAAAACTGGCTGGTCAAATTCAATACCTCAAAAAAAAACAAATTCTAGAAATTCAATAATTTGTGGAACTAACTTTCAAAAGGATGCTTCCCTGATCACTACAATCTTAACCCTCTCAAGTCTAGGGTTAGCTGTTATCTTTCCCACATATTCCAATAAATTGTGTCTCTTTGTAACCTTTGGCCTTGTACTAGAACAAAGAACAATACTATAATTTATTCATGTATAATGTAAGGGAGACTACTTATATTAAGTAAATTTTATAAATTGTACTCTCCCCTGTTGGCTTTCTAACGAACCTACTCGTGTGCATATAAATAGTAGATATTGCATACAGATTTTATACAGAAAATTGGCGTTTAACGACAAGGGAATCTTTGTCTTGATTTTTAACATGTTGTGAGTCTAATACTTCAATACCAGTCTTAGGACATTGTTGTTCAAAAAGTCTGTTTCTTCAAGTCTGTATTTCAAACTGAACTTTTTTTTATTTTCAGCTCTTAGAAAAAAGATTAAACTTTTTGAAGAAAATTTTGAAAAAGAACATGGTTATCGAGTGAGTTATTTTTACTTTTCATGTTCATTTCTTTCTTTTATTTGTGTTATTAAAATGTCTATTTGTGTAAAATGTGGAACTTTGAATTTGTAATATTTTAGCAGTTAAAGTTTACATTTTCAAATACCTGATCAATTAAACCAAATATTTTTTGTTAAATTGTTATTAGAAAAAATATCAGAGGAATTTTTATCTTATTTTCGACTTTTCTCATGCAAAATGTTTTAGAATTTACTTGTATATATTTCAACATTATTATTGTTTTTTTTTCTCTAAGAAAATTATTTCATGTTTTTGTCTATGAAATATTAGAAATTTTTTTTTAACCATAGTTAAACATTGAAGCTTTGAGTGTGTCTGCCAACATCTTTACTAAAAAAATATGGCAAATTGTTTTTTTAATATTTTTGATGAGATTTTTTTTTTTTTTCTCCAGCCTTCTCAGAGTGACAAGACTGCTAAAGCTGAAATTAAGAAGTACATGGCTGACTTAACAAAAGCAAGGAAAGAATTAAAAAGTAAGCAATTTTGAAGTGTTTTAATTTTCCCTTTGCATCTATACATTTTGAATAGTAAGTCCTTTTCACTTTTGGTCAATCTAATCAGGTTTCATTCTCATAGAGAATTTGAGATTGGACCTACCTAGATCAGCTGTCAAATGTGACCAAAAAGAAAAAGGCATTGAAATATTTAAAAAAAATAAAACAAAAAAAACAACAAAGTGTGTGGTGTTATAATTAGAATTCTACTTGGCTCAAAATGAAATTAAATCTATTGAAATTGTATTTTTTGTTTATTCTTCAACTTTATATTTTAGAAGAATTATTACATATAAGTTATTTTTCTTTTTTTAAAAGGGACATTACACTGTACTGTTATAAACTAGAAACAATTTTTTCCTCCTCCATTTTCTCAAATTTTCTGAATTGAAATGAGAAAATATATTTGACATTTGTGAGAAAATAAGATTTCTTTAATCTGTCAACTTTTAAAAAATAATTTAGAACTAAAAGAAGAAGCAGAGATGAGCAGCCGGAGCCGGCATGGGAGCGGGGCATCCTCTGGTGGTTCTGAGTCACCCACTAGCATCCCTACCATGGAACAAACTTTGGAGTCTATCATGAAGAAACTCAAAGAGAAACGGCGAGATGCCAGAAGACCAGAAGAATTGGAGGTATTTTGTCAAAAATTATGGATCATTACTTAGTTTTTTTGTTTTTGTTTTTTTTAAATCTCTTCATTCAAGTGTGCCAGGATAAAATATAAAGTAAAAAAATTGTCCCATATTTATGTTAGCAGAAAAAAACACTTTAAATATATTCTCATATTATGTTCATGATGTTTGTTAAAGATGCCTTTAAGATAAAGCTGATATTTTTTTTTAAATTTCAAAAGAAATCTCATTTTGTATTAGATTTCTGAAAAGTTCTTTTTTGGCAAATTTCTTTTGTTGTATACATTGTGTATGTTAACAAATACAGTGCATCAAAGGAAAACTTTTGTCAGTTTAAACGAAATATTTCTTTATTATCTTTTTTATCTTACTGAACATCATTTTCACATTTTCATACAAAATGATGGCTTTCTCTTTCATCTGTCAATTATTTTTCTTCATTGTAATCTTTTTTATCATCAAAATTTGTTTGCTCTTTTGTTTAGATTTCACTTTACAATTTCATTGAAAATTCTTAACTTTTATTAACCTCTGCAATTTGCCTATATTGCATGTCTGTTTAACCTTTGAATGTACAACTGACCAACACAAAAGTATTTAATACTATACAACTTGAAATAAAAAGAAATAAAATATTTAAATGTTTACAAAGATGATTATCTGTTGACACATGAAGTTTTATGTAATTCTGTCTTGAAAAAATATTTTTTAATAGCAATTTAAGTTTAATCTTTTTTTTTCCTCTTGAGTAATTGTTATAACAAGCCTCACCTACCTACCTGACAAAACTAATATACACATTGCCATGGATTTGTACAGCATCCATTCAAAGTAACACTACATTTTTATTAGCAGTGATTTCTCATTGTTATCATGTTTTGAAAGTTTTTCTCCTGGGAGGTTTTGTTACAAATGTCAATACTAGAAATGGAACCATTGACCATGTGATTATTGGCTGACTCTTGACATTTTAAAACCCTTTCATCAAAAGCAATTTTTTTAAAAATCAATCAACATGGAATAAAATAGATTTTACAAGAATATTTCTATACTGATCACTGTGTGCATTCTGAAATACTTTCCCAACATAAAAAAACACACTTGAATCTAAACCATGTTTCTAGAAAAGAGTAAATTTTTTTTTTTATAAATGTCAACAGATTTGTGATGACAAGAACTCTTTGGAGAATTCAATCAGTAATTCCAGATGTTTATCTCATACAACTTGATAAATTAGAAGCTGTACTTAATGCTTAGATGATCACTGTCAGGTCCGAACCAAAGTTATATATTATGCACATTGTTGAAGGAATTTTTTCTAATTTGCATAATGGAAATAAGATGTGACTAAATTTAAATGTTATTCCAAGAAATCAGGTTAGAGGGAAATGTGGCCATGTTTTCTCTAAGAGTGTTTTCATGTTTCTATTAGTCATCTCTCTGCTCTCTTGCAAGTGAGAAGAGGGCTGATGATTTTAAGTCACAAGCTAGACAATCTATCTTTGTTGACCTTCAGCTGATGACCCGTGACCAGATCCAAGAAGAAAAGCTGGCCATACAGAAATCCTTGCTCCATTTCGAAGGCATTCATGGCAGGCCTGTAAGTACTTGGTGGATGATAGCTTCTTAGTTTGCTCTCTCTTTTTTCTTTTCTTTTTAACCCCCACCCCCCGCTTTTTCCGAAAATGTTTACTCCTTCAGATTCTTTTGTTGGGCTTCTCTTATACACAGATCTTCTTGATCTTTACCTAATCAATTCACTTTGTTGTGTGTCAACATGTTTGCCTGTAAGGAATCTATTTTTAGTTATAGACTTGTCTCACTATAAAAGAAAACTTCCTTGTTCTGCATTTTCATTCCATTTGCTTTCCAAAGGAAAGAAAATGAATGTTCTCCTTTTTTATGCATCCTCTAATTCCCTTTCCTCTTCTACATATCTTTACACACATAACTCCACTGGATGGATTATAAAGAATTAATAAACTTTAACGTCTACATATGTATTTGTATCTAACACAGTATCTACATAACAGTCTTCATTGAAGAAAAGCTTTGATACTTAAAATTAACCCGTGAAAGAAATTATTTAATTTGTAATACTCATTTATTCAGCTTTATTGCCCAAAACTTTGACTATCTTCATAGATCTCAACATTTAATGAAAAGTGAATTGCTTTGAATATATATATATATATATATATATATATATATATATGTATATATATATGTATGTGTGTTTGTCTTTATATCAAAAAGGCACAGCTTTCCTCTAGTAGGACATCTGAAAATGGGTGGAGGCCAGAGTGATTTCACATTTTATTTTACAGCATTATCATTGGCTGTAAACTTTGAATCATTATATTTTAGTGATTACAACCAGTAGATAAGTATCATGAATGAAATATCTACTGACAATTACTTGAATTAAATTATTTGCCTGTCACATTTCCAGCTGTAATTTCTTGTATCAATTTGTCATTGATACATCATTAAAAATATAGTGTGTGAGATATATGAGAACTAAGCAGCTAAGAGATATGTAAAGGGTGAATCAAATCCTTCCCCAATTGTACTTAAATAAAAATATTTCATATTTATAAATACATTTTGTATAATACAGATTAATAACTAAATCTACCAATAATATTTGATGAAGTTAAATATGTAAAAGCCCTAGAAGAAAACAAAAAGAAAGTAAATATAGAATACTGCATGGAAGAAACGTAAAAGATAAAAATAAGTCACCACACAGTGCTATCGTTTAACCCCCCCACTTATAGCTGCATCATGAAAACTAATGTTGGTACAATATTCCTATATATTACCTTTCTCTACCTTAATTCCATTTATTTTTCTTTTTAAATATATTTTATGACTTGATATAAATGTATGAATGCATGATTGTATATGTGTAAGCATGTATTTATGTGTATGTGAATATTATATATAAAAATAATTTGTAAATAAATGTATTTTGTAATTTGTAAGATCATATTTGCATGTATATGTGTATGTAGGTGTGGATGTATATACTTGTATATTTGTATGTCTGCAATGTATTGCAAATATGTGTACAAATTGTATTAAAATATATATTTATGGGATATAATGGAAATTATATATATGCCTTTTTTAAATATATTTTTCCATATGAATATGTATGTTTACATTTGTTGTGTAGTAGTATTATACACACTATAAGTAAGTGGACTGCACCATTATCATAAGAGTATGTTATAAATATCACTATTAAACTTAAGCCACTTTTCATTTTGTGCCTGACAATTTTGTACTAAAAAGTGAGGAACAAATGAAGATAGCATCCAAATATGAGGCGATACTGAAAATCTACATCCCACAATATAACCAAATATATTTTTTTTCATAAAGACTTCTTGGTTGGGCTGGTAACTTTTTTTTTTTATAAAAACCTCTCTAAATACAGATTGACAATATACATTCTTATCCCTTTCCTTTTTATCCATTATATTTTGATGAAAGATAGACCTGCATGCACAATGTTTTTGATATTATTTTACTGAGAAATAGTGATTGATAATTATGAAAATTATGTTTATAGCTTAGAAATCTTACACTTGTGTGGTTACATACAAAAAAAAAAAAGGTTCTAAATGAGTAATTATGAATGTAACAAATGTGAATTCCTAATGAATATTTTTTTTTTGTTTTTAGTCCTCCAAATTAGCCAAGGATCTTATGCGACCCTTATATAACCATTATCGATTGGTGAAACGAATGTTGGCAAAACCAGCATCGGTATGCATACTTTTCTCTTGTTTTGTTAGAATGCCATTATTTCTGACTTGTTCACTTAATTTCTCTAAATTTCTTATATAAAATAACACAAAGAATACACAATAGAAAAAAATAGTAAAATAAGCACAAGTTTAGTAATAACCTTATAGAAAACTTATTATTTGTTAATTGTTAAATTTATATTAATAACAGAAGTTGATTATAATAGGAATAACAGTTATAACCCAACCAGCTCTTATCAATTCACTTGAAACTTTAAAGTTATTTGAAACACTGCATTTTATTTTGGTTCTTGAAATGAAATAATTCTAGTTCTATTTTTAATTTAGGACAGCTAGATTATGACAGTTAAAAAATAATTTGTCATGATTTTGACTTCCAATTGATAATTGTTCATTGAGAATTTGTACTGCTTAAATAAGTTAATAAACTATTATCTTTATAAAAATCATAATCCAGTGTCACCTTGCAAATATTGCTGAGACCCCACCCAAAAAATCATCTTGTACCTATGTGTATAGGTCTCCTTTGAAACCAGCAGTTAATAAACTTTTCCATTTCTGTATTTTTAATTCAAAATAGCCTCAATGATGAGTTTGATTAATCTTGCAATTTATCATTTCTTTTTCTTTCTTTCTTTTTTGTGCATGTGTGTCTGTGGATGCACATTTGGTTAGCCTCGAGACACAGCTGAGTTGCAAACTGTCCCAGAGGATCAGCCATTTGAACTTACTGCTGCTCTACCAACAACAACAACAACTGCACGTCAAGCTGTGAGTAAAACATACAACAAAATTTTGTTTCTAGAATAATCTGTAAGGAATTCCCAAATTTTGATGTTTACTCATTTTGGTTAGATTTTGGGAAGTGGGTCAACTTGAGGACTTTTCAGCAGCACCCCTACTACTGATATAACAAGCATAGACATATATTCTTTTTCCATTTTTTATTTTTATTGTTACTACATATTTTTAAAAATATTCCAAATAATGAGATGACCAAAGTTTTCTCCAAATTTCTTCTAATGGTGTTGAGCCTGAATTTTCTTTGATCAGTTGCTATTTAATAAGAGAACAAATGATATTTTACTGGTTTCCAATAATTTAAGAAGCTTTGAATTGATTTTATGCTGATAATTTTCCATATATGCAGAAGATCTTTTATAATTTGTAAAATAGATTCTGACAAACTCAAATGTTTGAAGATGAAGTGCATAGTGAAATTTCAGAAGATTATAAGGACTTTCTACTTTTAAACTTGGAAACCAACTGCTACGTAACATTGTAACATTCTTTGCCAAATGAAAAATACAATAACTTATTTTAATGTTGAAAGAAAAATGAGGAAAGAATCATTGGTAGAATGTAGAAAAGGAAGAAAACTAAAGTTGAATAGTAATAATAGAAAGTTGTCATATTTACTATAGAAATAAAAAATATTCTGAAATTATTGATCATTTTTTGGCTTTTCTTTCATCAGTTTCCTTACGGTAACAATCTCCCTATCAACTAAACAATTAGTATTAATCATTACTGTTGGTTAAAATGTTCAATTTCAAGAAAAATGTTCTCTAAATTTGAACAAAAGCCTTTTCAGTATGTCATGCTTTAATTTTTATTGAATCCTATGTAATTAGATAAGGGTTGTCAAAATAGATTTATTTATTTTTCAAGTGGAAATCAATCCATGTACCTACGGCTGATTTGGAAGATGATGAAAACTTTGATGCAGCTGCAGACTTTTGTATTCCACGTGACCCTCTGTTGCCCCGAGACACAATTCGCATTCTCCCCATGACCTCAGGGTCATCAAAATCTTGGCAAAGTGGAGAAAGTTCTAGCAACCAGGAATCGACATTACATGAAATGACTGTGTATGTATCGTTTTGTTTTGTCTTAATTTTTATCACAAGAATATTTGGTTTACTGTAACATTGTATCATTCATAATTTGCATCCATTGAATAAATTCGGTATAATACAATCATATATTTATTACTACTAACCTCCCTTTGAGAGAAATGCCTGAAAATTTTAATGCAGAAATACACATAAATTCATTATTTGGCAGGTGATAGTTTGTAACAATGGCAGTTTGTTTCAGGTATATTAATATTGTTAATATAATTCTTTGAACTTTTTTTCCATTGAAAGGAGAGAATCCATTTTCATAGTTAACTCAAGGAAGGCTGTAGAATGAATTGACTGAAAAGTTACCAAGATCAGAAACATGAAAATGTTGTATGTTAATGAATCTTAAGTTTTAGACAATCTTGGTTTATTAATTTATTTTAACTACCAAAATAGATTTAATGTATATTGCACACATGCAAGGATGGGGGGGGTGGGATCAGGTGTAATAATTTGAATGGATGGTATAATGGTCCAGAATTAAAAAAAAAAAAAAAAAAAAGAATTGGTTGAGATCAAAGTTTAAAGTCTAGTCAAGTTTGTTACATTCACTTTTACACAAATGTTCTTAGAAAAGATCTGTGGCAGACATAGTGAACCGGAACCAGAGTTGAATGGTGAGCAGGACTTAAAGAAAGTTTGTCTTTGTCTGGCAGGCAGGATTTGAGAGAAAGCGAGTGCACACTGAAACTAGGGTATTTAGGCATATAACTTACATGTGTCCAGCGTGCTTTGTAATCTATAAAAGATGAGCACAGTAGAAGTTGGGTGTGATTGTTTTCAGTCAAACTGCCATTAGCGTTATGTTGTCAGCTGAAAGAATACACCATCTGAGGGTGGCAAGTATGTCGCCCCATCAAAATGGACCTTCCTTCTTTGTTGTATTACAAGGTCTGAATCCATATATTCTATCCCCAGCTATAGGTTGAATAGTAGGTCAGACTGAGCTCTTCAGCTTCATTGGCAACCTGTTTAGGGGAAGAAACACTCAATTTCTAAACCCAAGTAGGTGGAACTCGTTAGTGTAGGAACATATGATTGTCTAAAGGAAGGAAAACTTGACAGAAAACCAACTCTTCTTCAGAGTATGGAGTTTGGATATGGAGCCAAACACTTGGATCCCTAGCCATATTGGGATCCATGGACTCACCCACATAACACACTCCTTCTTCCTAAAAAATGAAGACCCTCCAAAATGCCCAAACTGCTAACAAGTACTCACAGTCAAACATTTTTTTGATTAACTGCAAAAAAAAAAAAAAAAAAAAAATGGCACCGATATGAAAATACTTCTACAGTGTACCCAACCTCTTTGGGAGTGTTGGACCAAAAGCCATTCTAGAATTCTTAAAAGTAACAAAACTTTATCCCAAAATATAAAAAGGAAACTGAATAAACACTCTGCTACAAAATAAAACTGAATTACTTGGGTACAACTAAAACCAAATTGCATCCCCCACCTTTATGTAATAATGACTTGTAAAAGAATTTGTCTGTAAAGTAGACACAAAATAAAAACAAATTTTAAAACTACCCAATTTGGTAATAAATGACCCTTGAGGTTGGCTTGCCAGTAAAATTACCTATCTAAATCAGTGTACACACACGCACACATATATATTTAACAATTCTATAAACACTGCTGCACTTTCTAACATTGTTTACGTGCTCAGTCACTTCTGGATACTCACAATTTCTGTAGTGAAACAACAACAGAAAAACAATCTTTTAAGAACAGATTATCAAGAAACAGCTGATTTGGAAGACAAAATCATTGTATATACTTGTAACATATTGCTATCATTTTAGGTGTAAAATGTTGAGTGAACAAACTGCAACTCATTTTCTACCATTATATTCCAATGTTTCTACACATTACTTAGTTCCCAAGGAGGATTGATGCCTTTAGAAATAACTACACACTGCTACTTATTTTCTGTGTGTGTGTAAAAATTTGAAAGTATAAAAAATTACCCAGGACAGCATTGCAATTATAATGTATAAACTATAATAAAGTTGCAGAGATAAAATCTTTAATTGTTGTGAAATAATTTGTAATTTAGTGGCTTAAATGAATATTTATTTAATATTAATTAAATCTCCTGCAAATTCAATGCATACTAAGCATTTTACATTTGTTATATATATTGTCTAAGCTCTTCATTATTGATTTTGAATTATCCAAATCCTTCTTTTAATTGATTTTCATTTGTAAAGCTGTCCAATTTGATAATTACTTGTATAGATTATATTTCTGAATATCCCTGCATCACTTTTGTAGAGAAAAGCATCTTTTCCTTGCAAAACTTTGAATTCAATTTTGCTAAATTTAACTTTGTCTAAAATAATCCAAATAATGTTCCTCAGCTTTTGTTTGAATTTTGAATTTTGTTTTAATTTGCAGCCCTCAGTTACAAGAGGAGTTGACAAAATCTCGGGCAGAGAAGAGAAAATTAAGGAAGATTTTACGAGAATTTGAGAATGATTTTCTTGAACAACATGGCCGGTATGTGTTATTTTTTATTTCCTTGATTAGAAAAATATGTTTAATATAAAAAAGTATCCAATTTTTCAGTAATTTTGAAGAAAGGTCACCATTAGTGTTTCTAGGTTGCATTATGTTTCTGAAAAGTTGTTTTAAAGAGTCAAATGTAATTGGCAATAACTTTGTGTATGAATTTTTAGACAGCAAGAAGCTGATTCCACTAATGAGTATATAACACATCTATAAGTTTGTTGCCTGTTATCCATTTTTGAAGTATACAGTTAAATGTAGGTACCTTTTAGCTTCTCCCAAAGGCTGCCAACCTTAAATTTCCCTGGGAAGTTTTAATTTTTAAAATTTCTTTTTTGATATACTGAAATATTTGTAATGCATTTTATCCTTAGAACTTATATAAAATTAAATTCTCTTCAAACTCTACACTTGACTCATGTGGAGTATTTTTGCCTGAATTTCCACTTAGAACTGAGCCTCTATTGAGTTATATGCACATAACTCTGTCCATAGTTTCTCCTATAATCTCTAAAGTGGTTTGCCCCCACCACTACTACAAAGCGTGTGTATTTGATGGTATCCCTGTAGTAGTCCTTACGAAATGTGCTTCTGTTCTCTCTAAACTCTGCAATAAATGCTTTGCCCATCTGTTGGTTTGTTAGATTTATACCTCTTTTTGGCAAAGTTCTTGAAGCTCAGTTAGCTTCAAATTGGTTAAGCATTTCACCTTACAGGATATTCTTGTAATATAGGTTTTGACTCTCTAGGTCAGTTGCTCATGTGTTAATGATTATTGCTGAAAATCTGTCAAGCTTTAGATAAGAATGGTGAAGCTCAGGTTGTTGCTTTGTGTATCTTGAAGGTGTTTGACAGTTTGTCATGTTGGTCTTCACAAGTTGAAAGGTCATGGTACTTGTAGATGAATTTTTGATCTGATTCAATTTTTCCTATCAAATTGCAAAATGAAAGTTGTCTTGAATGACTCCTCTTTTAGACCTTTTTGTATTAATGTGGGGTGTCCCCCCAGGGGCTCTATCCTTGAACCTATGTTGTTCTTAATTTTCATCAATGACTTTTCTGATGTCATCTACTTCTCAACTTGGTATCTATGCTGATGGTGCATGACTATTCACTCCTGTTTTAATGCTAAGTCTGATTGGTTTGGTATAGTCAAATTGGCAGCTGATCTCAAAAATGACCTACAATCTGTTAACTAGAGCAAGAAATGGTTAATTTTAATGCCTCCAAAACAAAACTGTTCTCTTTTAATTGCCTTAGAAAATTTTTTTTATTTTCCAATCTCTAGGAGAGTGACTAACCTTTTTGGGCTATTTGTTTCTGCTGACATGAAGTGGAAACATTATATTGGATCAATTGCTATGTCGGCTCTAGGAAAGCCGGCTCACTGTGTCATGCTAGACAATTTTTCTTGCTAGAAACTATCTTACACATTTCTAAGCCTATCATTCATCCATGCATTGAATATTGCTGCTACATCTAGTCTGGTGTTTTTACTATGTATTTAAGAGATTCTTGATAAAATCCAAAGGAGAATCTGCAATGTTATCGGTCCTGACCTGGCATCTTGGCTTCAGTCACTTTCCCACCACCATAACATAGCTTCCCTGTGCCATTTCTATAAATATTTTCATGGTAATTGTTCTGGTGAGCTTTCCTCTTTGGTACCTAGACTTTATGAATTTAAGTGCAGTTGGAATGGCTAGATGTAACCATAAGTTCTATGCTAATAGTTTCTTCTCTCACACTTCTCACCTGTGGAACTATCTTCCACCTTCTTGCTTTCCAAAATTTAAATATCATGGCAATCATTATCTTTTGTCTTAATTCCTGATTTTTTATTTTCTCTCTCCTTAATAATGTTTTTCATTTTCATGTATTCTTTCACACTCCATAACTCTTTGCATCTTAGTGGCTTTATTGCCTTGATTGGGGTGAAATGATTAAAATATAAGTATTTTTAACAGAAAGTGATGTTATGATATATAATAAAGTGCATTATTGAGTGATTTTAAGAAATTAAGATTGCAAAATCACTACCTTCAGATCTTGTCAGGCTCACCTGAAGGAATTTCTAAAAGATTCAACAGAAATGTGATTAAAGTTTAAAATGCTTATATCTATGGAATAATATTCTATACACAGCACCCAATCCTACCACGCATACATGCGCACACACACACATACACAGTTACCTTTATTTATTTTACTTTCCCATCTAAATAAAATTTAAATGAACTTTATTTTTTTTAGTTTATTACATTTATAATAAAAGTGACATATTTTAAATTTCTCATTCTCTTTCAAATATATCACCTTTACAGATAACATTTTAATATTGTAATTTTTAAACACATTTTGATGTGTTATTCATTGCACTCTTTTACCATTTTGAAATCCTTTCATTCTTTTTAACTCTCTATTTTAATAAATTGATTTGGAAATCCATTAAACATTCAACTTGTTTCTTGTAGAAAAGTACAAAAAGAAGACAAAATTCCTCTCCAAGAAGACTACCAAGAATACAAAGTAAGTAACCAATATAAAATTTAATATCAAATCAAAGATCTCTCTCATTAGCTTTGTCAAAGATTTGCTATAATGGAGTTTTGAATACAATTACTTGAAGTCTTTTTGTCACCTGATATCTATGGTCAGTTCTCAAGTCAGCTGTAATAAATGATTATCCAACTTGGTACAATTCTTCTTAAAATATCAAACACCTTGTTTATTTTATTTTTTTTTTTCATCTACAGTGAGTTTTTCTGTACTGTCTCTGAACATGCATCTGTTTTGTGAAATGTGTGCATGTCTCTAACATGCACACATTTCACACATGGCCTTTTGGCAATTAAAACTCTGAAGCAACATTAGCATTCATCTACAGGTTTATTAACCACCAAGAATCGGTAAAACTGAAAAAGGAATAAAATAAACAAAGCTTCAACAAAACATAAACACAATATAAAAAAACAGGGAACAGCAGGGGCTAGGTTCTAATATAACTTCTAGATTGAATGCTCTTTCATAGTGGATCTTGAGAAGGTAAAAATGCTAGGAATAAAGTTGATGAGTAGAAATTACAAGCAAGTAGGATCAGGGATAACAAGCAAGATGAAATTAAGTGGTAAAAATGGTAATAATAGTAATTAAGGAATGCTGGGTCAAATACTACAGAAAGTCAACAAATAAAACTTAATAGGTATCGATAATACAAAGAGAGGAAAAAAGGTTGCAGTTCTTACTAATGATGCTTGGAATATTGGAGATATTTACAGGAATTGCATGCTGGATCAGTTATAGTCCTTTTGCTAGAAGTGGTCGATTAGAGACAGGTCTAAATGTTCCTTAAAAAAACACGAGGTCACTAAGGGAGATAAATGATGGGGACTATACTAATGCAGAACAGAACACTTTTAATTTTCACCTGTGAATTATCAACAAAAAACTTTCTTGCTATTACAGCTTTTAACCACAATTGTAAATTCTATTTTATATAATGGTCTTTGTGTTTCTTCAAAGAAATGAGTTCTTAAATATCACTTGTTTAAATGTTGTCAAGGGTGACCATTAAACTTATTGTCAATCGTGAATAAGAGGTGACTACTCTGTAATTAGCCAAAATCCAACTACATTTAGTTAAGTTTCACTTGTACTAATCCCTAATCTGGATGAATTGCCATTCCCAATATGTAGCACTCATACCTTTAACTGTTTCTCTTGCTGCTGATGACCATCAACTCGGTGTCCTCTGCATATCTTATGTTAAATCCCTCTGTTTTGAATTAATATTATGCATGAATATTTTTTTAAAAAAAGTAAAATTATAAAATGTACTTAAATGGCTAAACTTTTATTTATTTATTTTTTTTCAGCAAGTAAAGGCTCGTCTTCGATTACTGGAAGCTCTTTTATCAAAACATCAACAACAGAAACTGTAAGCAACCCTCTAAAGTTTTCAGTGCTGCTGCTGCTGCTACTACTACTACTGCTCTTACTTCCTTTGCCATGTTGAGTGTGGGAAGTAACCAGGGTCAATAACTGCAGTGCTCGATGTTCTTTTCATCTTTGAGAGGCAAAAAGCACCAACAGCTATTGCCTCATGGAACTTTTTTTTCCTCACTATTTTCACATACCTCACAGAACAAGGTTGTTCATTTTGGCTCTCTAAATGACCATCCCTCCCCTTCACCAGCTCCCACATTTAGTACCAGATGGAAAGAGAAGATCTTCCTCATATCTATTTGACCCTATTTCTCTTTCTGTACCTATTTACTTTGACAAGATCACAAAACTCACCTTCATCTGAAGCAGCAACAACCACTTCTGCTATTCGTCATGAAGTAGCCTTTCTCCTCTTTTAGACCCCATTATTTGAGGTGTCAGGCTATCTAGCCATTTAGTAAAATTTGCCCTATAGAAACGATTATTATCTAGTAGTCGTGCTTTCATCATATTAATAACTAAGCTTTACAGTGGGCAGAAACCCATGTCTGAAAGTGTTTTTTTATTTTTTAATATAGATATTCTGTTCTGTGTCAAAAATGCTGAAAAGATAAATATGAAGGTTGAGATATTTATCGAAATCTTGTTGACTGTTGCTTTTAAATCTTTTTCCAAAAATGTAGCCATCTGAATTGCAGTTTGGTGAGAGCAAAAGAATTTTTTTATCAATTAAACAGGCTTGGACAAATTCCTGGTACCAGTTTATTTTTATTAAAGGCCATAAAAATATTTCCATCATTGGGGGAGTTAAATCATTCTTCTTTATCGTTAGAAATCCAATTTCAGTGACCAAAGTCAAATGTGAAAACAATTTCCAAATCTGCAACTGGGCATTGAACAATTCCAAGTGTGTCAATCATTTTGCTGCATTCCAATCAAACTGAAACAAAAATTCTACATGGTACATTTTTTTTTTTTTTTTTTAAACAATTATTCTAATATATTTTTATTTTTTAGAAAGAATATTTTTGTTTGAAAGACATTTTATGTTGACATTTCATCACTGCTATTATTACCTTTTTGTTTTCAGATGTAACAGAAAATAGTTTTTCAAAAAATCTTTAAAAAATGTCGATAATTATAAAAGGTACACATTGTAAAACTAAAATTATTCTATTAAAGAAAAATGGCCGTATGATAACGAATTTCCATTTTTTTCTGAGGTTTGTAAACATGCACGTCTGGTGATTTTCTAAGCTAAATTTTGTCTGCCTTTTAGCCTTTTTGACGTTCTGCAAACTATTCAGATTCAACACATATAATAAGTGGGCTCAACTGTTTCATACAAATCTAATAACTAGTAGCAATATCATCATATGACTACTAAAGAGATTGGCTCAAATGTTGACAGCTGTTACATATTTGTAGAATTTTACTCCACCTAAACAGTTCTATAAAATCACTGTGAAACACACCTCACTTCTAACAGACATGGTGGAGTTGTCTGTATTTTGGTAAAGAGAATTTTAAAAAGTATAAATTCACAGGACACCAACATCTTTTATTTGTACAGCCTTCTAGTTATTTTGCCCTATCTGTGATCTTTATTTTCTTGTCATTTCTTTTTATCTTCTTTTCAATGGCTTTGTTCTTTTCTGTTCAAATTTTTGTTAGAATTAGGAAGAGATTACCAACTGAATCACAAGATATGATCAACCCAAGGTTCTCTTCTCATTAGTTTGGTGCCTCTTTATCAGATCTCTCCCCAGAGACTCTTCTCTCTCTCTCTTTGCCTACGGTTGGATACACATGAAACCACTGTCTCTCGTTCAATCACCAAGGTTAAGCAGCGTCAAGCTTGGTCAGTCCTTAGATGAGTGATCGCTTGGGAACACCAGGTACAATCTGAAGTATATTTTGGCTTTAAATAATCCATAAAGGGTTGATAAGCTGTAAAAAAAAATAAATAAATAATTACTCTAATCTTTCTCTTTAATCCACTTTGATCTGAAGAGAAATCTTCAAAAAATCTTATAATAAGGCTTTGGTTATCATCTGAAGCCATTTCTCTCCAATCCCCCCCCCCGACCCCAACTGGACTGTGAAAATCTCGGACAAGTCTTTCATACCCCTTTTCTCTATGTGTGTGTAACTTGGGTTATATTCAAGAAGCATGAACTTCTGATCATTTTTTTTATTTTTTTTTAATATTGATTTTTCTGGCAAAAATGATTTCTTTATGTCAAGGAGCAGCTATACTGAGTTTCTTCTGTAATTAGTATACTAATAAAATTCTCAATGCTCTTGGTATAAATATAAAAATATTTGTAAAAAAAAGTGATTTTACTTTAAGATTAAAGGAAATCTTGAGGCAGTAAGTTTCTGTAATTTGCAAGGTATGTAAACATTTTAAAAATTCTGAATTTTGATGTTAGTTTTTAATCAGGAGAAGTTGAATTGATACAAAATCTCAGGTGTCATTTACAGTGTGTAAGTTGTTGCAAAGGAAAAAAGATAAATAATTTAAAAAAAAATTATGACTACTGTCTTAAATATAATGAAAAGTTGCTCCTCTTTTTAGAAATGACTTGTTTTATTCAGTCATAGGGACTAAATAGATCTTTTTAACAAAAATATATCTCAAGTTCTTAATCCAAACACAAAACAGTGTTGAGTTTTTAAAATTTCTTTTTGGGGAAAAATTTCTTAGACTGGATAAAGAAGAAAATATTTAAAGTATCATGAGTAGAACAATATTATCATCATCATCAGAATCCCCCCCACCCCCACTCATATCGTGTAGTGTGAATCTTTTCAGATTCCATTCTTGTCAGGTGTCTTCAGTTGAAGACTGCCATACAAATATTCCTTTTTTTTTTCTGCTAAAATGAAACATGAAAGAAGCAGAATTGAAACTTCCCTTTTTTTTCTCCCCCCACCTTCTCTTCTCTCTCTGAATAAACTGTCCATTTTGTACAACTTATAAACCATCAAAAGTTGGATAAAGAAAATTGCTTTTGCTATGATGTTGCAAGTAATGGGTGTCTTTTATCAATATAAATTTTTAAATGTATTTTTTTTTTCAGTGTTAACTACCCACCCCTACTCCTACTTTCTTTTTGTCATAGAAAAAAAGATAGAAAATAAAAGTAGTATTTGTTGTCTGAAAGCGCAAACTAAAGCAAGATGTCATTTAACAACCAGGTCTTGGTTTGGCTTGTCAATTAAAGGCCAAATTTTTGTCAAAAGCTGACTTTAGTTATTTAAAACATTTATGGAATGCTTGATCTAGAATTGTTTTATTCATATGCTATTTTGGTATTAGGTTTGTGTGGAAGCCTTTTCCTATGAAAAATTGTTAAGATTGCTTTCTTGCTGCACTGTTATCTTCAGCCATATTCATTTTTATTGTGTGATAAAACAGGCATCAGTCTCTTATGTAGAAATTTTTGTGGGTCAGTAAAAATGTTCTTTTTTCAGTGAATGTGCTGTCATTTTAATATTGTGAACACAGTTTAACTGATTGTACTTTTAAAATCTCTCTTGACCCTGTATTCATGACATTCATCAAATTAAATTTGGATGAATGCATTTTCTTTTATTTGCTAATTATCACATCAGAATTCCTCACATTCAATGGATAGGTTTCCATTCTTTGAACAATTGTCTGCAATTTTAAATTTCATGGTTTTGAACTTTTTTTTTATCACAACAATCAAAACTGTAATTTTGAATTGCTTACAAATTGGAAATGCGAACATGTCATCCAATTAAAATGGATGATTGAAAACACTTGAGTAAAGATTCCCATCTGTAATCCAGCATACCTCCTATCCCCATAAGAGCTGAGGTTCTTTTTGATGGCAACTTGATCAAATGAAATTGCCATCAATTTTAATGGTGCATCATTTTTTTTTGTTAACTATTTTTATCTCTGTAACACACAGAAGCTTTCACATAAACCTAATCTTATAATGAATATTAACTTAATTTTAATTTGTCTGTCTTGAATTTGAAACACTTTCAAAGATTCTTGTCTTATTTTCTTAACTATTTAATAAGAGTTCAGAATTGAGAAGAATGCAGAATTTGTTTATTTAAAATACAAAAATAATATCTGCAGAGTTTGGCAAAACGATTAGTTTGAAAGGTTTTTTTTTTCTCATTTTCTTAAGATTTTTCATCAGAAATGAATTATTTGTAACCTAGTTATTCAGTTTTTAGATTTTGACAATCTTTATTTTTTGTTCATTGTCCAATATTAGCCAGCTAAACTAGTCAATGTTGACAAATATATGTCCAAAATTATATTGTTGGCCCTCAACTAATTATATATATATATATATATATATATATATAAAATCTGAAGCTATGACAAGAGCTTTTTGCCTTATTGGGAACAGTAGTTTACAATTATTCACTTGAAATAACAGCTTTAGCTCTGAATATATTCCTTTTAATAACTATTATCAATTGTCCTGATAGTTAAAGAAAAAAGTTTGCATTGTGTTCCAAATAATTTCATGCAGACTGCTTATGTGGTAATCCACTAAAATTTTGTATAATAATAATGTTTATGAATATAATGCTGCCATTTATAATGATTATCATCTTTATATTCAGTGCTTCTCAACAAAGAAAAAAAATAGGTACCCCCCACACACACCTATATATATATATATCTATTGCATATATATATATATGCAATAGATGGTAGAATTTCAATATTCTCTTGACCTCCTGAGGAAGATTGTCTAAGTGAGCTCAATAGGTGTTTTTTTTTTTTTTTTTTTTAATTGTCAAAAATAGAAAAAACATATTGATTTGATGGTATCACACACACACACACATATATATATATATATATATATATATATATAAATAATTAATTAATGTCAATGTGTGTGTTTGCTATTTTCTAGATCTGCAATAGGGCACTGTTAGTAATTTTGCACTTTGGTCATCTTTCATTCTCACTTGGCTGCCTTCATAGTTTCATTGGATGAAATTGTCTTTCTTTTGGTGAACTTGATTAGAATGATCTGTTCCCACAGAAAAAAAAAAAAAAAAATAGTGGCTGAATAGAATCTCAGTTGATCTTGGCAGAATTTCATATTACTATCATTCACACACAATATCTATAATTTTTAACCGGTGGAAATAATTTCATTACTGAGACTGGGTGTTATTGATTAATATCACATTTAAAGGAAGAAATCTTTCTTTCCCTTAACATTTTATGTGGAGATTACTGTTGAGGTTGTGTAATCACATTATGAATGACAAAATAAAAATTCATAAACCTTTGTCAATATAAGCAAATGTTTTAAGTATCTTTTGTTTTACTTTTCCAATTCATTTGGGTGATGCTTTGCCAAAAACGATTTTCATCAGATTCTGTATGTTATGATATTGGTTACTGACCCTCACCATTTCTATCCTGGAAAGATGGATTTTTTAGTTAGTGCTTGCAACATTTTTAAACTTTGTATTTATTTTATATTTGAGTTAATATTGTGAAACAAAGCAAAGTCTGTTTGGTCTGGACACTAAATCCAAGTATTTTAATCTGTAGAAAGCTTATTTGTCAGGATATCCGAGTTTTTGTCTTTCCCCCAAACATGTTAACATTTAAATTAGAATTTTTCATTAATCTCCTGCAATTGTTTGGTCGCCTTTACTAAATCGAGTCATTTTCAAAATGTTATTTTTTTCTCTAAACCATTTGAAAACAATTTACAGCTATTTTCAGTTTTCTTTTAAATAAAAAAATATTTCTTAAAGTAACTGAAAAATAATTTTTTTTTCTTTTTCAAATCTTTCAGTTTGATTAAAATCACAAAAGCCATTTTTTTTTAAAAATTTTTTATTACGAGATAAATTGTTTATTTTCTAAAATCTGAGATTTTCATAAGTACATAAAATTTTGAGTGCTTTGTATTTTTCCAAATTCATTTCTACTTTACATGTTTATATGTAACACATTTTTTTTCTCTTTATAAGAATGAAATTTTGGGATACAATAAGAAATGAGTTCAGCTGATTTACAAGTTAAGGAAGTAATTTGTCTTTTAATTTGGTATCTGAAGTGCACACACTAATATATATATATATATATACATACAACATTATATTTTCAACTTGAGTCCAATCTAAATATTGGATAAAGCATGAATGAAACTATAGATAGTGTAAGCTGAAAGGAAACTTTTTGTCCGACAACAAAAAGAAAAACTGATTTTAAATCAAAACATTTGAAGCCCTTTACTCAATCATACATAAAATCTGTGATATCGAAGAAATAAAAATTACTCCAAAAAATCCCATATATAGATCTTTCTTTTTGTTGGTGTGTGGCATTTGATTGTTGTGACTCTTTTGACCTTTTTTCTGTTTGTTTTCATAGACGCACTTTACCCTTTGTCTTGCCGTTGGGCAGAGATTTTTGGCATCAAACGTCATGTTTTGCATTTCTGGGATTTTTATTGAAAATAGAAACTTTTGGATTAAGTTAAAATTTCTCTCTCTTTGTTAATTTCCCAAAAACAAATTGGATATTTGAAATGAACTGTAGTTGGAACTTTGATTTGTTTTGCTTTTTCAATTAACATTGAAACTAAGACACAATGAAACTCTTTTCTTTTATATTTTCAACCAATGGAGAAACTAAGCAATTTTAATTGGAACTCCAAATGTATTTCATCTTTCCAACAAATGATGTCGTCTGATAGGAAAACTCAAGTTTCTAAAGCGTTTCAGAAAACTTCCTCTTGATGTTTTTGGTAATAAATTTGTCAATCGTAACAAATATTGTTTACTCAATTTAGATTTTCTCTCTTCTAATCACTATTTCAACTTGGTTCTCATCGTGTTAAAATTTGATTTTCCTCTCCTCCCCCTTTAGACTTACATTTTATTTTCCATGGAATTTCATTTGCAGTTGATATAGAATGATAGTCATTCCCACCCAACTCATGTTGTTTGGCATTGTGAAAGGTTGGTAGGAAAATTCCCTTCTACTGATGACTTTAGTTTGCAAATGACTGATTCTGGACTCCTATTCTATGCTCCACACTTTAGTTCACTTCTGTAGTCTGACTAGTATTTTAGAAATTGGTTAGAAAGAGAATAAAATTTATATTAACCAATTTTGTTTTATTTTATTTTCCTTTAGTTACTTTTTTAGGCAAGGATGTTAATTTTGATTATTTAACTGATCTGAAATGAATGATTTCCTTTGGCTGGATGCTCTGCCTTGGTGGTCCATATTTGTGCTTAGGGGATATATATGTATATATCCCACCCAATAGAAAAAAAAAAAAAAAAAAAAAAAAAAATTTTTTTTTAGAGGTATTATCCTAGGAAGTGGCTACTTGGAAAATGTTTTCCGAATTCTCATACCAGCCCCACTTTCTTGGTTGGTTATTCTGCTCACATGACATGGACATTATAGTATTACAAGAAAAGAAAAGGGCATTAATTTTCTGTTTTTCAAGTAAATCTAAGTTGTTTTTTGTTTTTTAAACTTAAATTATATATTTTTTCTTTTCCTTTTTTTTTTTTTTTTTTTTAAAAAAAAACTTTTTCTGGTCTTTGCAAGAAAGGAAATTCATCTTTTTTCTTCTCTCTCTCTCTCTCTCCTCGTCATATGATAATCCAAAGGAGATTCTGTATCTCTAATGTACAATTTTTTTTTTTCTTTTTTCCATCAGTGAGTTCTGGAAATGTTAAAAGGGAAAAATCATCTCTTCCTCTTGTCCTAACTTAACCAAAAAGTTTTTAATTTTTTTTTTTTCTTTTTTTACTTTTTGGAAATGGGCAAAAGTTGAGGTGGAACGAGAAGAGAATGGAATGTTCCTCTGATGAATTATTGATTTTATATTTTTTGGTTTTTATTTCATGTCAAAAGATGTGAAATGGAGAAAGGGCTTTAGCGACTTCTCTTTGGAACCAAACCCTTTGACTCTAACTCATCTATTTATCTCAGCAGTACCCTCTTCAGGTCTAACCAGGCAAGCAAAGCAAGTCTTTCCTTGTTGGGTCACTGCTAAAAGAGAATTGGAGATTGTTGGAGTCATACACTCCCTGTTCCCTCAGTTTATGTTGTCGCTGTTGCCACCGTCCAATGTTTTTTGAGGGCAAACCTTTCGTCGCTGAGTGGTCAAGCAGGTGACCAAGAAAACTTGTCAAATAATTTTGTGTACAAACATGTAAATAAATACAAAACAGAATATTAAAAAAAAAAAAAAAAAAAAAAGATTGAACATAATGAAATAAAACTTACCAGCATTATTCTTTTTCCTCGTTTTTCTTTGTGTATCTATGTGAATGAATCAGTTGTGCAGGGGGCAGCTTTTAAAAATCATTTTTTTTTTTTTTAACTGTTATTCCTGACAAGCCTATGGCATCCAATGTTCCCATGGACATCCATAGGTGAAAATGAAATCTTACATGTTTTTGGTTTTTGAGGAAATAAAAGATTTTCTTTTAAAGAGTCATTGTAAAAAAAAAAAAAAAAAAATGTAAATTTTTGAAAAGCTTTGTTTCAGGGTAAGGCAGTTGTGAACTGGGAGTAAGATTTTTTTTTTTTTTTTTAAATACTTTTCCTATTTACTGAGCCTCTGCTACAGCATTTGATCACCAAAAAGCCCAACATGCAAGTAGAATAAGGCTTGTTTATATGAGCAACTTATGTTCTGTTATACAGGCAGTGCTGAACTAGTCAAATTTACCTCAAAATGTCCAGGGATAGAGTATTGGTCAGTGGGGTCAGGTCTTTATGGTTCAGCTGATTAAAGATAATTGTTAGAACTTCCAGCTAAATTGATTTTATTTATTTCATGTTTTGATGGACATTTAAATACTACATTAACAGATTTATTTTCATTTCTTACATCCTAAACTCTGGCAATGGTTTCGCAATAAAATTTGTCCTTAACTGATAGAAGAAAAAAAAATCTTGGATAGAATTAGATTTCTATGAGCAAAATATGCAAGATTTTAGCCTTCAATATCTTTATCAAAAATATTGATCGCTTATTTTCTGGAGTGTTTTATTGAAGCATAATTTTTTACAAAAAGTTTCAAATGATAGAAGCCATAGAAAAGTATTTGCTTAACACAATATCCAATTTCTTTGAATAAATAATTATTTCCCAAGTTAATATCAGTTCCTTGATATTCATCATTCTTTAAACTGTTGGGTTTATTAACTTTTCGCTTATTTCAATTTTAATATTTATTTTTTTTTTTTTTTGTCTCCCAGAGATATTTGCTTGAATATTGTTTTCTCTTATATGTACTATTAATTTGGTGTCCTTGAAATCTTTCCTGGCAAAGTAAGCAATATAATGGTCAGCAAAGTGAAACCAACATGTTATCTGTCCTGTAGTTTGGTTTGTTATTATTTATTTATTTTTGGGGACCATAAAATTATGAAAACTAAAGCAACACCTCACCTGCAATATGACAGATTCCCAAAGGACTCAAGTTGCAAGGAGACTTACAAAAAGTTATAAATGAATATGGCCTGAATGTGAATACAAAAGTCACAGAACATGTAGAGAGAAACAAGTTGGCAAATGAGATCATCACAAAGAAAACTAGAAAAATAAGAAACGAATGGGTGACAGAAGAAATTCTAGATATGATGAAAAAGCAGCAACAAACAATGACGAGAAATGGAAAAAGAACTGAACCCTAAATGCAGAAATATAGGTAGGCTACAGATGATTGGATCAATGCAAAGTGTACAGAAATAGAATGAGCAACACAAATAGAACAGCAAATATGCACAACAGAATGAAATGTGAGCCAACCAACAGGAAGGATCACGGATAATAGAAAAAGAAAAAAAAAACTCCCAAGGTGATGCAAATATGTCAAAGAATTTTTTCACAATGTGATAAAGAAACCTACACTTGAAAATTCAGATGGGCCAAAAATACTAAAAGACGAAGCAAGCAGCAGCATCTGACGAGATCATAACAAATGCTCTCAGCCTTAGACTACTGCAGTATCGACAAGATCACAGAAGTAATATGTGAAATATACAACAGTGACCACATGCTGGAGGACCACATTAAATCCATCTTATATAACATTAACTAAAAGACCAGGTGCAAATGAATGCAAGCTCCATCGGAAAATCAGTTTTATGTGCCACATAACCAAACTAATGATGCGAATCATGATGAATAGAACGCAAAACAGAATTAGGCCAGAAATAGGACAAGAACAATGCAGCTTTGTCAAGGATACTGGAGCAAGGAATGTAATATTTGTTAGAATGATAGAGATAACAATACAAATGCAGAAGGATGTACATTTGTTTTATAGATTAAACAAAAGCACTTGACAGCATACAGCACAAGGATCTATTTGAACTATAAGGAAAACTAGATCTACAGGATGCCCCCCCAATAAAAAAAAAAAAAAAAAAAAAAAAAAAAAACACAGGAAAGTTTTGATTTACTATGATGAAAAAAAAAAAATTATGGTGTGGGGGTTTACTGTTCCATCAACTTCAATTACAGAGGCACTCACCAACAAATTCAGGAATTCTTTTCTTATAAGAGTGAGTTTTCCGAGCTGCTGTACCTTCATAATCGCCATTAGACTCTTCCAACTGTTTCTGAATCCTCTGCACTGTCCTCAGATTGATACCCACTCTGGAAATATTTGTATTGGAGCTTCTGGTGTGAATGCCAAGCATCACAGCATGTCATTTACAAATTTCTGGCAGTGAATTGCGTCTTGGTGTTCTTTTTCTCACAGACAGTGCTCAACTGACCCTAGTATAATGTGCCGTGAACAAAATCAAAAACAATGCATGTGTGCAATATTAAAAATATATAATGGCGACAATTTATCCATCGCACCCTGTATGTGTTATCCAACCTCTTATATGGTAGTGAGTACTGGACAATCTCCGAATGGATACAGAGAAAAATGGAGGCAGCTGAAATGTAGTCCTACAGAAGGATACTGAAAATTCCACGAATGGAGTGGGAAAGCAACGAGGAAGTCTTAAAGAAAATGGGAACAGAAAGGACACTTCAATCAGAAAAAGAAAGCAGAAATTCCTTGGATACATAATGAGGAAGGAGGGTTTGGAAAACTTAATCCTCACAAAGCATATCGAGGGCAAGAGAGAGAAAAGCAGCAAGTCACTTAGTTGATGAGCTTGTGTGAATGAATGGGTGGGAGGAGCCTTAGCAAACTACTAAGAGTCACAGAAGATTGGTAATCATGGTTCTCCACAACTTTCCCATGTCCTGAAGAGACGTAGTACATCGAAGAAGAATGTGTAACATTCTGTTCATTTTAGGTAAAATCTTTATTCCCTTGTTACATTATAACCTGTCCCATGATTTACTACTGATTTTTGGCTTATAACCCATCAAAGGAAAACAGAGGTAGAACTGGTAGTGGTCTGACAGTGAACCATTCTCCCCCCATCTACCTGTCTCCTATTAGTCCCAGGCATCACTAAACATTTGCTTTCTACTCCAAAACTGAAATTCTTAACATTTTTAAGGCAGTGTGTGTCAATTTATTCTTTTATTTGTTACAATTTTATGTTTGAAATTTAATTTGTTTGTTTTTTTATCTGTTCTGTTCTTTTTGAAAAACTATTTTGTTTATTTCATTGTAGTTTTTACACTGTTGATTCTTCTGTAAAGGATAATATCTGTATGAAGTGTGTGTCCACTTTTATTTATCAAGACCATTTAGTTATATTGAACAATAGTCATTTTTTTTTTGTCTTGCATGAAAAATCTTTTAGCTTAATACTGACATAAACAATTTCTATACAAGAGAGTTAGTGCCAGTTGAAAAAATAGGTTAAATTAGATGTCTTGAGTCCATTGTTATGGTATTGATGGAAGTTTCCTTCCTAACCTTTGTTTTAGGGAGCATGGAATGTCAACATCTTGATTATATCAGATTTTCTCTTGTGCTATCCATTTTTGTTGTAGTCACTTTTGGAAGCCTTCAAGTGATAGTTTTTGTTAAAGTTCATTGTGATTCTGTAGCACCAATTTATATTTGATAAAAGATTAAAATGGTTTCAAGTGAATGAGTCGTGATTCCCTTGGAACCATATTTAATCCTTGATTGGAGAAAACCGTTGTATAGAGCTGAGAACTTAGACGTTTCTGAATGAGTTGCATGGCCTCCATATGTTGTTTAGGAATATGACTCAAGTTCTCAGGTTAATGTCTTGGTTTGTAGATCCCTAGCAAAGCCTGCACTTCTACCATTTATCAGCCATCCCCAACCAAACCAATTCTGGGCAACTGATGATAACAGTATATCATCCTGCTCAAATAACCTATTAGTTATTTGGGTAAATGGAAGATATAACAGTGTGAAAAATGGTTACACAGCAGTGTCACACAGTAGTCAATGTTGTATTTTGCCATGTGAATTTGTCCCCACAGCCTTGTTGATGACTGGACCCTGTGAGATCTGCTCCATTCTGAAACCGGAAATTGATACAACAGACCATGTCACACAGTGTCAGTCCTCCAGAGTCCAATTAACATTACAGTCCCAATTAATGTGGGGAGGGATATGTTTTGTGGTAACAGGGAGTGTATTTTGTATCCCTATTTCACTGAAATTGAAAATGTTTGGTACTGACTGCATTGAATGTTATTTGAGCTAGTGTTGCTTGTCTGTTACTGTAAACAATTTTAGCCAGGGAGTATTGGTCACAAGTCAGGAAGGAACACTGGCTGGCCGTTGCACTGTCCATATTAGGGGAGATAAGGCTTTGAATCATGTATTTTTAGTATACATATGACCTTAGATCAAATTTATGTCATATATTACCCGAATTTCATGCCCTGTTCAAACTCCTGAGAGTAACCTTGCTGCTGTCCATTCTGGCTCCCCAGATGTTAGATCACAACTAATCCATGATGCTATTGGGAGATGATTCCACCAACAAATACCTTTACATAATCTGCCATCATGAACAATATCAGAGTTGGTTAATACAAAACATTGTCAAGTTTTATTATGCAAGTCAATATTTTTAGGACATTTTTATGTTCTGTATTTAATCTACTGTGTCTAAATAATTTAATACAATGTTAGTTTCAACATTTGACTCCTGAATCGAAATCTGCTTTCCTAAAATGGTCTAAGCTCAAAGGAAATTATTTTTAGCAAATTCATTCAAAACTTAAGGGGACCAAAAAAAGAAAATTGCAGAGAAGTGTTTAATTTCAAAGAAATTCTTTAGATGACCAAGAATGATAAACCTCAACTTTCTCCTCCTTAGGACTTTGCTATAGGTGCTGAAAAAGATGCTGAAAAGTCCTCAGCCTGACCCTTCCAATTTTTAACCAAATATCAGCCGATTTAGACAATAGTACTAAGAACTTTTCCAATGTAATTTTAAGTTTTTTTTACTATAAATTTATTTCATGTATTTTTCATTATGTGGCACCACTATTTATTCCCAAACAAATAACCTGAGTAAAAATGATGGCCCCGATTTCTCAAATTTAGCAATTAAAGATATATATGATATAAAGAAATTAAATTTCAACAAAATTAGCTCAAATGTTGATTTATGTACAAGTTTCTCAATTTCTGTTTGAAAGCTTTAAGAAATAAATCACATCCTTAACATATGTTGAGACAGGCATTGTTCAAGTTCAATTCATTCTCATTGCCTATAAGTTGAAGTGGACATTGAGCAGATGCTTGTTCACATGTCTTAACATTTTTTTTTTAAGATAGATGAACTTGTAGACAAATTAACTTTTACAAGTTGAGTAAAAACTGCATATACACCATTTTTTTGTTTTTTGTAGAAGTAAAATCAACTGGCCTTTGAGTACAAAGGCTTAAGGAACCATAAAGCATGAAGTTAGATTCTAGAAGATTTTAGATGAAACAATGTTTTAGGACCCCCCCACACATCTACTGCAGTTATTTTAGTAGAGGGAATTTGGAATGAAAATTTAATCCTGCTGCAGGTCCCACCAGACACCTGAAAAGTAAGAATAGTGTTGGTTTATTATTAGAAGACAATACAACAACAACAACAACACTTAAGGCAGATGTCAGTTAACTATGAGAATTTATTGAAGCTGAGTGGCTCAGAAACCAACTTCATTTGATTGGGACTGGAGGTGGTATAGCCATATACAGTTAACAACAAAAAGAAAAAAAAAGTGGGGGTGTTGGTAGATAGATTGGAAGAAGGGGCAGTTAAATGTAAATGGTCCAAAAGAGGGGGAGGGAAAGAGAAGACAGGTGCGAAGGGTCTAAGATTTCATTTAAGTCAGGGAACAGGAGATTGAAGAATCACCTTTTTTTTTTTTTTTGTTTCTTCTGAATCCACTTTCCTTCCAACCATCATGTTTGTTTTTTTTGCTTTGTTTTTCTTTTTTTTTTTTATATTTTAAACTAGAATCAACAATAATCATGAAAAGAGTCATTGGTAAAATTTAACAATTTCAAAACAAGTATATTTTTATTTATTATTTTTTTTTTTTCAAACTGTTGTTGCCCTTTACATATATATTTTAATTCCTTGTAAAAAAAAAAAAAAAAAAAAAAAAAAAAAATGGAGACTGAGCCGGACAGCAGATGACCAGTGGCAGGTAAACATCTTCTGGAATTTACAGTAGAGGAGGGGAGGTGGGGAGGGGGGTTAAGATGTGTGTATTGTCATGTTAAGTGATTTTTTTTTTATCATCTTAAGTGTTTACAAAATTTCAGTAAAACCCTTTACTTAAATGAAGCTCTGCATCAAGAGAATAAATCAGTTCATACAGGAAAAATGAAAAACAGTTTTCAGTGAAAAGAGAAATTCAAAAGAAAAGAATTTAAATTAGGAAAATTTTACAGAAGGAAGAAGAAAATGTGCAAAGAAGTGAATGGATTTTAAATCTTAAAAAAAAAAATGTTGGCATTTTTAATGTTAAATACTGAGTTTTAAACTTTTAAATACTTTTGATTGGTAACTCAGAAGCTGACATTTAAATAATTGCATGTCACAATAAACAAGGTGGGGATCTATTGAGGCTGAATTTTGAGCAATAAATTTTTCAACATAGTAATTTTTGATACTAGACTTGTATAACTAATATCAAGCAGGTCATTAGAAAATGAAATTTCATATGAAAAACAAATTCAGATTTAATTAAACAGATGTAAGGAGGTTGTCAATAAAGATGTAGACATTAAAATCAAGTACACTTTTTGTGGTATATGTTTAAAAAATATTTGACAGTCATAACTATAAAATGGAATTTCAGTTTTTATAGCTGAGGATATGAATTTCTGAATCAACACAGAACAGAATTACAAACTGTTCTGACATCTTTCGGTTCTAAGAAGGAAAACGCATAGAAGTCAAGGCTTGAACAAAATGCAAAGTTTGGGAACAGAATTAAATTGAAGTTAGAGGAAAAAGAAATTTAGACACCCAGCTGCTCTATTAAGTATGCCAGTGTTTTTTTTTTGTGGTGGGTAATACATTTTTTTTATGTACAAACATTTATAAATTTTGAAGTAGGGTCTAGTTTATAGACTATGAAGATAAGGTGGTGGGGTAAGAGAATTTGGCTCTCATTGAAGCTTGCTTGTCTTTTTCTTTAGGTCAGGGCAATATGAGAGAGAGAGAAAAAAAAAAAAGGAATGCAAGAAAATTTTCTTTATTGGTAATTACTTGCAATATATATATATATATATATATATATATAAAACAGGATTTTCTTAACAGCAAGTAATAATAGGCAGTAGAAATTTGACAAATATCACCAAAAGGAAGACAAATTTTACAATTTTTCTGCTCAGCTCAGAAGCTGCAGTGAGCCTATTTGTTTTTTTATTTTTATATAAGCTCGTGTATGGTCAAGTTGAAGAAGAAAAAAAAAAGAAAGACAATAACTAGGAAGGCGAAAGTGAAGAAAGCTTCCTAGTCCCCCACCCCTATTCTTCTCTCACTGCCAAAAGGCTAAAACTGGGGGAGGGGGGGTATTACACACACACATATTTAAAATAGACAAAGTTCAAGTGGGGGAGGGGGGAAAAACCTTCATTTAATTTGAATATCTTCAGGTTTTTTTTTTTATTATAATAAATTTTGTATTATATGCTAATACTAAATTATCATGTAATATTAATGAATATAGAAAATATTAATATATTTTAAAACCAAATATTGTAAACTTACCTATTCAATGTCGATAAAAAAAAAAACAAAAAAAAACAACTATCTCTTCAAGATCGAATATCAGAAATATTAAATAGAAAATATTTTATTAAATAGAAGCCAAAGACATTTCAAAATTAAGATAATGCTGAAAAATGGATTGAGAATAATAAAATATCTTAAAGAAAATGCCAGCTGACCATTATTGGCTGATTTGTGAGTAAATATTTTTTTTTATACAAAACAGCAGGAAAGAAAGGTTGAAACAAAGAAAATATTCGAAAGTTTATATATATATATATATATATATATATATTCTTTCTCATTCCATTATTAGAGGTTTAATATCCTTTCAGACATTGAGTGAAAAGAAAGGAAACCCAAAGGTATAAATAAGTGGCTTGCTTATGATATGAAACATTTTTTATAGACATTTTCAATTCCATAGTCAGTGGTGACTACAAGGATGATTAGTCAGTTTTTCAAAAAAAAAAAAAAATATTGTCCATTGGCTGATATACCAGTCGTCATTTTTTTTCTTCTTTCACTAATCAAGAGATTGAAGGGGAAGAAGAAAGTAAAAAAAAAAAAATTCTGAGTCCAATTTAGCCAGCCATGTTGTCCTTTGGTGATGATGGTCCAAAGACTTTGTGTCAATTGGACAATTCTTTTAACAAAGTAAAACAAAAGTAAAACGGATAATACATTTTATATTCGGATTGAATAATAAAACTGATCCTCTACAAAACTAAAACTCATGGATATTATTCTGGGGTTTTGCAGCTTCTATCTTTTGGGAGAAGAAAAAAAAAAAAACAAATTTCTTGAAAAATAGAGAATTGGTGGGAATAAAAAAAAAATCACAGTAAGTTAACCAAGAATTGCTAACACTTCATGATTGGTGAATCTGGTCCAAAATTATTAAAATGAGATTTCTTGAAAGACAATACGAAACTACCAGTAAGAAAAAACAAAGATATAAATGCAAGTTTCAGAAAATTCCGTAATGAACACCTGTATATGGAGGTAATTTTTCCTAAAGTTTTCGATAATTTAAAAAAAAAAGAAAAAGAAAAAGCCAACTTTTTTCTATGAAAGAAAGAGGCTCAAGTTTGCTATTTTGCAGTTAGGTTCTGGGTAAAAAAAAAAAATAGAAAAAAAAAGCAAATTGTATTTTGAATTACAATGACATAATAAGTTTTGAAACTTGTAAACATCTTTAGAGATGAAATTAAATTTTACTTAATTTAATCATAATTTGTGAAATCAAAAAATGTGAAAGCAGTAAAGAAATTAACAAAATCAAATTTTGATTCTGAATTTGTGAAAGAATTTAAAAGAAAAAAAAAATGCCCCCATTTTATATCCAGCAAATCAATTTTTGAAATGATAAAGTGTGCAAGAGATTTTCAGGATTTCTATGGATTTTGTTTAGAAAAAGGCTGGAGGAAAATCTCAAACTAAGAACTGGAGCTTTGTCAGGTGGAGAGGGTGATTTTGATTAAAATATGGTAGGCAGAAAGCATCAAAATTTAAGATTAAACAGGAGAATTTAATTTGTCAATTTCAATCTGAACCAGTTTTAAATTGATATTTTTAATCAGGATAAATAATTCAATGTAATTCAGAAAAATGTTTTTTTTTTTTTTTTTTCAATCTACCAAATGTCTGCTTTGGTGACATATCTTTACAACCAAATTCAATTTTTTTGTTGTAGAATTATTTCTATAAATCTGGGATAAATTAAAAACAACAAAATACTTCCATAAATTGATGGGAAAATAATGCCATCCTCACTACAAAAACAAATTTCACAGAAATGACCCATGACTAAAATTGTTCATTTCAAACAATTTTGATTAGCAAATATTTAAGACTGACATAATTTTACAAGGGAATTTTGTAGAATTATAAACAGTACTATAATCAGTGTGTAATAAACATGTCTGCTTCCAAATGGATACAGTATCTATTGACTAAACAAGGAAAAGAATAAATCTAAGTAAGAAAATAACTAATTCAATGATTTACATGTGTGGTGCATTCAGCTATACTTTAAGATAATAAACTGACTACGCTCGGAACAAAATTGTAACAACATTCAAAATATGAGGAGGAAGAAAATTAAGAGAATAACGTAAGATCAAGATTCAAACAATTCTTATTTAATGACCACTGATCATCCTTTTTAGGTAAGGATGAAGAAATAGCCAATAAACAGAAAAGAAATGTTAATGTAGACAGGCTTTAAGTGAAAAGACCTGTATGTTTACATACACATTGTTATCCCTATAATAAAAGAAAAAAAAATGCTGTTGTAAACTAACCCCGGGATTATCCTTGCAACTGAATTAACTTGAGTGTTAAAAAAAATCTTTAGGTTTATTTTTAAACACCTTTTTGTTTGTATTTATGTTTTTTTTTCTCTCTCTCTCTCTTTTAGTCTTAACAATTACAAAGGAACAGATTTTTTTTTTTTTTTTTTTTGTTAAATAAATAAAAAAGTTAAAATTAAAAATACTGCCACCAATTCCTTGGACTGTGTATATGGAGGCTAAGAATAAAAGTGTTTTTTTTTTTTTTTTTTTCATTTTGAAAAAGCATCAGCAGCTAATAAAGCCAGTTTTGCCTGAAGAGTAGACCAAAAAAAAAAGAAAAGAAAAAAAAAGAAAAGAAAATGGCTGCTTGTTGATGGCAAAATATGATGGGAAGAGAGGATTTGACGTTGGCAATCTTCTGCTTTTCCTGCCATGGTGAATAAAACTGTTCTGCTGTACAGATTGTTCACGCTTCTTCAACATCTCCAGCTTCCCCAGGGGCAAAAGTAGCAGGGGGCTCAATTTAAAGTTGCAAGTGAACACAGTATCCCCCTGTAGTTGCCCCCCTCCTTTCTACATGTAGTTTCTCCTCCTCCTTCTCCTCCTTTTGCGCCTCCTATCCTCAAAGAGCAAACAATGGGCTGTCATCATCGTCTTTCTGCAGTTGGCGTCGAGGGTTGATAACTGGCGGTTGTGATGTAGAACTGGCAGTGCAGGCAGGGATTGTTGGCAAATTATCTGCAGCAGCTGCACGTTCCTGCAAAAACTTGTCAAATTCTAGAGAGAAAGAAATATTAAAAAATATTAGGTGAATGAAAAAAAAAGAAAAAATACAAAAAACTGACAAAATTTACTATAAGTTTTAGTAATACTGAATGCATCTGCTTTAGCAAAAGAAACAAACAAAAAACTATTCCTATAAACCCTGAATCTCTGCATCCAAAGAGATATTACCTTGTTCAGGGATTGAACTAACAATTACTGTCACCAAATTCATTAACTCATGCTTTTAATTTATCCATCTACACAGTTGAATGAAAAAAAACTGTCCCTTTAGATTAAATAAAGGGCTCAGTTCATAATTCCCTCTAGATTATCTGGAATGACGAAAGTAAGAGAGGACAATGGGCTGAAATGTTGTGATAAGGACAACGGGCTGAAATGTTGTGATAAGGACAACGGGCTGAAATGTTGTGATAAGGACAACGGGCTGAAATGTTGTGATAAGGACAATGGGCTGAAATGTTGTGATAAGGACAACGGGCTGAAATGTTGTGATAAGGACAACGGGCTGAAATGTTGTGATAAGGACAACGGGCTGAAATGTTGTGATAAGGACAATGGGCTGAAATGTAAATGATAACTCTTCTCATTCTGGAATTTATAAATAAATAAATAAAAATAAAATAGAGTGAATTTTGAGAATCACTGAATCTATTTACAGATACCCAACAACTGTAACAAACTAAATTACCTAAAAATGGTTCAATGCCCAAAATCTCAATTCAAAATGTTCAGCTAAATTAGAAAAAATGTGTCTCAGAGGGTAGCTATGGTCACCCAAATTCACAATGGCTTAGAATTGATTGCCACTGTCTTTTCTCCAGGATGCTTTATACAAGACAAAAATGATTTTAAAATTAAAATGATTCTAAAATGAATTACCTGAACTGCTTATTGATTCTGTGGCTTGTCCATCCTGAAAGCAAAATGAAAATGTAGTCATTAAAAAAAAAAAAAAAAAAAAAAGAAGTTATTTCATTAATTGATAGAAATTCTAAATAACTATTAAACAGATGATCTAGTTAAATAGTTTCTAAGATCAAATTTAAATTTATCAAATCTTTCACATGCCTCCATTAAAAAAAAATTCAATCTTATAAAAAACGAAATTTAGCTTCCGAATTTTAACTGTTTGAAAAAATACAAAAAATTACAACTGCATGTTATTTCGTCAAATATTAAAATAATTCCAATTTTTGAAGAAAAAGAGTTAATTTCCTGGAAACATAATATTTAATACTTGATTTTTAGAGCATGTAATCTTCAAAATTTTATTTATCTTCTCACTCAGAATATTTTGATCTTCATTTTCTCAAAGTCAATAAAAGATGCAATGGTAGAAAGATTTTCATTGATTCAAGGAAATTAAACAGCTAAATCTAATGAGAACATTTCACATTCATTTGCATCAAACCTTGACACTAACATTAGCCAGCCATTGAGCCATTTCTTTGAGGTCTTCTTCCTTATCTGTCAGCTGCAAAAAAAAAAAAAGAGAACACACACACAAAAATAGAGATTAACATCCTCAATAACAGAAGTGCTGGTTAAAGGGAATCAAGTTGGCTGCTCTTTATTGATTAGAAGGTTTTACCTAAATTATCTGATCTTTTCCCTTTTATTCCGGCTATATAAGAAATTATAATAAACTTTCATATCAAATACAATAGAATTGTGGTTTTTTTTTTGTTTTTTTTTTTAAATGAGGAAGAGGAGGAGTTTACTGCCACCAATCACAACTATTCATTTTAACTTTTAAAGAATATTTTTGCTGTCTTTGTGTAAGTAAATCTTTAGGTCTGGGCAATAGTTTAGAGTAAAAGCATTACTTTCCGATAGAAAGTTTAATGTAGAGATTTGAATAAATAAAAATTAAACTGAAGATCTTTGACTAATTTATTGCTCAAATAATAGAGTCATTGACAGAATATAAACTTCTGATTAAGCAAGGAGCACTAACAAGATAAATACAATTGAGCAAACAATATATACAAAGTTCGGCTGCTCATTCCTGAGTACATCTATTTTCAAGGGTAGCTAACCAATTTGTTATAGATACATTCATGTTTTTTTTTTAACACCCACCTGTGGTTTATACTGCAACTATGCTGAGCAGACTTTAGTTACAGTTTCTAGGGGAGAGTGCATCATTTGGTATGATCACCATTTTTTTTTTTTTTTTTTTTTTAAACAAGACCAGATATTTTTTTTTTTTTTTTAAACAAGACCAGATATCCCAAACCATAATCCTGACGATTTGTGACTGTTCTAGCACAACCTTCATCAACTTCCAAACAGTTTTGTCTACCCAATTTCCCTGACCAGGTTTGGATTAATCTATGGTGCTTAGTTTTCTGGCACTTTCCAATGGTGCTGAATGCTGGGATTGCCTTCCCAAGCCAATAAAGTCTCCCTCCATAACAAATCAGCCCTGGTGAGATTCAAGCACAGGTCTTATGGTTGGAAATCAAATGAGACAAACACCTGGTCAAACACAAAAATGCTCATATAACAACTATAAGATTACATAAAGTTAATGCTATATTCCTGTAAATACCCGATGTACTTGCATATGCATATAGACTTAAATAGTTGATTATGTGACAACTCCATATAAAACGGGTCACACTTTCTTAAATGTTGCTGTTGCAGAAAAAATTTACCTGCCTCTTGTATTATTAACAATGAAGCACTACATAATTCCAAGGTGAATGTCCACAAAATCTAATCTACTTTTACTTAGATACTTACTGAACTCTGAAAATCCAACTGGCAAACTGTTTATGCCCTAACATTTTTTGTTTTAAGCCATCAAATCAAAAATGCATCACCACCCCCCCCATCCCCACCCTTAGCTTGAAACACAATCAAGATGATTTGTGACAGTTATCTTGATAATATTCTTGTCACTGGGACACCAACAAGAAAAAATACACAGGGTGTGGTTACAACTCTTCCATACTGATTCCTGGCTAAGTTATTATTTACAGAATCCAGCTTTTATAAAATTTGTTCAATATAAACAGAAAGGCAAAAAACAAATACCTAAAGTACTATCATCCCATTATTGTTTTTCCACATTTAAAAAATATTATTTTAACAAAATTATTAATATAGAAATGCCAATAACGAAATGTAGAATTTAAAACGCATGTTAAATAATTTCTCAGTTAAAAGGACAGAGAATTAACTTGGGACAAACACTTCATACAAGATGGGGTGCAGAATGGTGCAACATTGTACAGACAAAGCTACATGGCATCAACTACTTTATTTCAGTTAGGTTTTCCTCAATAAAAATAATATGGATTATTTCTTTGGAATAACAAATTTATAACAAAAAAGACTGTTTTGCGACTTTCAACTAATCTTCTAATTATAAAGTGATACATTTGCATACAACATTTATGAATATTAAAGTTACAATTTCTTTTAAAAAGCTGAAAATGAATTGGAATATTAAATGGTTATTATCAATGACAGCAAAAGTGCAAAGGGGATCCAACTAAAACTTGCCAAGCCTCTCTGACATGGGCTGTAATTAGTGTGCATGTGCTAAAAACTAAATATACACATTGTTTAAGTTTCTTAAATTTTAGATAATAGCATTATATATATATATATATATATAAATTTTTTTATGGAAAATCCTGAAATTCTAAAATTTGTCTTTCATCATTGGTTTGCTTCATTTTGTTTTAGATAGATAAAAATGAAATAATTTATCAGTGAAACAAGAATAATACATAAAATCTGTGAAATGCTTTCAAAAGAAGCACAAATATATAAATATATACATTGATGTTAAAGAAAAAGTCTTTGTAATATAGTCAACTACAGAAAATCATTTTGGAAAATGAAATTCTGACAATACAGCTTAAGTGCCACAACCAAAGCAAAAAAAAAAAAAAAAGAAGATAATTTCATAAACAGCAAATAAAAGAAAAAATTGACAAGCATCAAAGAATGAAGAAAAGAATGCATAGCAAACATGCAACAACAATAGAAAGCTGCTGCCCGTCTCCTTTTGTATAATTAGGATGAAAGTGTATGGGGGGGTAGAGATCTGTACCTGAAATTGACATGCACTGCAACCTAATAGAAAAGCTTAGAATAAAGAAAAAAAACGTTTTTCAATTAGAAATTTCGATCAGTAAAAGCAATAAACATGCAACAGCATCTGAAAAATTTGGATAAAAACCCAAAATGAAAATGATGAAAACTAAAATCTTTATCTTCAAGTTGGGATTTCATTCTAATCAATTGAGAACTTTCAGACTCTTCTAAAATTCTTGGAGAAGGGGTCTTTTTGCCAATAATTTGATATTTTTGAAGCTTTGAAATACTGATTAGGCAGTTACCAATGCTATGGCATTAAGCACTAATTGGTCAAATGCATTGCTTATTTGAAATCCATCCTATTGTTCTAAAGAACACATTCCAATGAACTAGTCATACCTATTTCAAACTGTTTACATTTATTTTATACTTTAATATATATATATATATATATATATATATATATATATTCATGAATTATTCACACAAAAACAAAAGCAAAGCTTAATGATTTAATTGGCGAGAAATCCATCATCGCAAACAATTCAAATAATATACAAAAACCTTGTTGTCCTCTTATTACTAAGAGAAAAAACAAGAACAACATCTATTCTATACCTGAAGATGTCTGTAGGAACAGACGAAAGCTTGTAGTAAAAATAAGGACTAATACGGCAGAAATTTATGGAAACAAGGATCATTTCATTTGTAACGGATTCGGAGGTTTTTGTATATTATTTGAATTGTTTGCGATGATGGATTTCTCGCCAATTAAATCATTAACCTTTGCTTTTGTTTTTGTGTAAATAATTCATGAATTTGTAAATTGATTGCACGTTTATCGTAATATATATATATATATATATATATATATTCATATTCATTATATTTTGGCATTAAAGTGTGTCTTATGCACAAAAAAATACAGTAATCAGCTTTTTGGGCTCTCAATAGACAAAATATTAAATCTAAGATACTTCAATAAAATAAAGTTTTCTTTACTCAACCCTTCATTATGTTCTTATGACTGTCTACTCAAAAGTGTTTTTGTTGAAGAGAAATAGAAAATCTGCTTCAAAGATGACAATGTCAGATTAAAAATTAATGCCTGATGTTGAATCTTGATAAATTTATAGCAACTGAAGTTATTTTTCAGTACAAGAAAAAAGATCTAGTAAATGAAATTTAATAGTTCACCTCAAAAGAGAAACGAAATAATTTATCAACTTTGAAATGAAGACAAAACTACAGATATGGGAACATTTTAAATATTTGAATTTTGAAGAATTTGGCTATTGTGGGAATTGAAAAACAAGTTTCAATTACAACAAAAAATATTTTAAAATCGTTTAAAGTCAAAAGCAATTAAGTGATGTTATTATTTTTATTCTTTATTTTGAATTTTCTTTTCTGACAATAGAAACAGATATATTGGCTAAGAAATAATGTAAAAGTTTTAATCAGAAATAATTTCATTCCCTTAATTTTAAATAAGTTCTTCCTTATTAATTTGGTTGTTTTTTTTTTTTTTTTTCATCTCAAACCTTTACAGTGTACCTCTTATGACCCTTAAACAACATGAAGCAAAAATAATGACAATATTTTTTTTTTTTTTAAGAAATTTGGCCAATGTAATTTAGTCTAAAAATGAACAGTGGAATGAACTTTCCTTTCCTTGATTTATTTCTTCATGTATTTTCCACTTTAGGATAAGGCAATTACCAAGAAAACCCTAGACTTATTTGCAACATTTTCAGATTCTTGTCTGTCTGATTGAGCATCTAATTTGCATTCACAGAGAATAGAAGAGTGAAACCAACAGGTGGTTCCATTTGAGAATTTTATCCTTTAATATTTCTGGGCGGATACAATGAACAAAGCTCATGGACATTGAAATTTCATATTTCATGAATAAATGTTTAATTTCAAGTTAATCTTGATAGATATCTTTGGCTGCAACAGTTATAAAGACAATTACTTAATATTTTTTAAAAAATGTAACCATTTCAGACATTTTAATGTGAATGCACTAGGTAACCCCCAGAAGGATAACAGAAAAGAGTGAAGGACTAAAACTTTAAATCTTTTTTTCTAAAATGTAATTTTCATGAATCAGTATCTTTTTTTTTTTTTTATTTTTATTTAATATTAAAATTTTGTGAAGCTGAAAAGCATCATTTGATGAATTTCCAACATATTTTATCACTTGATCATTTCTTATATATATATATTGCAACCATAATAAGAAAAGAAGATCTAGGAAGATTATTTGGTTCACTCCCCCTTTCAATATAATGGTTAAAACTAAATTAGGGCGTATATTTCTAAACCTCATCAAAAAACATTTCCCCAACCCTGAAACTAACCCACTTAGTAAAATATTTAATCCTAATACCCTTAAATTAAGCTATAGTTGTG